GTTAGACAGTGATCCAGTTTCATTCTCTTACATGTAGCTGTCCAGTTTTGCCAGCGCCATCTGTTGAAGAAACTGTCATTTCCCCATTGTATGTCCATGGCCCCTTTATCGAATATTAGTTGACCATATATGTTTGGGTTAATGTTTGGAGTCTCTATTCTGTTCCATTGGTCTGTGGCTCTGTTCTTGTGTCAGTACCAAATTGTCTTGATTACTGTGGCTTTGTAGTAGAGCTTGAAGTTGGGGAGTGAGATCCCCCTCCATTTTATTCTTCCTTCTCAGGATTGCTTTGGCTATTCAGGGTCTTTGCTGGTTCCATATGAATTTTTGAACTATTTGTTCCAGTTCATTAATGAATGCTGTTGGTAATTTGATAGGGATTGCATCGAATCTGTATATTGCTTTGGGCAGGATGGCTATTTTGCAGTGTCTACATCTTTTACCTTTCTTACAACAGCAAGGATTTCCCATGTTATGCAGTATTCATAATTAGACTTTTAAATATGGCTGCATCATATTTCATTATACTGACGTGTCAATTCACTAAACTATTTTCGACTGGTATATAGATAAGCCTATTCCAGTTATTTTATTTTTATCTATTATTTTTTACTATTTTAATAGAAGTTGAATTTAGTTTACACCTCTATTTTTGTTACATGATTTTCATAGAGGTCGAAAGAGATTATCAGAATCAGTCATAAAAATGGCTGGAAAATCATAATCATAATTATTATTTAAGTTTTCTAAATAGACTATCGTACTGTTTTCCATACCATTTTCTCCTACAATAGATTTTATTTTTAAATCCACTCAGCTATTAATTATAAATGTTATCTCATATCTGTAATTTGAGTTACTGGAATATTTAGTTAAAAGATTAAAAAATATAACCTATTGTGCCAAAGTTATGCTAGGATTGGTTCTGTATCTTCAAAAGACAAAGTAATCAATATTCTACAAATTTAAAAAGTATTCTATTCTGTGGTTGTCATTAGCTTTTAAGTTAATTTTATAAAAATTTTAAGCTTTTATATTGAGCTTTTTAATCTGTTAAGGATTAAATTTACTATGTAGTTTAAGAGTAGCTATTACATGTTTTCCAAGTTGTTTCAGTTATTCCTACACTAACATTATATAAAAAATGTCACTTTACTATATTGAACTATCCATTTCCAGTTACTGTACTAAATTGCTATTTTTATGCCAGTATCATATTGTTAATTATTGGTGCTTTAGGATATGTTTCAATATTACTTACCTCTTTTGCACCAGATTCTTTGAGCAATTTGATTATGGGTGAGATGGTATTGCCTCTCACAATTGAATCATCTATAAGAACAATTCTTTTGCCTTTGAAGTTGTCTGATAATACTCCGAATTTTTTTGCAACACCAAGCTGTCTTAACCTCATGTTTGGCTGAATGAAGGTTCTTCCAACATACCGGTTTTTACACAGCACCTCCACATACGGAAGCCCACACTGACAGAGAAGAAACAGAAGAACAACGTGCAGCCATATGTAGAGAACTCTAGGTTTCTGTTTCCTATAAAGCTACCATTGTAATAGGTATGTAAGATTTTGAAATGTGGGTATTATGCTCAACTGTCTGTTATCAGATTAGAATTTTCCTTCACTACTTAAACTGTAGGGGAAAAAAGGCAAAAAGAAAAATTATTGAAGTAATACCAAGTCATTTTCCTAGAATTTGTAATGCTTTTCTCTTAAATAATTATTATTTCTCTATCTTGGAAGAGAACACTAAGCAAATGATAACATGACAAATAATAAATTTATACATTTAAAAATTAACAGCAAGAGATAAAATAAAGCCAGCAGATTAAAGAGATGCTTTTTAAGGCACAGGAGGTGATTTCACCAACTTTCATGGTAATGCTTACCTATAATTTCTTTTAGAAATTAACAAACTAAACTTTCCAACATAGTGAATGTTGACTATGCTTTATTGTCACCCATACTCAGGAGGGAAGAAATATACTAGTGGCTTGTAATGGTATTTCAGGAAGGAAATTTTAATAAAAGTAAATATTACCACTAAATTCTACATGTATTTTCATGATGTTATCTTTTTAAAACAAAGGGGCTCATTCTCCTAGCCTTTGGGTGAAACTTTTTGTGGACTCCACTGAAATGAAAAGGCTGAAAAATAAGTAACTCTTGTAAAGGTACCAACATTTTCTTTTTCCTTAATGTAAATGGATGAGTTTTTCTTTAGATGCAAGGATTTCTAATTCTACTGCTAAAAGGAAATACCTTTCCAGCATAACCAAGAGCAGCAGGTGTCGCAGATTCTGGAACAGTGCTAACCAAATCAGCATCCACAGGTGCCTCAATTGCCAGCCGCTGACCACAACGGTATCTTACTGTGTAAACCATTTGCTCTGAAATATTTGGAAAAGGAAAGAGATCGTTTTTACTTAGTATAATATAACACAGCATAACAGCACTATTCTAAGAATACCAACTTGTTAGAGAACTCTGAGTACAAAAAGAAAAGACAATACTAAAATATTTAAGTGGAAGTACATAAACTGGTTAATTCACTATTTTTTAAAAATCGACCTTAATACAGATCTAAAAACCATAATCCTTACTCCTAAAAGGAAAATAAAACCCAAGAATTAGACAAAAGGGCAAAATAGTGACATGTAGGCTATGTCCCATCTCCACTATATATAACAATATGCTTTGGAAGAGCCAGGTGACTTTGGGTCAAGAACTGACATTTCATTAAGATAAACAACAGATTTATACCAATTATTAAAGATACTTTACTTACCTTCAAATATACTATCTGGTCTTGCAAAATACACATATTCAAAGATACAAAAAGCCATTGGATTTCCTTCAGACCTTGGTATAATATCAAGAGTTTGTATATTATGTTTGGATATTTCCACAATTTCTCCAGGCAAGACTTCACGGTAGTATCTTGGAAAGAATGTTGAAGAAAGAAGACTTTAAATAAATTAGTTCTTAAGGCTGATAATAACATCTATTATAAAGTACACAAATAAATAAATAAATAAATAAATAAATAAATAAATAAATAAAGTACACTCATAGTCCCTTCCCTTATAAAATAAAAAATGTTTGGCTTAATATAAAAGCTAGTTATGGCTTAAAAAAATAAAAAAGTAATATTCCTCTAGCAGTAATTTCTGCACATATGTAACCCCTAAATTTTAATTAAAAAAAAATAAAAGTCCAAGTTTCATTAATTTTTTGAGAGAATAAAGGCTAAAGAGAACATTTTTGTCCTGGTTTTAAATTTTTCAAACATAACTATTCCTTGTTGAAGAGATTCTTCCTTTCTAAAATAAGTCTCACAGTATTTTGAAAGCAAGAGGGCATTTTCAGAATTAGAAGGTATTACTGGAACATTAAAGTTTAAATCAGTGCAGCTGGTAAACACAATGTACAAAAGAAAATGCATTTATAAATATGTCTTCTTGCAGACATCAGAAAGAAAACTTAGATGCAAAAGTTAAGAAATGTTTTTCACCCACATGGAAAAAGTTAATAAATTGAGTGAGATAAAACTTACCTTGCACCAATTGATAAAAAGCTACAAGATTCTGAAGATACCACCCATCCTTCTGTTTCTGAAGATTTTTTCTCTGTAAATCAAGATGATTCAGTTAATGGATTTAAGACATTTAAAAAGGTACCTACTTAAGAGACTACCTATTTCTATTTAGTATAAACACCAGTAAGATAAATAAAAAAGTTGGAGTATCAATTTCTGTAACTTTAGGAGCACACTTGCTCCTCAATTGACTTAAGCCAAAGATAAAATTAATGATCTCAAGATTCCTTCAAATACTAGGCTTTTATGGCTTGAATAAGACACCTGAAGGTAAATAAAGAAAAAAATCACTGAAATCATGACTACACAAATGAAAAGGCTGGGCAAAGGATATGAACAGGCAATTCAGGCAGGAGAGAATAGGAATGTCTATTAAATACATTAAAAATGGTTTATCTTCAGAAATACTCAAGGAAGTATATCTAAAAACTAAGTATAATTTTTTTCTTTTTTACCTAGCCCCTTCTCACTTACAAGCTTCCTATACCTAAAGATACTTCCCATACTAACAGCAGGACAATGACTTAGAAAAGCATTATGAAATTATATTCCTTTTGAAGTTTATTACCTTTATCATTTATATCAGATACAGGAATAAGACGACCAATGCATAGAGGACGATTTCCATAAGGGTCTCGTACTGCATAAATAACATCTCTGTGCATTATAAGTAGGGAGTATGCTGTAGGTGCTTCCTTCATTAAGTTTTTTATCCTGGAATTAATTAAATAATTGAATGAATAATTTCCATTATAAACACATAGAAGGCACACAGCTCTCATTAAGAGAGCTGCAAGCTTAGCCTAGTTTTATAATTACCTTGCTACCCAGTCTGGGGTGCCATCTTGTTCCTGAGGAGGAGTATATGCCAGTAACTGGGTAATCATTTCACTATCAGAACTTGTTGACAGACCAATACCATGACGCAGAAGCTATTTGGAGAGGAGAAAAGTGTAAAATCATCAGAGGGGAAGCTCTACCTCACCCCTCACCCAGTAGCCTACCATAATGGAAAGAGATCAGGCATTATGACAAGTGAATGCTCAGTTACGAAAACCCTGCATTCTACTAATGGTATGTATATATCATACTGAAGAACTGTGGCTAGAGGCAATGGGAAGTTTCTGAAGATTTACAGGCAGGAAAAAAGTTCTTTATCAGGTATACAAGCAAAAGGTTTTGAGAATTAAGTTTGAAGGAATGTAAACCCACAGTGGGAAGGTGGGGGGATGGAGAAGACATGATGACTTGAGATTGTGATTCTAACTTTTTTAGGCCTTGATACTCCTGACAAATAGGACACATTCCTGTGTCAGTGGCACAGACAGTGGGGACTCTCAAGCCAGGTTTGTTGGTGGTAATGATAGTGGCTACCCTTCCTCATTGATTATCACTGATAGAGTAGTAGAAAGGAACAGACTGCATTGGATGATTAAATGTAGACGAGGTGATAATAATTGGTTGAGTGCACTTTACGATGATGAGGTTCTAAAAGGGCTGACCAGGATAAGGGCATCACCACTGACACGCATAGGCTGAATTTAAACTATCGCTACAGAACACTCTTCATATGCAGCTAAATGTGTCATGCTGAAATCTATCATCTGGGTAAGAGGTTATATCTGGAAATAAGGAGCTCAGTATTGTCTGGAATTGAACTTCTAGTGGTTATCTCTATGTGGTGAGTTTTTTAGAAATTTTACTTTATAATTATATAATTGGATTAAAAATTTGTTTTCATGTGGGGGCAGAGATGCTTATTATCGTCATTATAATGCCAGAGCCTAAAAAGAGGGCAAGACAAATAAATAAATAAACAATTTAGAATAAATAAAGCTAGAACTGAAAATAGGACAATGAGTGTTGAAAAGCATGGCTTCTGAATATGTTCTCCACCCATCAAATTCACCATCATTTGACATATATAATTACTTCTCCCATGTGAAATGCCTGATCTACAATGCTAAGGGGATAACTGGAGGTATATATAGTGTGTAAAAACCATCCTATTACTAAATACCACCTGAAGCTTTTATTTCTGAGGTTACCAAATCAAGATATTGCAATCTAATGAATTCAAGTAAATCAAGATTATTGGAATCTAATGAATTCAAGTAACTTGGTGTCAATTAATGAACGGCAAGAATGGACAAATAAGAAGCTATCAGGAATATAAAGATACCAAGCAGTTTTTAGAAAAAATTTTTAAAAAAGGAAGATGAAATCATAGATGAAGGCATAGGTACAAATTAACACAAATTAACTCATACATCTCAGGCATCAATAACACAGAAAGCTTCAAATTACATGCTATGGACAAAAAAGAATACTCGTTGCCCCTTTTCCATGCTGTTTCCAAATCACTTTTGCTTGCATTTGTCATCTTCGAGTTTATAATCCATTTTCTTATTCCTTGAACATAGGGACAAAGTTAAAGGGATAGCAAAAGTCCATGAACCCTAATTCCTTTGTGCTTCTAATAGCTACCATACATCAATTTTTTCTACTCTAAAACAGGGCATTAGAATCACTCTGGAGCATATTAAGATGCAGACTCAGCACCTCCCATCCCAGACTCTGTAGTGATGTCTTAAGAGTCAAAGATATCAAGTACTCCAGATAATTCTTTGCAGTTATTGAGCAGGAAGCAACAATCAGAAGATATCCTTTACCAAGATTCTCAATAAATTCTTTCCATTAATTTATCCCAAAATGAAAAAAAGCATTAAAAAAACTTACCTTTCTCCTTAATTGAACAGCATTTACCAATTCACCGTTATGTGCCACAGCTATTTTCCCATGAAGTGTTTCAACAACAAAAGGCTGACAATTTTCTAATTCACAGTTTCCTGTAGTGGCATATCTCGTGTGTCCAATTCCAAGATTTGAAATATATAATTTCTTCAAGCTGTCTTCAGTAAAGACGTGGTTTACAAGACCCATTCCCTTGCAAATCAAAGTAAAGTTTATCTTAGAAAAAAACAGACTAGTAGTACTAGTAAATAGAGGCTTTTTATAAGGCTTTGCTCAGGCAATTCAAAATTAGACAATGTAGTTCACTTTTCCACTCTGCTATGAGATATTTTTTTTAAAACATTTAAGAACAGATATACCTAGCAATAAAACTTACCAAATATAATAAACTAAATTATTTACACTTCAAAAATTCAAAGCATGTTAAATATTGAAATAATATTGAAATAAATGACCTGTTTGAGTGAATCAGTCTAGCCAACTATCACTAGGAGAGAAATGCACCCTAATTTGACAAATAAAAAATTGCTGATCTGAAGAAATTACTTCTATATGCAAATTATATATTCAAATTTCCTTCCCCCATCCCCATATACTTATGGGGGTTACTGTTGCTATCTTTATATCAACATTTTTTGCTCAAATATACCTTGTGTGTTCTGAATGTTGGTACTGAATTCCCATCACTGGTCACAATACCAGCACTCTCCTGACCCCTGTAAATATAAAAAGGTATCAGCTGTTAAATTTACCCCATTGATAAGCTTAATGAACTTTATGAAACATACTTTTCTCAAAATCATCCATGAACTCAGTCTGACACATTAAATGTTAATATTACCTGGGCCTCTTCTACTCATCATGGTGATTAGCAAGCAGCAGCAGATACTGTTTGAATTCTAATAGGCCAGGCACTGTCTTAAGTCTTTTCATAAGTGATCTAGTTTATGAGGCTTTCACAACAATCCTATGAGGTAGGTACTATGATTACCATTCCCATTTTACAGATAAGGACACTAAAGTAAGGAAGTAACTTGCCAAATGTCACACACAGAACAGCGGTGGCACAGCCAAGATTAGATCACAGACAATCTGACTCCAGAACTTGTGCTTCTAACTTCTGTACTACATGACCTCTAGATAAGGCTGAGAATGTAGATATATATGGAAATCTCCAAATAAAGCAGCAGATACACACTTAGCTGTGAGTATTGGAATTATGGACAAAATGTATTTATTTTTGAAGTTTTTTTGTTTGTTTTTTTTTGCTTTTCTGCACCTTCCAAATTTTCTCCAAGTAGTTATCACTTTTGTTATTGGGGGAAAAAAAAAAACACTGTTTCTAAAAACCCTAAGCTGATCAAGTGTCCTGTATCCCATTTCCCGAATTCATACTTTTTAGGTGTTGAGAGAGAGAAAAAAGCTGAAAGCTGGGTTGGAAGTAGAGCAATACATGGTAAGACTTAGAGGATGTGCACCAGTGGAGTATAAACTCAAATGATAAAGGCTTCAATTGCTCAACAATTTTTAATCATTCTGAACAAATGCTATAAATACTAAATGTTAACAATTTTGTTCCAAAGAAAATCTTTACCACATATATATGTATACATTGATTATTAATACATTGATTTATTTTCTAAAAAGGGTCTTTTCAAAATTACATATTACAATTACTTAGGCATTTTAAAAGCAAGAAAAACTGACATAGGCAGTATAGTTCAGGAAGAGAAACAGGTTCTCAAGAAAAACTTGAGGCCAGTTCACATGGCCAGCCGGCAAAACAGGTTATATGTAAACAAACCAGCTAAATTCTAGGAAAATCAGCTGATGGCAAAACAGGTTAAGCAAAAACAAACCAGCTAGATTCTAGATGGGGAACAAACATGACCTACAGTTACCCAAAACTTCATTAACATATTAAAAAAATCACCTCCGTTGGGGCCATGATAGTTCTGAGGCTGACCATATCAAGACAAAAAGCAGGTGTTGCCCCTTTCCCCCAAAATTCCCTCCCCATTCCAAGAAAACACCGCCTACTCTGGTGAATATTCCGTCAAACCTCTGCCCTACAGTAAGCTAAACCTTTTATAAGAATTCAAGAAGTGACAACCCAGAACTGCTCATCTCTCAACCATGCCCACACTCCCTTCTTGAATGTGTACTTTCACTTCAGTAGACTGCTGCTTGCTCACGCCTGTCTGACCTGCTCACAAAATCTTTCTCAGCTGGAGCCATGAACTGACTACAGCTGTCTGCAGGTATAGGGCTCACCTCAGTGCACAGGTGAGGCCTCACTGACACAGGCCAACAGGCCACCCAGCAACAGAACTACATTAACTGTACTAAACAAGTAAAAAAAATCTAAAATATTAAAATTGGAGTTTTACTAATTATCAATGCATTAAATATGCTGAAAACAGATAATGCTTAATACCATACACTTGGTAAGACTGAATAATTTGTGATTTAGGATTTCTTTATTTAGTGTAATGTGGTCTTTAAGTTAGCCAAAACTGTAAGTCTAAGTGATTCACATCAGACAGAAAAAAAATTAACATTTGCCATAAACCTTAAGGGCAGAAAGAACCTCTGCCAACCATTTCCACAATCAACAATCATTTAGTAAACCAGAATTACGTAGGGAAAGAAATAAACCACACACACACAAAAAGGATTTTCCCCCCCCCTTTTGTCTCAAGGGTAATTTACAGTTGAAATAAATAACCTTAGCAATCATTTGGGTCCGGGCTTCTTTAATCACAAAGCCTGCGGCTTACTTGGCAGTTTTTCTAGTTACTCCCCTCCAGCAGCTTGAACCAGTTAAACTAGATTCTTTCGGCTCTTAGGAGCTTATTGACAACAAGCCGTCTGGTTTCCTAGGAAACAAAACCCTGGCTAGAAATAGTGAATCATTTCCAGGTCGCTTTCAAGATGGAGAGTGGCGCAGGAAAGCACTGGACTGAGGAAGAGGTTAAAGCTTTGCTAAGTGTCTGGGCAGAAAAAAATATTAAAAAACAACTTTACGGAACACTGAGAAATAAAGGAATATTTATTTACATTGCTAAAAGGCTGCAAGCACTAGGAGTATACAGAAATTGGAAACAGTGCCGGGCAAAGTATAAAAATCTCAAATATGAATACAGAACAGTTAAATATGCCCATAACTCTGGAGACAGCTCTAAAACTATGAAGTTCTTCCATGATTTGGATGTGATCCTGCAGTATGAACCTGCCAGACAATTAACAGAAGAAGATGCAAATGGCAGGTACCTGGAAACGCTGAGCCAAAGTCCAGCCCCACAGACTACTGAAGGTAAAAAGAAAAAGTACCATTCTTTTGTTTTTACCTAATGAACACTGACAATACAGGACTCTAAGTCCATGGTAAATATAGCCTGAAATGTCAAGGTTGAGAAGAATAACTGACCTGTTATGTTATTTTGCACAAAATACAAATTTATTTTAAAGAGGTTAAATATCACCAATTTTTAAGCCTGTAAAATACAGGGGAATTTGGAAATTTTGGAATCTGATGTTTTGGAAAATGGATTAGGTCCTGAAAATATTTTGGGTTTTAGTTTTTTAAGAATGGCAAAAAAAAAAAAAATCAAATATATTCCTCAACTGTTGTTTTCTACAGCCCCAAATAAGACAGAACTTTTTACTCTATCTAGTGTTCTCATTTTCCCAAATTTATTTTTTTTAAAAAGCATTAAAACTCTGAGAACTGATAAACAACATCTTCATTACTTGTTTGGAAGAACAACTCCATTTTAACAGTAAGGGAAACAAAAAGACTTGATAGATTAAATGATTTTTAGGTATTAAAACAGGTTCTTGACCTGCTGTGTTGTTAAGATCAGCACTATTTACAAAGAATCTGTTCATTGTCTGTGGAAGCTGGATGAATCTCTAGGCAAAGTGGGGAAATCAACAGCAGTAATGATTTCTCTCATTGCCAAAGTCTTAGAGATGCTATCTTAAGAGCTGCATTGTTTAATTTAAAATCTGTAATACCTACTGTCTGTGTACACCATGTGCAATGTACTGAGCTACTTGTACATGCATTTGGTGACGTGTAACCTCAAAAAGGAGGGAGCCATGAATAAATGTTAACACTCAAGAGAAAATTTAAGTGGTATAATAAATGCACCAAATGAGAAGGAGGTTAAAATGACAAAGATTACATAGTTGGGTTAATTTGGGTTATCTGAACTTCCTATTTAAATCTCAATAGTAAGTCATTTGTAAAAAATTCACCCCACTCCTATAGTTTGTTTACATTTCTGATACTATACCAAATTCTGAGACAGCTTTGCAGTCATTAGCAAGTTAACAGCAATTACTTTATTCAATTAATCACTCTGCTCTCCTTATCATTTAAATGCTTTAAATATTGATAAATGATAAGTAAATCACTGAGCTCCTGAAGGGCCTTGATTTTAAACAGAGGTTGGTATGATGAAGATGTAGGGGCTAATATCTCCATGTTTTAACCCCTTCTTTTGTGTATGTTTATCTTCATTTCTTAACAGGATCTTCTTCCAGCCCTTTCAGACATCCACAAAACTAACTCCCCAATTTCACTCCCCGGCAAAGGGCCCATAATTACAACTTAACCATGTATTTTTAAGGTATCTCAAACCCCCAATTCTAAACCCAAACTCTTCCACCATCAATGTCACTGCATTTCCAATCACTTAAGTGAAAATATCTGAGATGTTCCTTGACCTTTGGTCAGAGGTCCTTTAAAAAATCTATTGACATTTCAAATATTTTTCTGTGTTCTGTTCTCATTATCACCATCTAGAACTTCAACAGTTGGTATATTAAGATAACCTCTTAACTAGTCCCCTTTGTTTTCAGCCCTTTCCCACACATTTTCTACAATTCCATTGCTGGTTTTTCTTTAAATTTTTTAAATTATAGAATCACAAGCACATTAGCACTTAATCTCTGAATTATACCTAAATTAATAATAATTTAGGATTAAATGTTACTTAATGGTTACATAATATTTAAACGAATGCACATACCAAAGTTTAGGTATTTGCACCCTTATAGAAATGATGCTGTAATCAATCCTTCTGTCCATATTTAACATTTTTACTTTAGGATCTATAGACCACTGGAAGTTCAATTACTGCTCAAGAGGGGTGTGGGAAAGTTGGGGCTCCTATGGCCAGGATCCTCACTGAACTTAAACCACATGATGACCTAACTGGCCTGTTGCTAGGCTACTGCTTCCACACTTGTAGGCAATAAGCTATTATTGCACTATATAGAGAGCTGGGCCCAGTGCTCTGGGCAGAGGCAGAGACACTTAGTGCTCGACCTACCGCCAGGAGAACAAGATGGGTAATAAACCCTTTCACTCCAAAGAAACATTCTACTGTCATTTCTTTGGTCACATTGAATCCACAGAGAACTTGCCAGGGGCTGAAACCCATTGGCAAGACAAGGGGTATGATCACAATATATATATTGCTTAAGTAACGGTGTAATTCCAAAAGAATTATACTTTACTAACAATGAGACTGTCCCTTTTCTAGAACCCTGTGATGCAAGATTATAGATTAGGGATGAAGGGGGCAGGGGCTTTGCTAATTAAATAACTGTTTGTAATGGTGTATGCAATCAGTAACTTTTTATTCTGCATTTACTTATAGTTATTTAGAACATTTTTCTATATATTCACTTTTATGATTTAACTGTTTATATCAGTTGAGATCTTACAAATTTGCATGACATCTTTTGCCTTATAATTTCGGCTGATTTTCATCTGATCCACAGAATTCAAAAGTTCTTAAAGATAATCAAACAGTTTCTCTTCTAAGGCTTAGAAAGCCCTCCTTTCACCAAGTCTGATTCATTTATAACGTCTTCCTGTTTTTCCATGGCCAAACCAGCCGAATTTTTATTGATGTATGATAATCTGAAGGGAAGAAAATGAATGCAACTTTTCCACTGCTGGAATCAACCTCCCGCAGGTGGTTAAGGACAGGCGATCTGATCTCCTGTTAGGCAGCAGGTGGTCTGACTGAGCCTTGGCGAAGGACCCAAATATAAACTCTGAGACTTCATTTTCTGGAAATAATAATCACCTTCAACCTCAGAATACCTTTGACCTACTGCTCTGATTCACATTCCTTCAGTGCCCAAGTTCTACTCTATTTACCCTCCTCTTTACACAAATGCATCAGGAGTAATGATTTAAGAATTTTAGTTTAAAATCTCCAGGGCATGAGACCCCTGTATACAATTTTGGGATCCAAGCTAAGAATGACCAATTTAAAGGGGGAAAACCCCTGAAAAAGTTGGGGAGAACTTTTTCACCCCTCCCTGTATGTTACGCTACAGGACTTTTTTAATGCCAATATTAACTAAGCCTAAACCTGATAACAGAATAGCAAACCCTACCTTTCTTTACTGTTCTCATTGTCAAGCTCAGGTGTTAAATTATCTGGGACTATCAATATCTTCTGCACTTCTAAAGAGAACTGTTAAGTAACTTCAGATTTTTATTTTCCATATTCCCAACTAAATCCAAAGCATTCCCTAACTGCAATTTAACCTCAAATAATTATGAAACCTGATTTTAAAAGTTGGACAATTTTTACTTTAAGAATTTTAAATTTATATAAATATGTACAAAGAGGTACTTCCCTTATTTTTCACTTGTTTTTCTATTTTATCATAGGAATCCCTAATTAATTTTTAAGATGAAAAAATAGAATTCCTTTTCTTAAATGGAATGCTTCTAAATATATGGTGAACTTCATTTTAAATTAATTTTTATGGCGTTAAAGCACACCTAATATGCAATCTCCTAATGAAAAATATAATGCTATTTCTGTTACTCAGTGAAACAAAGTAAGAAAAACATATATGGAATTAACAAGTAAAATGAATAGTTCAGAAAATTATAAAAAGCAATCAGAATACTCTGAATAGTCTGCAACCTCATCGTAATTAAGGTTCATCTTCAATTTTATGTGCCAACTGAATTAAAAATTCTGTATGTTGGATTTCTTTGAAAGATGTACTTTACTTTTTCCTCATATTACCCTCCTTGTTTGATTACTTTAAAAAGTAGTCTATAAATCATTTTATGAAAATCTGTATTAAAACACCCAAATCATAAAACAAGGAGATCAAGGAAGGATGTTTTCATTTTTCAAGATTTGCATGGTTCTCTTAAATGACATACCCCTTGGTCCATTTAAGAATGACTTAGATTAATATCTGGAAAGTTTAGTATGTATGAATAAACTAATTACAAAAAATATATACAAACTCTTAGCTATCTGACCAAATAAGCAAGATTTTCTGATTATCTGATTGCAGGATCTCTCTTCTACATTACTGAGTTGAACCCTGAACAACATGAGTTTGAACTGTACAGGGTCTACTTTTATGCAGAATTTTTTTCAACAAAATATATTGAAAAACTTTTTTTTTGAGATTTGTGATAAAATGAAAAAACATTGTCTCTACCATAATATAGTATATAATACACAAAACATACAAAATGTGTGTTAACTATGTTATATTAGTAATGCTTCTAGTCAATAGTAGGCTATTAGCAATTATTTATATTCTGGGGAGTCAAAAGTTATACATGGATTTTTGACTACAGAGGGTCAGGGCCTCTCACCCCTGGGTTCAAAGGTCAACTGCAGTATCATTTAACAAATGCCTACTATGTTAAAGCATCTAAAAAACAAAAATAAATAAAAGAAAAAACTTCTCACCTTAAAAATGTAAATTAATTTGAAAACTAACCACAACCATCTCTAGAAATGTATAAAATTGGCAAACAATTCTAGCAGAAGTTCAAAATAAACCATGTAAATGGAATGGAAGACATTAGATTTAAACTATATTATCCCACTTTACTACAAAATATCTATCACAAATGTACAATCCTTCATGAATATGATCAAATTTAGTCCTCCTCCTTCATGTCCTTTACCTTTTCCTCAGTGCTTTGCTGTGATGTCTTCTTATTCTTCAACAAATCATTTTCCTCCTCCACAACCCTCACAGCTTGCATTTTTGCACTGCCTCTTCTCATGCTCCTAGCAGGAGCCCATCCTTCTCCTCCACGGCCTTTCTTAGTACTGTGAAGAATAGCCAACCCATGGTTCCTGCCACCTTGAAGGCTCTGTGTTTCTCTAAGGACCTCCCAGTCTCATGGAGGTCCTCTATCACTGCCTCAGGCATCACCTCCACCTCCCCGAAGTCCCAGGGAGGGGCCCACTCCTTTAGAAAGAAAACCATCATGGTCCTTGCCTATTGGGGGACATCTAAATTCCTCCTCACCCATAAGGGATTCCTGCAGTATTTTCCTAGCCATAAGGGCAGCCCACAGAAGTATCCCTCCCATGAGGGAAGCCTGTGCCATTTTTTGGCCTACAGAAAATCCTGCCAACTATGCCAAATGTCTCACCTGAGGGTCTCAGCCCTGGGCAAGTTCACTCTGGATTCAGTGAGACTGAAAAGTGACAACAGAATGTTAGGGGTAAAAGGGTTTATGCCAAGCTTTATTCTTATGGTGGCAGGTTCAGTGCTGGAATCATGTCTGCCTCTGTGGCAGTCTGCAAGCAGCAAGCCCATCTCCATCTCTGCCTCCAGGCAGAGCACCGAGCCAAGGTCTTTATATAGTAACATCAACAATAATGGCTCATTGCCAATGGGTGTATAAGCATTTGCCTAACAGTAGGCCAATTATAACATCAAGTAGTTTAGGGTCAGGCGAGGATCCTGGCCATAGGAACTTTCATTTTCCCTACAGTATTCCATCTCCTATGGAGAAAATTACTTTCTTTACTAATGTTGCATCCAATTATCTGATGTATATAACCCATATATACATATATCTACCCCCCCATATGATACAGGTAACTCTACATCAATAATGAAATCCCCTAATAATCCAACTTTTTATTCCAACTGTAGCAAATGAAGGAGGAAAACACTGGACTGTGCCAGAAGTCAGGGCTCTAATAAGCATCTGGTCTGATAAAAGCATACAGCAACAACTAGAGGGAACAGTGAGAAATAAAAGAATATTCGAACAAATCGCTGACAAGCTTCAGAAATATGGAATGGAGAGAGACTGGAAGCAGTGCAGAACAAAGTACAAAAACTTAAAACATGAATACAAGATTGTGAGAATGGCTCAAGACCTGGGCATGACTAAGAGTATGAAATTTTTTACTGAGTTGGATGCTATTCTGGGACATAATAAAACAGAAAAATCACAAGAGCAGGAACCCCAAGATGGAGAACAAGTTACAGAACATGCCAATGTAAAAATGGAAGAGGACCAGACAGGTAGGAAGGCAAGAAAAATAATCTTAATATCATGCTAAAAATGCCAACAGCATATTAACATGAATATAGTTTATGTTAAATAGGTTTCATTAAATGCTATTCAACAAGATAATTGCTGAATTTATCATGGAACAGATTTAATGTATATTTGATCTCCCCCAGAACACAGAGAATGGTATAAAGTTATACAAAAGGAGGAAATAAATTGGATTTCCTGAAGTTTAAAAAAAGACCAGTTTTAATACAGCAGAAATGCAACTCTGGATAGAAGTAAAAGTAAGTTTTCATACCAGTTGTGGTAAAATTGTGTGATCAGAAAAAAGGCACTGAAGAACTTAGAAAAATACAAAAGTTATAAGAATGTCTCTGAAGTATAAGTTCTTCTGGGACACATCATAAAGTTATTTAAAAAGAGTTTAACCCAAAGGATTGAGATACAATATACCCAAACACATGACCAGTGAAATAAATTATATGAGTTCTAGACCAAGAGTCAGGAAATCCAAGTTGAACTCAGTCTCTGTGGAACCTTGAACCAAACAAATATCTCTTCTATATATGACTCTAATGGGGAATGGACAAGATGTTCTTAAAGACCTCTACTAACCATAATGTTTCTATATTTTAATATCTGCCTTAAATGATACAGTCCTAATTGTGACGGGAAAGATGAAAATCAGGATTGGGACATGGTGGTTAAGTCCTGAAATGAACAGGAAAGAAACTGGACTGCTAGAGAACTATATATCTGCCTCATTAGCAGTGGCATGATTATGTTCATACAGTAATTGCTGTAGATGCAGCTAAAGGTGACTCCATCAGTTATATGTCAGAAGACCTAGTTAGGGACTTGTAACACCAGGTATCTACAGTAACCTAAGACAAAATTGTTTAAGGGAGGGGAATCTAAACTACAAAAAGGAAACAACCATAGTATTTAGTTATCAGGTTCACTCTAAAAGGGAAAACAATATATTAGAGTTTAAAAACACAATTCTGAAAGTGAATAAACACCAAACCACTATGTATCTCACTATGTTCATACAGTCATTGCTGGAGATGCAGCCAAAGATGACTTGGTCAGTAATATGTCAGAAGACCTAAAAGACACAGATCTAAAACAAAATCCTGGCACAGGTAAAGCGATATTCTTTGTTTTGTGTGTGTGTGACAAAATACATAAGATGTTGCTACCAAGTGAACTGTGTCACTCCAAAATTCATGTTGAGGCCCTAATCCCCACTGCAGTAGCACTGAGATGAGGCCTTTGGGAGATAAACAGGTTTGGAGGAGGTCAGGAGGGTAGGGGCTTCATGATGGGTTGTACAATGTTTTTACATATAATACATAACATGCTACAAATATCTAAGATATTATAAAAACATACAAGAATGTTTTAACATTATATGAAGTACGGTTGGATAACACTCATATTTACAAAATACAGAAATGGAAGGGAGAAATTATTAATGACAGTTTAACGTTCCCTATGGCTGTTCTCAAAGTGTAGCAGCATCAGCTTCATTTGGGAACATACTCAAAATGCAAATTCTTGGGTCCCATCCAGAATCAGAAACTGAGGTCGGGAACCAGCAATCTGCTAAATCCTCCAGGTGATTGTGATGCAAGCCCAAGTCTGAAAACCAGGGGTTCTAAGGGGGTGGAAGAGAATAAGTGCTTCCCATCTGATGGTTTTCCTTTTACAGATACCAGAATGTTTTTGGGGGAGGGGAGGTCATCAAGCTCCCAAGCTGAAGCCTGTCACAGGCCCTGCAAGTAAGTCTTTCAGCCCAAAGCTTCACATAGTCTTGGGAAATGTAAAGATCAATGTTGATTAACAAACCAGATAATCAAATTCCCCACGCTCTTGGAAAACTTTTTCCTGTTGTATCAGATATGATTGATTAAAAGCTCAATGGTAAAAAGGAAGCTGCTAGAATAACAACGGGAAAATAAAAAGGAATTAAGGAGACGAACTACTCAGGAACGTGGAGCTGACCAAAGGGGTATGAACAAAGATAAACAAAGGTCTGTGCTCCTAAGGTTTCTGAGGACACTAAAGCAATGACCCTTGTCATTAGAGTTAAAGATCAGATTACTACAGTTTAATAAGAAAGACTTGCGTGAAAAAATCCACAAACATTAGCACTCTGAAGATTGCAGTTTGTTAGTCTTCTGGAAAACTCAATATACTCAAGGTAACTTTTTTATATATAAAAGAAAAAGATTAAGTTGACTGTAAATGGGCAGGACTTTCAAAATTGGTATGTTTAATTTATCTGGAATATATTTAGAAAATATGAAACATGATATATTTACAGTCATTCTAGAAACTGTTATTTTAAACTTTCAGATGAAAATAAAAGCCAAGATACAAATCCACAAAGATCCCAGCACCCAAATACAGAGAGACCAAATTTAAACAGGCAAGGATTTTAGGCCACCTACAATATATACCTACTGATGTACAAATCACCACTCCACTATTTAGACAACTGCTGTGTTAAGGTATAAAGATACAGATATTTTCTTCAGGGAAAAAATTCACATCAAATGTTCTTTTTTTAAAAAAACAAAACCACATCTTCCTAATTATAACCCTTAAATAGAATTTGTGCCTCATATCGAATTTACCGAGTATCATAATTCCTCCAGGTGGTAAAGATACCTCGAGACAAGTGCTGGGCATAGAAGCCACAGGGCATAAATCTGCAAAGAAGTAAAAAGCTAACCTTTGCAAACAATATGGCTTCTCTCTCACTTACCAACTTTACATTTCCCTGTATGGCCCCGGAAGATGACTGGTTAGCCAGAGACGGGTAAGATTCCTCAAGGGAGGAACAACCTAAGACAGGCACAGTCGCAGGGGGGCCATCAGGTGAGAATTTGGGGATCAACAGAGGTGAGGCTCAGAACCTCACCCCCCTGCTTTGAGAGAAATCTTCTGCATCCGTGGATGTCTTGCTGCCCTTGTCTAGCCTGGATTAATACTTAGTCCATAGGCACACACCTGATCATCTGATCATCTACATTTGCCTTCTTACAGCACTAAACTATGTTTTCTACCTTTATCTTGCATCTACCTACCACTTCAGCATTTTATTAAAAATAAAAATAATAATAATAATGGGAGAAATGTGGGATCAACATATAAATCAAGTACAAAAATCAAACGAATATTCATATTTGACCTGATTGTTTATAGGTCATAATGCGTGATCAAAACCGAAAGTTTCTGTGATGAATGCCCTTGTACTGTTCACCATGTAAGAATTTATTCACTATGTAAGAATTCGTTCACCATGTAAGAACTTGTTCGTTATGCTTCAGAAGATTGGAGACTGACGAGAATTAGACTTGAGATGGATTAATGATTGTACATTGAGCATTGACCCCCCCCTATACTGAATTTTATTGTTGTTAACAACCATTTGATCAATAAATATGAGAGATGCCCTCTCAAAAAAAAGTTTCATAAATCCATACTGGTACATTCACCTTCTGGCTATTATCATAGTTTCTGACAAAAGGGCTGATTTTCAGATGCTATATTAATGCATTTCAAAAATAGTAAATTTGATAATAGATTAATATTTATTAATAGGATAGTTTATAACTATTTTGTTCCTCACTTTTCTCAGCAGTCTAAAAAGGTTTATTTTTTCTGGTTCATTGAAAACTGTAAAAACTATGTGAATGCTTCTATGAATAAAAATATATAATCTTTCCCTTCAAAAAAAAATAAATAAATAAAATTAAATTAAAAAACACGATAAGCATAGTCAAAAGACAAAATAATTTGAAGACAGTATTTGTAACACATAGGACAGAGCACTAGTATTATCATTTAAATAAAAAAACTATTAAAATCAGCAAGCAGTAAACAATCCAAAGGAAAAATTGGCAATGGATTTGAATGGGCAATTGACAAAATAAAAATACAAATGGCCTGTAAATGTATGAAAATATTTTGAATGTCATGAATAATCAAGGAGTGCAAATTAAAACAGAAGTACAGTATCACTTTTATCTGTCAGTTTGGCAAAAATTGATCATAGCCAATGATCTAGAAAGTGTGAGTAAAGGTCAATTTCATACAATATTGGTATGATTGTAGATTGGTAAAAACCTTTTTGGAGGGCATTTTTGGCATGTCTATTAAAATTTTAAATGTGTATCTATATTTTATGTATCATATGGATAACTAAAACAGATTGTGAAAGATACATGTGGAAGGATGATCTCTACAGAATTATTGCAATGCTGGAAAACTGGAAACAATCTAAATGATGATTTGTAGGGCTTTGATTAGATTATACTGTATTTATGCTGTAGAATACTACACAGCCATTTAAAAAATGAAATAGGTCTGTATGAACTAACATGAAAAGATATAGAATATAAGAGAAAAAATAAGCAGTTCAACAGTATTGGTACTATGATCTCCTTTGTATTTGTTTAAAAAGCATAATGAGTGTCTATGTTTGTGTACATGTGTAGAATACATGCATAGTAAAAATCTTAGGGAACATACACCAGTAGTTAAAGAAGGTGGTTTTGTGGTAGTGTTGCCAGATAAAATATTGGATACCCAGTTAGATTTAAATTTCAGGTAAACAACACACTTTTTAAAAATATAAGTATGTCACAAACATTAACTGGATGTCCTTTATTTTCATTTGCTAAGTCTGACAACCCAATTTATGGGGAATGTTCACCTTTAATGTTAAGTCTCCATATTGCTTGAATTTTTACAATGAGCATGTTTTACCTTGGTAGTCATTAAAAACAGGTAAAAGTTTGAAAAAAAAAAAAACCACAACAAAGTATGCGTATTCTTATGCAAAAATGGAGGTTACCTCCTTTTGATTTTACATAGTTTACTTATGAAATATGTGTGAAGTTGCTATTGCTCCACACATTGTTAACACTGACACTTGGCCATAAAACTGATATCTCAAAAGTAATTTCTTTCCTATCTTCAATGTATGCTATAAACTTCTGTCTTATTTCAAATAAAAATCCAGCTAGAGTTGTAGATTCCCTGGATTGTGGGTATCTAATTAGTTCCCAATGTAAAACCGAGAGATTTTGGTCTAGTATAGGTTGTAGAGTGGGTTCAAACACCTGTATCTTTATAGATCGTCACGTACAGCCAGGGTTGAAAACCATAGCTAGGTTGTGAGGTTTAGAGAGTAAGATCAGCAGAGGGATGAAGAGAGTAATAAACTCCAATTTGAATCCATTCAGGGAAATTTAGCTAATTCTAATAAATTATCACTTAAAAAATGCATGACTAATGCAATGTGAAAGAAGTTAATCACTGGGAACATTCATAGAACTCTTAGGCTGCACCTATTACAGTAACTTAAAAGAAATGGTCCGTGAAAATGAGTAACTTTCTTTGGATCTAAAATTAATTAGATCCAAAGAAAATTAATCTTTCTCTGTTTCTGAGGTATAAGAGGATAAAAGCAATCAGAAAGTTACTACAGGAGAAAGGACTGTTAGCCTAAAGACAAATTTGTGTTTGATAACCTTATCATCTACTTGCCTTTTCTCCATAGGAGAAACAAAACTAACAAAAAGACTTACTTCACCTCCAACGTCAGTTGCCATTTATATGAGGTGGAATACCTCAACATCTTGGTATTCTTGACAGTTACTGCTTCTAGCATAGGACAATCACAGGTAGATCAATTTTGGCTCTGAGGGGTGGAAACAGGCATATATATCCTATTGGAGAAGGTCACTCCTATTATTGGCCTAGAAAATCACAAGCGAAAAACTACATTGTTCCATTTAGGAATAATCTTAAAACTATTTTCCTTTGACTGTAGTAAAACATCTTTCCAAAATTAAAATACTCACTATCCCCACAGTTTAACAAAAATTAGCACTGTGGTGACCAGCAGAGGGCATTAAATTATTTATTGTTAGTATCTCACAAGGTACACAGCATTTCATTTTCTCCAATTCATTCATTTCTTAAAAGACCAAAACCGGGAAATAAGTTTCTTGAAGATGGAACATTTAAACACTTTAATATATCTTTCATACAATTTGGATAATCTTAATAAAATTATTATATAAACTAATGTACTTTAGTCATATAAAACACAATACTAAGAACTTTAAAATTTTTAATCCAGAAGATCCAAAGAAATACTTATTATTAAAATTTCAGAGGACTCAAAAATTATAAATGTAAAAAAAAAGAATGCTCAGACTTAGGTAAGCTGGTAAATTTAAATACAGGCAACTTATTAATTATAAAGGTGTGATTTTTTTCCCCCTAATTCTTACTATTTATATTTTAATAAGCTTTTAAGAAGCTGTGGCGTAATAAAGAATTTATCTTGTCTTACTCCCCAGTTCTTGGTACAGAGCTTCAAAAACCTTGGGGTTAATTTCCAGATGTAGTATCTTTTTCATTCTAATGCGGTGATCCAAAAAGTGGGTTTCTAGATAGCTTCAAGACAGACCTAGTCACCAAAAAGACCAACTTCGTGATTAGAGGGTTAGAATTCTGGGCCAGCCTCTCCTCCAGCAGGAGAGTGAGTTTGAAGATTGAGTTCAAGCATGCGGCCAATGATTTAAGTAATCATGCCATAATCAATCATGTCAATAAAAACTCTGGATCAGAAATGTTCTCTGGTTGGTAAACACACTTATGGGCTGAGAGGGTGACACGCCCTGACTCCACAGAGAGAAAGCATAGAAGTTCTGCATTGGGACTCTCTCAGACCTTGCTCTATATGTCTCTTCATTTGGCTGTTCCTGATTTATACCTCTTAAAATAAAACTGTAATCCTAAGTACAGTGCTTTCCTAAAATTCTATGAGTCATTATAGCAAATTACCATATCTGAGGTGGTCATGGCACCCCCTGAATTTGTAGCCTGTCAGCTGATAGGGTGGCTGGCATCTGAATTAAGGGGCAGTCTTGTGGAAGACTGGGCCCTCGATGCTGCAAAGTATAAAGCTAATTCCAGGGTAGTTAGTGTCAAAATTGAATTGCAGTATGCACAGTTGGTATGGAAACATAACAAAACCAAACACTCATCTATCCTTAAAAGATGCTAAATTTAGGGACTTGCAAACATCCTACACATACACTAGTACACTAGAATAAATCCATGTTACATATTTACCAGGCTAAGCACCATTAGTTTCCTGAAATGTTTATCACTCATCTACTGTTTAAACCACCTAATCTTACAGTCTTTTATTTCTTTATATGTATTGCAATAAGGATCACTGTTAGTTAAAATGAGGATCAAGTTTAAAAAAGACATGTAAGAGCTCTCTGTCAAGAATTAAAAATTAACAATGAAAGATGTTACAAAATTGGATCTAAAAGTGTTATTATACTCCCAAATAGAGTATACTGCCTTGTGACTTTGAAGGCAGAATTCTTTCAAGATTTTGAAGGGGGTGAATCCTCTAAGCCCATTTCAAAATTTGGTTAGAGATGGCAAATGTTCCTGGTGTTGAGGTTATAGTTTCAATGCTGGAATCCAGTCTTACTTGGTTTTTCAACACAATCTTCAGTTGCAAAAAGTAGATTAGAATTTTGTGAACAAATTTAAATTGCTATTCTTTGTTTTCTGACAGAGGAAGACACCATAAGTACTGCTTCACAAGCGGTAGGCAGCCCCACAGCACAAGGTATCACCAGGACAGGTACAAGGTCTAAATTGTTGAACTGTAAATATTATTTTGGCATTTAAAATCTAACATATGCCAGTTTAAGGAGTTACAGGGAAGATCTTTATTGAGTATTACCCAAATGCTTCATTATACCTGAAGTGGTACAGATTATGGTAGGGGAGTAAAGGAAATGTCCATGCCTACTTCTTACTAAAAGAAATTAGTAAACACTGAAACTGTTCATATTCATAAATATCCAATTAACATTACCCACTGATGAAAAGCAACTAAATTATTCTCACCAATTTTGGGGATTAGTCTGCCTTATAATTTTTGAGATAATTTGAGTATAAATGAAAAAAAATTTGACCCTCATATTGAAATTATTATAATTCTCAGGCTTTACATCAATCCAAGTTGTTTTAAATGAATGATATTCAAATACAAGATTTACCTGCAAGTTTGAATAATCATAAATCATGTTGATTTATAGGTAACCATATTCCTGTAGAAGATGCTAAAAGTCATTTACAGATTAACACAGAGGCTGGAAAACACTGGTATGACAATGAGGTCAGAGCACTTATACACATATGGTCTGATGAAAAAATCAAGCAAATGCTTGAAGGAGCCACAAGAAATAAAGAAATATTTGAGGAAATTGCCAGAAGACTAATGCAATTTGGAATAGACAGAGACTGGAAACAATGTCGTGCCAAATACAAAAATTTAAAATATGAATACAGAGTTTTACAAAAGAAAAATGGCAACCCTCAAAGAAAAATGAGATTTTATGAAGAAGTTGACTGTATCCTAAGAAGACCAACTCTCACAACTGCCAAATTGAAACATGGTAAACTTGAAATTGACTTCTTAAAATAAAAATTCTATAAAATTTCCTCCCTACATTGTAGCTAAGAAATTCTTCCAAAACAAAATCCTAACACTATTGTATGTTCAAATCACCCAAAAAATTATTAGAAAACACATGCCTAATTTAAGTCAAAAATTTCAATTTCTTTCCAAATATTATACCAAAATATTCCTGATTCTTAAACTCATTCTTCTTTATCTGTCCAATTGCTTGAATGTTCTTGAGTGTACTTGAGCGCTTGAAGACTAATGTCGTTTAAATGATGTCATATAAGATTTTTTTCCTATGTTGTTTTGTTTTTAAGAATTAGTTGAAGGTCACACCAAAATCCCAAGAACTTTGAGCATCAAGAGAAAAGCACAGAAAGATGGTAAGAGCCTGAGAGATGTTCATTATATTAAGAAGTTCTTATAGTAAGAAAAACTTCTGTTGCTTTTTCCTGATAACAGAGATGTTCATTCTTGTCCTTGACAAAGTAGACTAAATATACTGTTTATGAGCTGTGAGAGCAAAAAAGGCTGAGAAATAATTTCTTTCATGAGCATTATGAGTAAAAGTAACAGTAAATGGAAACTTTCCCAGAGTCAGAAATTTCTGCACGACTGTGGATTCATCATGAGCATTTAAAATGATACTTTATAGTGACTGCTATCAGAAAACTGGGGTGTAAAAGGAAAAACCACAGAAACTACTAAGTTCTAGATTTTGGTTTTCTCCAAAGGTAGGTAGTAATGGATGTAACATTTTAGTAATTCTGCAAATAAGTTAAACTCAAGGGCAAACAGAACTATGTGAGCTGTAATTTCAAAATGATTCCTTACATATTATCAGAAAAGGTAATATGATGTAGTAGAGCATATAGGAGAAAAATGCAGAAGAAAAGCACCAGACTGAGAATCAGAAAACTTGGGATCTAATATTTCTCTGACCCTAGTAACTCAACACAGAGCAAATCACTGCACCTCTCCAGATTTCTAGGATAATCTAATTTTAGAATTTTATTTATTTATAATCTATCAAATTGTTATTGAGTACACAAAAATGTTGAAGAGCTCAAGTTTTACAAAGTGAACACTCATGCAGTCATCACTCAAACCAAGATATAAAGCATTACATTAGCTCCCTGGAGGTATCCCAGTCATTTATCATCCTCCTAGACCCCATAATGGTTATCACTATTCTGACTTCTATTACCATAGATTAATTTTGGTATTATACAAGATATTCTTTTCTTCTAGTATGCGTGGTTTAAGGTCAAGCTTCTTGTAAGATTTATCCATCATTTTACTTGTAGCAGTTCATTCTTTTTTCTTGCTGTAGAATATTCCACTACAGGATTATAGATCCCACTACCTTCTTATCTATTCCACTGTTAGATATGACCATTGTTTTCAAATTGGAGCTAGTATGAATAATTCTGCTACAAAAATTCCTGTGCATGTCTCCCAATAAACATATGTATGCATTTCTTTTGAGTATATACCCAGGAGTGGGATGTGGGTCATAGGGTATCCATGTATCCAGGTTCTGTCCTAAGTACTTTACACATATTAATGCATTTAATTACTACAACAACACTTGTGAGGGAGGTGCTACCATTATCCCAGTTTACAGAGGAGGAAATGGAAGCATAGAGAAGTCTGTTCTTGTTCCAGTTGGCCACATTGCCTCCCTCGCTGTGAGGGGCAGGGACCTCATCTGCCCTATGTGGTAACACATTCCTGCTGCCTAACACAGTGCCTTGCATATACATAGCAGGAGCTTAAACAAATCCACTTTTTGAATGAAGTATTTGAGAAGTGCAGGAATCTACCCACCTACCCTTCACCTGACAACCCTTTTATCTCAAGTGAACTGTAAATTTTATTATCCACTTGTTTGGACATTAATTGCAAGTTGGATGAGTTGTATCTCCTTTGCCTTCTTTTAATGCTCTATAGTGGATATGGTATTAAAAAGGGGAAATTGTGAAGGGCTAACAACACAAAAGTATCTTTTCCAATCCACTGAATTTGTGCATTGGACCTTTATATAAGTCTAACCCAACTGATGAGAACACAGACCCAGAGATTAGAAGACTTGCCTAAGGTCAAACTGATGTACTGGGAAACTTGGGATTAGATTTCAAGCCCTATATTAAGGAGCTGTTCCCAATATTGACTAGAATAACGAAGCAGTAGTACTTTGAGAATCTTTTGGGGATAGACAAATATTCTGCTTCCAAATAATGCAAAAGCAAAGTTCTAAATAATAGTTAAAAGTGGAAGACTTTAAACAGTTGTAATTGAATTAGAAGTCTTTCAAAATCAAAAACTAGGACAATTAGGAAGGACAGTTTTAAAATAAGTCATTTACCTATAGTTAACAGTACAGCGTCATATACTTGGAGGTTGCTAATAGAGTAAATCTTATATGTTCTTTACACACAAAAAAAGATTGTGATTATGTGAGGTAATGGAGATGTTAAACAACCTTTTTGTAATCATTTTACTATATATACATGTATCAAATCATTACACTGTACACCTTAAGCTTACACAATGATAAACATCAGTTATCTCAATAAAGCTGGGAAAAAAAAATAAGTCACTTACTATGGGAATATAAAACATTACTTACTATGGGAATATAAAACATTATAGGAATGTGACATATTTGGTCATTATTTAATAGAGATGGAAATCAAAATTAAATTGACTCAGACTAGTTAGTTTTGGCAACTAAAAGCAAGTTCTGTGACAACCTCCTCCTGTATTCTCCAACAAACTAAATGAAGATAACTACGAACTAACTCCATAGAGGTCTAAGTGCATCTCTCTTTCCCATGAAAGTGCCTCTCCAGTGATGTTAGAATATTATCCACTCTGTTTCAGAACCAGTGTCTGTACCTCCTAAGAAAACTGCTCCTGAGATCATTGCAAATTGGTTTCCTCAAAGCAAAGCAGAACTAAAAGGTTTTACAGAATGTTTCTGCAGACAGGAGACCCTCTACATGACCCAACTTCATCAGGTAAATATCATAATTTTTAAAAGTTTATCAGTTTTAGAGTTCAACTGTTGACGCAAGGAAGTGATACTCCACTCAAGGAAAGGGCACTTCCTAATTAAGGAAGGGCTAATAGTTGATTCATGGGATAAGTCTATGAAATTTTAATAATTCCTTTTATGGAATCTTCACATATACCCCTATTACTCTAGTCTCCATAACAGATGACTGTGGTTTAAACATGAAGATTTTTCATCTGTGAGAGGGTGTGTGGTTTGTCCAGAACTCTGAAAACCACTGAATTAATGTTTTTTGAACTGAAAAAACATTTGGTGATTATATGAAACTGGCATGAACATGCATGTACACACAGCTTAGAGCTGAAGAGGGCAACTAGTTAATGTAACACTGAAAATATTAAACTAAAAGAAAGCAGAGCTGTGGAATAAATCTGCAAATAACCAGAATAACTACTAAAAAGAAATACTTCTGGATGAACCCATCAGGAGTAAATATCCAGTGCATGACTGTCTCGTAACTGATGTTCCATTTATTTTTATATGAAATACATATTAGAGCATTCAAGTATTCTGTTATCCCTGAAACTAAATTTTTTATGCCAGATTATGCTAAAACAAAAATAGAAGCCAAGCATAATGCAAGAGTGATATAAAGCTCAACTTCTGAATTCCATGTTTTATGAAGATAATGTATGACAGATAAATTCCTTCATCAAAAAGGAAAAAAGAAAAACGAATTGAATCTTGTTGCTGTTATTCAAAATCTAACCACTGAGTGGAGTGGGATAAGGAGGTGGAGACCTCTGCACCAGACCACCACTTGCTGATGTTCAGTCTATATAACAAACTCTACTGTGTATTAAGAAATGGCAACCTATCTAGGCTTCCAGTTTTGACATTCCTAGATTCCACGCCACATAAAAACAATAATTCTTAATCATTAGACTTAAGAGGGGGAGGTAGTTTACAGGAACAGCTTTTTTCTTCTAGACATCAGGGAATTTTATAGTTCTTCCAATCAGAATCTGTTCTCCTAAAGGGTGGACTATTGCTAATTAAAAATTTTGAATTGGATAGGGCAAGAACCAGCCCTATTAGTGCACCTTAATGATTCTATGCCCACACAAGGAAAATCTTAAACATACAGTTTTCCATTAACACATTTGTTCTCCAAAAGCTACTGGGTTTCTTGTCGCTGTTATTGAAAACATCACAAGGTCAATTTTCAAAACTACAGTTTAATACAGACTTGTTAGGTCAAATGAGCACCCTAAGAGAATCCGTTTACTATATAATCGGTTTTATTGCTCTTATCTTCTATTAGCCAAATCTCATAATTCTGTTACAGAAAAGCAACTGCAGAGGGTTCAAGTAACTAGAAATAAACTTATTTAAAAAAAGCCTCTTTTCTTAGGGCACATATTTAGAGAGAGGTGACTGGGGATGAACTTTGAGTTATTATAGCTAGAAAGTAATAAGAAAAAAAATACTCAAGGTCAGTTCATACATTTCCCACAGACCACTAGGCAACTTTGAAGATGCCTGGTTTATGCACACCTCTTCCAATGATAAAATATCGAAAATAACTTCCAAAGAATGTTAAAACTAATGTTGCTCTGGACTACCATATAAATAGATTTTAGTTTTTCTTTGGGTTACATATCTCATCCTTTCAACAAATGTACAGTATTTTAAGACAAAATCTATATTACGGTCAATCCACAATTATCCAAAATTAGAGTCAGTCACATTAAAAAGATTCTTTTTGATTCATCCCAAATTCTGGTACTCTCAGCTCCTAGTAAATGAGAAGTACACAAGCTATGAAACTCAAACTTAAGTATTTGGGACCCTGAAAAGAGCAAAAAAAAAAAAACTACTTGTAATTCAAGTTTGGTAAGGGAAAGCTAATCATTTGGAATGCACTTACACCTGTTGTTCCCATAATGCTGATAAGAGTTATTGCCAAGCTTCACTGTTTTAAAAGTTTTTGCTGCAGTATTGCCTTATGGAAACTTTATACTTCCAGTCATGTCAAACCTAGGCTTTTTTTATTTTTCTTAGCCGAAAGAAATTGTTGATAGCAACTTCCAGTTATATCAGGCCGTAAGGAAAGATCACAGAAGCAAAGTTACTTTTTTTTAACTCAAAGCGATCTACCGATTTTTCAAAATCCACGTGCATCTTGCCATACAGGAAATAACCCCGTTTCCCTCTTTTAAAGAGGGGAGTTACTATTTGGCATCTTTTTACTACCAACCCTTTCCCTTATTATCTAAAACCAATCAATTTTTTGTAGATGCACTATTTCCTATGACTAGTTTATTTTCAGTTTATTTATATGGGATCTACAATTGATAGTACCTTTTGAACACCAACCAGTCCTGTTTCCCGGGGCTTGAATTCTAGGATCCCTAAGTTCCCATAGCTATAACTACGTTCCAAACTGCACTGCTCTAGAGCTCTGCCCTTGCAAACAAAAGCTTGTCGTGGTTGGAAGCAGAGCGCGAACACCTCAAGGTGCTGTAGGTCCTGGACCAGCAACCACCCCAGACAAGCTTACCACAAAAGCAGCTCCAGGCTCTGGGAGAGTAAAACGGGCATGCAGTTGGACCTGGCTAGCCCAAGCGAACCGGAGCCTTAGAAACTGGCCGGGCTCCTAAGAGCTGCACACACGGGGGCGAAGAGAGCCCCTGAAGAGCATTAAGGGTTGGGGGAGACAGGCTTAAGTCCAGGGATGCCAAGCGGCCTCCGCCGTGGCAACCTGGTCCCTGTCACAGGCAGATACCGGTCCAGGAAAGAGGTGTGGCCTTCACGCGCGCGAGAGATGGCCCGCTCCGTTCACGGGAGCGGCTTGAACAGATGGAGAAGCACACACCCGCCCCCCGCCGCCCCCACCCCACCCGATTGCTCACCGGTGCTGCAGCCCCACCAGTCCCAGGGTGATCACATGAGGCACATCTAGCTGCGTGGGCCACTCTCCTGAGGCGATGCACCCGAACACGCCACATTCTTCTCGGATCCCCAACTCCTCCAGCTCCATGTCGCGGCCAAAACCACGTGGAGGGACCTGCCGCCGCGGCAGGAGTCTAAGTACCAACCCGCGGTCCGCTCGGCCCGTTTGCTCACGAGCTCGCGGGCGCGACAGCCGCTTCCTCCCCGGCGGCCTGACCCTCGCTACTGCGGCGGCGCGTGCTCTCCCAAGTAAGCGTGATCAGGTCGCCCCCAACCCGCCACCCTACCCCGCCCCCTCCAGGCTCACCAATGAGCGAGGACGGAGGGGGATGAGGGGCGGGGCTACGGGGGGTGGAGCTCTAGTTGCTCCGGAAGCCTACGGCAAGCTGATTTTTCTGCACGTGAGAATCTCCGTTATTTTTCAGTACCTCAGGCTGGGGTGATGAGACTTGAGGAATTAATGTAATTTATCTCCCAGAGAATGGAAATGTGTCATGCTCCTCCCCATATGCTTTCCCCTGGCGTCACCACTTGGTACGCTCCAACCTATCAACCTCCCTCGCCGCGAGAAGGGGCCGGGTCAGCAAGCTTCTGTGGGATGGGGAGGGGCCGCCCGCCAGTGCGCGCCACTTTTCGCCTTCCGTAGACCAATCCCGCGTCGCTGCGCCTGCGCGGCGGGAATCCTCCGGCGGATTGTTGGCTCGTAGAGTTGAAGCCCCTCTCAGAAGCGAGAGACCCCGGGAGGGCCCACAGCTTCTTTGGTTCCGGGTCAGAGTGCAAGTGGGCGCTCTAGGTTACGAGGCCCGGTGGTGGGCGGCTCTGTGGGCTCGCCTCCTTCCCCGCCCGTGACCCTCTCTGACCACTGTTTTCCAGAGCCCTGCCGCTCCTCATAGCGCGCCTGCTGCCCCTGGCCTACTCAGGATAATGGCGACCGCAGAGGGTGAGTAACAGGGCTCCCCAGGGGTGCGCCGGGCCCTCGCTGCCCTTCGTGGTCTTCCCGTCTCCCCCGTGTGCAGCTCGCGGGCTTGGCACAGACACGTGCGCAACCCGAGGCACCGCTGGCAGCCTTCCCGCGCCCGTGCCTGGCCTCCCCGCAGCCTCCCCTCCAGGCCGCTGGGCCGGCGGACACGTGGCCCTGGCGCCGCGGTGCGCTGCCCTGGAAACAGTGCTCCGGCCTCTCCGAACTTCTTAGACTCCCAGAACTGCCTTTGGGATGAGGGAAAGGAACAAAATAGATGAAGGGGGTAATTAGAACGAGAAATGGACAGGAGTTTGGTGCCTGGATATCGCATTTGTAATAAGTAGATACTGCAAGACAGTGAAAGGCACATCTGTGTTGACTCTTCAAAGTTTTGGTTTTCCTGTTAAGTTAATAATAACGTGCTATTTCCAAAAGGTAATTAAACCTTTGAATAGTAAATTAAGCCTTCCGAATATTTTCTGTCTAGATTTTGTGCGTGTTTTAAATTAGTCTTGATGTCCAGAAGGCTTGGGAGAGCTCCAAAAACAGCAGGCAAAAAAGTTTCCTTGCTTCACTTTGCATTTTTACATAATCAGTTTGTTCACCAGTGATTAGATCCTTAGGAAAGAGGGTTTGTTCCGTTTTTGCTGATAAACCGTTGGTTTTTTTCCACATGCCCAATTTCTAACTTTAATGGTGAACCGAAATGCTTGTGTTGGCCGGTGAGTATATTCTGTTCCACATGGAAAAATTGAATTTAGGTAAAAATTTGTAGACTAAACAAAAAGACCCAGGTAGTTTTAAAGAGTAACAACTCCATAAAATCAAAACCTTAAAACCAGAATTTTTCTTGCCATAACTTCTAAACTGGTAGAATCTCTAAAGTCTATTTACTACGTCCTTCCATCGTGAATATCCTTGGCAGGTTAATCTTTCCAAAAATGTCACTTTATGGTTTCTCAGGGGCATTTCCTTGCTCACGTGGCAACTTCATGTTCAGTGGCAACCCAAGAGCTATTAAAAATCCAATCTGTAGACTCTCAGATTCACATCCAGCACACTGCTGCTTTCATCTCTTCAACCCTGACTTTGATTTTTCTTTATTGTGAATCCTAAGCCTACATTCCAGTCAGTTTAATTCAACAGGTTTACTCTTCTCTGTATGTATTTATCCTAATAGAAATATGGTAATAACAAACTATGTGTAGCTTTGTTTTCTAGTAGCCACATTTTTACAGGTAAAAAGAAACAGCTGAGATGAATTTTTATAACCCAGTATATTCAAAACAATATCATTTCAGCATGTAACCAATATAAAAAAAATTGTGATATTTTGCATCTTTTTTTTTCGTTGAAATCCATTGTGTATTTTACACTTAACTCACATCTTGATTTGTAGTAGATTTCAAGTATTGCATAGCCTCATGTGGCTTAGTAACTTTCTTATTGGCCTGTGTTCTACCCATTAATTGAAATTCCTACCCTACTTAATGACTAGGTAATAAATCATAATTCAATTAAATTGGGAGGGAGAGGCAGTAGGCACAACTCTCTTTTGCCTTTTTTCCAACCTAGGCAACATCCTTGACTTCCCCCTTTTATTCCCCATGTTGAATCAATTGTTCCTAACACTTACCTTTTCCATATCTATTCCCACTGCTTTTTCCTTAGACCAGGACATTGCAGTAGGACTCTAACTGGTCTCTGAGTCTCTAATTCTCTTCTGCCCATCCCTTCTCATTTCATTCTCCACACAGCAACCATAATGATCTTTCTAATACAGAAATCTGTTATTTTACTGAAGTGCTAAAAGCCACATGGTTGTTCTTAGGATTAAGTCTTAACTCAATCAGCATGGTTGTGAGGCCTGAAGGATGAGTGGTGAAATGGAAGGAAACAGTATTCTAGGCCTAGAGAAGAGCATGTCAAAAGCCTGGGAGTGGGAGATACAGAAATTCAGTTCTGGAAGTTGGAGTTCTCTGTGACGGGAATGGAGAAATCTGAATTTGGAGCACTGAACTGGGGCTGTATCTTGAAGGGTCTTCTAAACCCTTGTGATATTTTGCATCCTTTTTTTTCATATTGAAATCCACTCTGTATTTTATATATATATACTATATATACACTGAATCAAGACATTATATGTAATGTGTATATTATATATGCACTGTACCAGTAAATGGGACTGAGTTCCTGCTCTTAAGCAACCTGAGTCTGAGGGAAGCTGAAATTAAACAAGACATAATAAGTAAAGTGTGAGAGCTACAAACTGGGATCACAGGTTCATAGTAGGGCTGCTTTGAGTCAAGTGAGTCAGGACATTACAATGGGAGGGTGGGGATTCATCATCTAAATTAAGTACCCTGCACTGGCAACTATTAAACTGAATTGTAACTGGTTTGTTTAATAGTAATCTCCAGGAACTGGTGAATGAACCCCTGCCCAATTCTTCAGTCTTATTTCTTGCCAGTCTTTCCCCCCTCCCCTCCCCACCAGCAGTGCACACACACACGCTCCAACCACACTGAAGGTCTGCCATGCATGCACTTTCATCCGTGGTCTTTTTTCATCACCACAACCTACCCCTTTTCTTCTTTTCTCAATTTTGATCATTCCTCAGATCTCAGCCTAATCCTCATTTTGTATTAGACTTCCTTCTCTGATGTTAGACTAAGTTAGGCAGCCCTGCTATGAACTTTTGATCCCATAGACTGTGTATTGCTCACATTTTACTTACTATGTCTTGTTTAATTTAAGCTTGCTCCAGATTTGGGTTGCTTAAGGCTTAAGAGCAGGAACTCACATTTACTGGTACAGTACCTAGTACGTAGCTCAAACACTAAAAAAATGATGATACTGACGGTGAGTCAGTGTTCTGGGAGCATGAGGGGTGATTTTTTTCTTCTTGGAAATGTTAAGTCTTTAAACTTCTATTATTTCTGATCTTCATGTAAATCATTCATTCTGTTGACCAGGGTCTACTTTTCTTAAGGTCTTATGACTTGTATCAAAATAGGATACAAGTCCTATTCCTCAGTTTGCTGCAAATAATAGGAGAAAGGATTAAGGGTAGAAGGTGGGAAAGCAGGATTAAAGAAGAAAGAGAGGTGCTCCCAAATGGGCTAACTACAGTGAGTATAGAGGTGTCTTCTCTTGCACATTAACTTGAAATAAAAAAAGCAGCTGAACTTGCTTATTTTTCCAACACAGAATTCAGAAAAAATATAACTTTTCTTAACAGTTTATTTACTGTATTGCAAATACAAGATGAAAATGCTAATGTAGTTACAGTACTTTTTATATTAATTCTACTTCAGTTCTTCTGTGAGAGTGGCAGGTTCATAGTGGAAAGAGCACAGAATTTGTTACAGATTTAGGATTTTGTCTGGCTCTCATTTCCTAGCTCTGTGACCTCTACCTTTTTAATACTTAATTTCCTAATCTTTACAGTTATTTACAATGTTTGTGAATCAAATGTGATGCATATGAAAATACTTTGTAGAGTATAGGTTCTGTACAGTTGATTTTTATTAAAATTATTCCCTAATCACTATGTTCACTGATTCATCATTCTAGATAATTTAGTCTTTAATATTTAAGAAATTTCATCCTGAGATCTGATGTTTCCATTTTATTTTGACAGTACTGAATGTTGGTAAAAAACTCTACGAGGGTAAAACAAAAGAAGTCTATGAATGGTTAGATAGTCCAGGACAAGTCCTCCTGAAGTCCAAGGACCAGATTACAGCAGGAAATGCAGCCAGAAAGAATCACCTGGAAGGAAAAGCTGCAATCTCAAATAAAATTACCAGTTGTATTTTTCAGTTGTTACAGGAAGCAGGTAAGTGGCGCTCCCTCCCTCCACACCTTCCTCACTTTCACACACACATGCACACACTGATCTCTTTCATGGAGGGATGACATTACTTAGATTAAAAACATGTTACAAGCTAAGCTTATTTAAGTCAAACCAGAAACTCTTAATTTCACTGTAACATTTAATTAGGTTTGGAATTAGTAAGTAATCAAAAAAAATTCAACTTGAGTAAATTTGAAGATGTAATTGGCTTTATTAAGCCATTCATGAATAAAGCAGCATCCTATCTATCAAATTGAGGTACAATCCCAGTAGTTGTACAAAGTGGAAAGTGTTTACAGACAGGTGGGTAGGGCCAAAAAAGTTACTAGCAAAAGAAGAGATATGGGATTGTTTCAGGAATGGTCACCCTCCCCTAGGAGAAAGAGCAACGGGGTCTTATGCAGATTACTTCACTAGTGATTAGGTAAGTCTAGACTGATTGGTTTAAGTTTCCACTCCTGGGAGACACTAAAGCTGCAATCAGATTGGGCACTAAGCCCCAGTTTGGTGAGATGACCTAGGAGAAGTGGCCCCATGTTGGGCTTGTGTTGTTTAACAATTTCCCCCCTTTTTGATTACTTTCAGCTTACCTGTGAAATGTGATAAAAATTTAAGGTGTTAGTGCTGCTCTCAGCTACTGCTCTATACTTTCGCAGCTTTTGTCATTCCTTCCGTGCAGTGTCATTGGGTCACATTTTGCTTAATTTCTGTGATATTCTAACTATAGTTCACGATCCTATGTCTCATTCTCTTCAGTTTGGTGAAGTTCCAGTCACAGAGAGATCATCTGCTTGATAGTTACTGGCTGCATACGTGCATTTAAAGCTTTTGAGAAGATACAAGTGTCCAGGGAGATTATTATGTTAATTAGAATGTAGTTGGGGAGCCATATCAGAGCTATCCTATTATCAAGAACAACTTTGACCAGAGAGTCTAAGGATCTTTGTTGGGCAGCTGTTGACTCAGCAGCAGATTCTGCAGTAACTTGAACAATTAAGAAGTTCCTGATCATAGCCTCATCTGCATATGTCCCTTCCCTGGGAAGTAGGAACCTGCGGAAAGAATGAACCCTGAATCATGAAAAGCCTCCTTGTAAGTCCTTACGAACTCAGTGATGTAAATTTAAGGGCACAAGTTAGAGATTTTCTCCTACCCTGAAATAAAAGTTTTTTATAAATTACAGAGGTAACTACCCCCCATCCCCCACCCCCGCCTCCCTTAGCAATGTCCTGGGAGATAGAGATGAAGGCATTATCTGACCAGGCCACTGCCAGAGTAGAGGGAAAGGAAAGAAAAGAAAGGGAGGATTTCATGTTTGGTTACAGTATTGTCTTAGGCAGAAGCAGTCTACCTTGATGTCAGCTTCTTCCTTTTCTCAGCCGTTTGTTTCAGCGGTCTCCATCTGCACGGGACCAGGGCTCAAGTGCAGCCTTCTTGGGCTATGAGATGTGCACCCAAGGCCCCATACCTTGTAGTTTGGCAACAGTGTCAGTGGTTAGGAGCAGCATTTGGTAAGGTCCTTTTTAATGTGACTGGAGGACTGTCTTTCCCTAATGACATCCAGTGTATCCAGTCACCAGGTTTTAGACTGTGACCAACAGGATTCTCTGAATTGGGATCTGGGACCACTTCTTTCACCTGTTGATGATAGGATTGAGCATAAGATATTAGACACTTGGAGACGAGCATGAGACAAGGGATCAGCAAAAGCTTGACTGGTAAAACATCAGTAAAAAGTATACAATAGACACTGGTCTGCCAACGACCACCTGTGTAGACTGTTTATGTTTTTGAACAAGGGTATAGCAAACAGTAAGACCAATGGCCAGGGGAAGTCCCCTAGTAACAGCAAGTTTAGAAATGTTAAGTTTGAGGATCGCATTAGTTCTTTCAACCTTGCCTAATGACTGAGGATGATAGGGACAGTGATGATTCTAAGAGGCTTGCAAAGATTTTGTAATGCTATTGCTCAGTGAAGTGGGTGCCTCATTCACTGGTAACTCCAAGTGGGAGACCCATAGTCTAAAACACACTGTCCAGTAGTTTCTTTGCCACTGTGAGGGCATCAACCTTGCAACAAAGGAATCCTTCAACCCATTGGGAAAACATTTACAATAACAATAACATACTGATAACCCATACTAAGTGGCATTTGAATAAAGTCCAGCTGCAGGTCAGAAGCCCAGAGGGAGAAGGTCTGGGACCTATAGGGACAAAATAATTTTCCTTAAGTTTATTAAGATGGCTAAAGAAATACAAAGAAATGAAAAATGGGATTTGTTGGTGACCTGGGGAAGATGAAGAGGCCGTCTTGAGTTTCCCATAGCCCCATCTGGCTATTTAATTTACAGCCATTATTTAGCGATGTTAGTTTCTCTGATTCAGGAGCAGATTATTGCCATATTACATGGACATCAGGATGGCCAAAGTCTGATAGTCGGGTCATTTTACCCAGAATCAGAACTGACCTCATCCACATGTGCCTCAGTCTGTATAGATCTGTTGCTACTGACTTGGCATGAAAGTCAGCTGGGGCGCTACCCTGACACTGGGGGTTTCAGTAGACAGCAATTTCAGAACGTAAGAGAATTGAAAGTGATAACAGTATACCAGAACGTACCAGATTTCTAGGATCTTTATATAACTTCTAGAACAGTATATACATGTATAAATAGGACATACAAAAGGCTTAGCATTACTTATTTGAAAATGCTTGCCATGTAATTGAACAATATTAAATGAACCTAATCAGCTTAACAAAATCTTTGGAATATTTGTTTCTTACAGGTCAAAAAAGACTTCATTTAGAATTTCATTTTGGGAAGTTAACTGTTAATTAACAAAACTTGGCTCTTTTAACATACTAGTAAGACTCGATTTTCCTAAGTAATCAAAGGCCTGATAGCAAACACAGGAAATTACCTTGATAAAACACAAAATCTTTGTTTTCAGGGAGATCACTTAAAGGTAAAGGAACTTGCACAATCTGTTAACAAAGTTACACTAGCTATAATTTACCAAAGTTATCCAGCTTATATGAACTTGGAAAACATAACAGGTTAGTTTCTATCTTTCTGAAAGTTTTAGTGTGTCCAGTCTTTAAAAACACTTGCCTTCACACCACCAAATAGAACTCTTACAAGTTAATTTTAGCAACACCTTCTGGAGGTAGAAAAATACCACACATGTACACATACACATAGACATACTTCGACCTATAGACAAACCCAAACAGATGTTTCAGTTATTCATATTTGTGGAGAAGATACTTAAGATTTGTGTTTGTCCTTGACAAGCAAGTTCATGGAAACTATGAGCTAGATTTTGGGCAGGGTTGCTTCTATAGCTGTTAGTCTTTTTTAAATACCTCTTTACCGTTTTTCTTCATTCTTAGGAATCAGGATGACCTAGATAAAAGTTCCCAGAGAGGTGACAATACTTTTGAGATAAATAGGAGAGTCTTGGGGATTAGTAAAAGGAGTAAGGGACTTTTGAGTTACTGTAGCCACACCTGGTCCTGTAAAGATTAGATTTGCAAAACAAGGACAGCTGTTGTTAATTCCTAAAGATTTGGGTTGGCATACCTAAATGACAGGAGTGACACACCCATCCACCAATGGTTTTTCTTTCCCTCTGGGTACATTTGGCTTAGGGGAAAAGGCCTTTAAAAAATTGTATCAAGATGTCAATACCAGTTTCTGATTTGAAAGTTATTGAATGCTTTCAAACTTGTCAAGTTTTAGCCAGAACAAACAGTAAGTATTTCTGGCAGTAACCTCATGGATCCAAAAAACATCTGAAAAACTACAAAAGATACCTTCACAAGATCTAGAGTCACTCCCAGAGATAGCCAAATAAAACTGACAACCTGCATGTCCCAGGCAGGCAGAAAGCCAAGTTAATTAAGTTCTTAGGATATAAAATGAGCAAGCAAGAAGGCACTAGACATTCCCAGGAGGGAAAGGATTAGTAACCCATTTACTTGGAACTGGAAATGAAGGGACAACAGGAAATTTTATTGCCTCCTTTCAACTTGCCTCAGGAGGTAGACTGTTTATAAAAATGTAAAATTGTTTGAGGATCCATCCTGAGTTTATGAAATTCTTTTACTATGGCCCCTAGTTCAGCCTTTAACCAGGAGTGAGAGACACCTGAAAAGGATCGCCTATAGCTCTGGGTGGTCTTTATCTAAAAAGGTAACTAGTATCTCTTCAGAATGGAAAGGCAGTTCAGACTGGGGACAAAATTATAATGAATATGCAAATAAAGAAGGATAGAGGGGAGCAGGAGTTACCTCAGTCTTACAGTCTTCTATTTTAATCTTCTAAATATATTTTTCTCTTTAGTTCATTAGCTTTTGCACTGAACTGATTAAACTATCATGGAATTTTCAAACCTTTTGGAACCCGTATGCCAGTTAAAATAGTTATCCCATTCTGTGTGTTTAATTTGGGAACCCTTGCTGTCAGGTGTACTTCTTAAATAATCTTATCTAATTGGAATGTTCCATAATGGCCATTGTAATTCTAGGTTGTCTTTAGTAAGATTTTGCCATTGTGGTAGATATCTGCAAGTCCCAGAACTCTTAATTTTTATATATAGAATATAAATCTGTGCCAGGAGGCAGTATGCTCAAATCTCTAACTATAAAGGATCCCCCTACTTTTAGCTAGGCCTTTTGTTTACTTGGAGCTATACCAATTATCTGACAAAAGGCTTGGTTTTCTTGTGGGCTTCTGAGGTCCATTTAGTAATAGCCTTTAGCTTGTACACTTAACAAATACCATCAGTAGCCAAGTCAATGGAACTGTGGACACCAACAATAACCAGCAAACTAGGAACTACGGACAAGATTGAACCAGCAGGCCCCAAAGAACCAGGGCTGTGGACTGAGTCCAAACAAATGGATAGTTGCAGTTGCCATCAGCAGTTCCCAACATGGAATGTGGGGAAGGATTCCAAACAAATGGGAAATTGTGCACACCAAACCATCAGCAGTTTGTAGCATGGAATCCAAAGGAAAAGTCAAGGGTTTAGACATTACTGTGGACTAGCCAGTTGAAGTCCCTGTGCATACCATCAGCAATTCCCAGCATGGACTAAACCAGCACACTCCATTAATGGGGTCTGCAGACTGGAATTGGAGAAGGATTAAACCAACAAACCCCCAGTAAATAGGGACCGACTGGAACTGGAGAAGAGAAACCAATGTGGAGTTGCCTACTGAATTACAGGCTAAGGACTGGCTTTCTCTTAGATCTTCCTTTCAGTCTAAACTGACACATTAACCCTGGATTGTAAAACCAATTAGATCAGGTAACTACACAAAAAGAGAAGTAAGCAAGTGCAATTCCCCCATAGACCTCAGAAATAGAAGGATGAATTCAAAGGAGTTTATGAGTGCCATACCTGTGTTACTTGTTCCCAAATAAAGAGATTTGCTTTGGGTCCCACTACTGCCACCAAATCTGTTTAAAAAAACAAAAAAATTCAGCTTGAGTCAATTTGAGTATCTAACTGGCTTTATTAAGCAATTAATGAATCAGGCAGCATCCCATCTAGATAAATGATCCCAGGAGTTGTAAAAAAGGGAAGGTTTTTAATGGGGTTTGTGGGGGGTACTTGGTGAAGGGGAGAGCCTAGTAAACATAATGTTCATGTAATTGTAGATTAATGATAACAAAAAAAGGGGGGGAAGGTTTTTACAGATAAGAGGGTGGGGCAAAAAGCAAAAGAAAAGATGGGGGATTGTTTCAGATAAGGTCACCCTCTTTTAGGAGGAAGAGCAGGTGGTCTTACAGATACTCTCATAAGTGAGGAGGAAATTCCAGACTGACTGTTTTGAATTCTACTCCTGGGAGAGGCTGAAACTGCAAATAGGTTGGTCACTAAGCCCCAGTTTGGTAACTAGGCCTAGGAGAAGTGACCCCATGTTGGGTCTGCACTTCCTTTTATTTTTTTTAAATTAAAATATCATTGATAAATAATCTTACAAAGGTTTTGCATGAACCACACTGTGGTTTCAACTTCACCTATATTATCGAGTCTTCAACAACCCCCCTCCATTGCATTCACTGTCTATCAGCGTGGTAAGATGCTATAGTCATTACTTTTCACTTGTCTTCTCCATGCTGTACTGCCTTCTCCATCACCTATCTATATTGTGATTGTGAATTATGGTGCTCCTTAATCCCCTTTTCCCTTCCTCCCAACCTATCCTCCCCAACCCCTTTCCTTTGGTAACTGCTAGTACCTTCTTGGAGTCTGTGAGTCTGTGCTGTTTGGTTCCCTTGGTTTCACTTTGTTGTTATACTCCAAAAATGAGTAAAATCATTTGGTACTTGTACTCCACCTGGCTTATTTCACTGAGCATAATAACCCTCTAGCTCCATCCATGTTGTTGCAAATGGTAGGATTTCTTTTCTCTTTATGGCTGAATAATACTCCATTGTGTATATGTGCCACATCTTCTTTATCCATTCATCTATTGATGGACACTTAGGTTGCTTCTGTATCTTGGCTATTGTAAATAGTACTGCAGTAAACATAGTAGTGCGTATGTCTTTTTGAATCAGGGATCTTTTTTTGTTTGGGTAAATACCTAGGAGTGGAATTCCTGGGTCAAATGGTATTTCTATGTTTAGTTTTTTGAGGAACCTCTATATTGCTTTCCACAATGGCTGAACTAATTTACATTCCCACCAACAGTGTAGTAGAAGGGTTCCCCTTTCTCTGCATCCTTGCCAGAATTTGTTGTCTTTCGGATATTGGCCATCCTAATTGGTGAGAGGTGATGTCTCATTGTGGTTTTAATTTGCATTTCCCTGATGATTAGCTATGTAGAGCATCTTCATGTTACTTCTATTTAACAATGGTATCATTTAGTTAGTTAAAAGGAATCTTAACAGTTTGCTACAGTCTTTGTCTGGCACACATGTCTGCTCTGCAACTTCTATGACATCTTTTTAGGAACCTTAGGAACCCCATTATGGTGGTAAACAGCTATAATTGATGGATTAAAATTCAGATCCTATAATTTTATATAATTCTTTGGTTTATCTCTTGGAGATAATAGTTTCAAATCCCTCTTTCATTTGAAAGTCCCAAAAAGTATTTGAGAATTACAGCTACATCTCATCTCATTCCCCAAATTTGGAATTTGAACTAGGTCCAAGATCTCCAGGGCTACCTCCTACTGTAAAACTGAAAGGCTATTTCCAATAGAGAAATCTATTCTAAAGAAAGAATATTCTGTGGAAGGTGTTTGAAGCAAATGAAGGGGAATTAGGATAGTGGATTTTTCTTTAGGGATTCAGTAAACAGCTGTATTCAGTCGGTAGGGTATGAAATCTCAGTTGGTTAAAGATTTGGGCTCTTCCAGTGTAAGAGGTCTTTGTTCATTGCCTTGGGTCACACAGTCTTTGAAGCCTCAGGTTCCTTATCTGTAAAATAAAAGCTTTGTTATTTATTACCGGAGTTCTAATTTTATAATAACTTAAGTCTCCTTTATTTCTTCCAATATTCCCATTCATTTCTTAGAGCTTCCAGAAGGCATTAATCTTCCTTAAATCTAAAGGAGAATCTAATATTTTAATTTCTCATCCAAGTAGATGTGCCAGTCTTCCACAGAATAGCAAGATAATTCAGTTTAAATCCATTCTGTCAGTACAGAATGGATTCTTTAGTTTTGCCTTTTCCAAAGTATAGTTTCACATTTTAAGTTAGTGTGAAAAAAATAGGTATAATTGCCACCCTAAATTTTCATCCACATTATAATCCCTCTATGCATTGAATGTGAGTATATTGCTATAAATTTAAAAGACCTCCCACAGTTCTAAATAATACAGCCAAGATTTTTATTTCAATGCTCTCTTAATTGGTGGTTTCCCACTGGTTGAGAGATTTCTAGAGAAAATATCAAAACAATTTTAGGTTGCTTTTGCAGTATAAGTGAGTAATCCATTTTCAACCTCCAGAGTTATCTGCACCACATACAGATTGAAAGTTTTGAAAAGTTGCTTAATGCTATAGAGTGTTAATAAAAAATTAGTTTCTGTGTACACATAGTTATTACACATAGCTGTGGGGTTATATGTGTGCTTTTAAGTAATGGACATTAAGTATAGTCCAAGTTTTTATTTGCTTATCCAATAAGGCACTATGGAGTGCACTTTCTGGGGCTTAAGGACAAGTGAATTAGGGTGATCTAGTTGCCTTGATTTGTCTAGGACTTTCTCAGTTTTGACTCTGAAACTCCAGTGTCTGAGGAAACTTGGAAAGTTGGTCACCCTAAATGAAGTACTCCAGCAGTTATCTTTAAACTACTGTATTATGCACACTTAACATTGCTAAAATTTACTTGGTTCATAGGAAGTATTGTAAGATCTTAATACTATGAAAGTAAGGAAACCTATTGTAAAAAATTCTTAAATAGATTAGTTGGAGGGCACAGATAAGGAGTTTGGTTAAGTTTTTTTTAAATTAAGGTATCATTGATACACAGTCTACAGAGGTTTCACATGAGCAACACTGTGGTTACTACATTCACCCATATTATCAAGTCCCCCACATACACCCCATTTCAGTGTAGTAAGATGCTATAGAGTCACTGCTTGTCTTCTCTGGTATACTGCCTTCCCTACCACCCCCCCCTACATTATGTGTGCTAATCATAATGCCCCTTAATTCCTTTCTCCCTCCCTCCCCACCCACCATCCCCAACCCCTTCCCTTTGGTAACTGCTAGTCCCTTTTTGGAGTTTGTAAATCTGCTGCTGTTTTGTTTCTTCAGTTTTGCTCTGTTGTACTTCACAAATGAGTGAGATCATTTGGTACTTGTCTTTCTCTGCCTGCCTTATTTCACTGAGCATAATACCCTCTTATCTCCATCCACGTTGTTGCAAATGTTAGGATTTGTGTTCTTATGGCTGAATAATATTCCATTGTATATATGTGAATTTGGTTAAGTCTTATGTAATTTTTACTTGCTAATAGTTAAATAAATGCTGTGACTAGTTGATCACCAATGACCCAGTTTAAAATTGCTGTCTTTATAACCAAAGGTATTTTCCAAATTAAGGTATTTCTAAGAATTAGAATGGAAAGCGCACCAGAATGAGAATTAGTAAATCAGGAACTATAAAATACCAGACAAATAATGGGTATAGGTAATACTGTTTTTCCATGGAAATAATAATATATTGCTGTACCCAAGTTATGAAATTCATGGATTTGGTCTCAGTACTTAAAAATTTAATCTTTTAAGTTTTGGTTCCCACACAGAAACCCATTGTGATAATAGTGACATGAAAACAATTGTGCAGTTGTTAAAGCACAAATAGGGACTTGGGCAGCCTTAACATGTCTGCATTAACATGGATGGTCCCAGGGATATGTGGGCTGATCAGCTATTATACATGGCCATTGTAATTCAAAGTATGAAGTGCCTTACAGTTTCTTAGTGATCTTGATGGGAGTTTTGAATTTTGTAGACTACTGAGACAAATGGAGGGAGTTCTTTTTCTTACCATATGTAGTCATGAAATTTGCTTTAATGGTTAGCATGTGTAGGAGCAGTCATTATATCATCTAAATGGAATCTCTGTCCAGAAACAGTTTTTTTCTTTTCTGTATAAGAAAGTCACCATAAGTTGGTTTTGTGCTTTTGGTTCCCTTAGATATGGGAGAAAGTTTTCCTCTGAGTGAAAGTACCTATCATTTAAACAATAGATTTAGATACCAGTCTGTCAAATTTGGTAGGCAAATATGACTAACGCTTAACAGTCCTAAAAAGGGGAGCCTTGAAGCCAAGCATGTAATTACCACCTCAGTTAAGGATTGGATTAAATCACCTGTCTGCCCATGAGCATAAACCCAGTCATTCTTCAAAGGTTAAAATGACCATTTTGCTTAAACAGCTAACACTCCTTCCCAGAGTTCCTGTTTATGCAGCATATCATAATCTATTTTCCCTGTTTCAATTAGTTTTTTCTGTTCAAACATGGAGGGAATGCAGAGAAAACAGTATAGTTTTAGAACTGGACAGTGCATTTCAAGTCCATACACCGTTACTGATTGACAGCATTGCTCTAGCTTATTAAATTACCTCTTTGAGCCTCTGCTTCTTTCAGTGTAAAATGTAAGTAATATATACCTCAAAATTTTTGTGTAAGATTAAATGATTAACACAAAACAGTTACTCTATGCACGTTTTCTCTAAATGTAGGTTCTGTTCATGTATGGATACATACATAAGATCAAAGATCCCCAATCTTTTCCTCATAAAAAATTGATCTTAGATTAGAGGATTAGATTGAGATTAGAGGTACTGGCATTGCAGCCTGAAGATAAGCACTGTGTTAAACCTATACAGGTTTCTAGGAAATGTTCTATTTCATGTTAATGCTGTATTGTGACTTTGTATGTTATGTAAAAACACTTCTAGATGAGGTAGCATAGCATAGGGGTTAAGTGGGCAGCCCATGGAGTTCAGACTGTGTGTGGGTTGGAAACTCATGCTTTACCTATCATTAGCTGACATAACTATTATGCCTCAGTGTCTTTAACCATTTTGTATGATGATCATCATACTTACTACCTTATCAAGTGTTCCCAGTGCCTGGCATAAAGTAGGTATTGATACTTTTTTAAATTAAATTGTGATAAAATATGCATGCATAAAATTTATCATTTTAACCATTTTTAAGTGTACAAATTCAGTGACATAAGTACTTTGACAGTGTTACACAATCATCACCACTGTGCATTTGCAGAACTTATTTTTGGCCCATATAGAAACTGGCTCACTCAACAATTCTTCATTCTCCTTTTTCCCCAGCTCCTGGTAATGTGTATACTACTTTTGTGTGTGCTTTTGCCTATTTTAGGTATTTAATATAAGTGGAATTAAATAATATTTGTCTTTTATTTCACTTGCATGTTTTCAAGGTTCATCCATGTAGCATGAATCAGAATTTTATTTTTTATGACTGAGTAATAATCCATTGTGTATGTACATGTTGCATTTTGTCTGTCCCTTTGTTGATGGAGACTTGAGCTGGTCCCCCTTTCCATTATTGTGGGTTATGCTGCTGTGAACATTGGTGTGCAAGTCTCTGTTTGGTCCCCACTTTCAGTTCTCAATACTGGTTCCCCTAGCAGTGTTACTATTATCACATTACAAAGTAATACTGTAGTACTGACATGAATTAAAATATCTGGAAACCAGCATAGGCTTAACATAATAATGCTCATCTTCAGGCTGCAGTGTTAGTACCTAGAATACCTAGAAGTAGAATTGCTGGATCTTAAGGTTCATGATACACACTGAAACTAATATTAGAGAGGTTGTTATTTTCCAAGACCACCACATAATATAGTTCTCATCCCAACATTACAAGTTAGTTCTTTTTTCTTGGTGGTCCAGTAATGGTTTGTTAGAGAAGGGAGAGGAAGAACAAATATCTTTGCTCTTACCAAACTGACTGCTGTGTTTCTGCTGCTACCTGTTGGATGCATTTTTCAAGGATTAGCTTCTTCAAATATTAAGAAAACTATGCAAAATGTAGGGCACTGGTTTTGTTAAGTAGGTATTTTTTTACAAGACCCATATAATACTATACCATAGAATTTGAGAATACCGCAACCAAATCTGATCTAGAAATAATATAGTGCCACTTTGTGCCTTAAGCAAAGTTAGGTACTAGGTGGCAGAAGTGGTACTTAGTATTTTTTGAATGAACGAATGAATGGATGAATAGTAAAGACAGTGGGACCCATATCTTCTGATTCACTGTATACTTTTCCAAGTGACATTAAAATGAAATATTCCCGAGTATTCTGATAAACAGTAGAAAGCCATATTAATAAATTTCTTTTCCTACTTTCCTTCTAAAAGGTTACATGTATTTTTGATAGTATTCAAGAATAATGAACTTGGCTAGATAGGGTTTTTATTTTGTTGTATAGAGTTTTATTATGCCTGGAGTCTACCTTTTTAAGTACAATTTTAATGCTCCTTTTTCTGTACTTTTCATCAATATGTAGGTATCAAAACTGCTTTCATCAAAAAATGTGGTGAGACAGCTTTTATTGCACCTAAGTGTGAAATGATTCCAATTGAATGGGTTTGTAGAAGAATAGCAACTGGTTCTTTTCTCAAAAGAAATCCTGGTGTCAAGGAAGGATATATGTTTTACCCACCTAAAGTAGAGATGTTTTTCAAGGTAATTATTTTATACTTCTGTGTCTTACTAAAACATAGCAGCAAACTTATAATCAAAGTCAAAAGATTTAAGCACTATTACAGCTTTTTTTTTTATTGGCAGATTTTTTTAAGGTAATATTGATATACATTCTTATGAAGGTTTCACATGAAAAAACAATGTGGTTACTACATTTACCCATATTATCAAGTCCCCACCCATACCCCAATGCAGTCACTGTCCATCAGTGTAGTAAGATGCCACAGATTCACTATTTGCCTTCTTTGTGCTACACTGTTTTCCCTGTGATCCCCCACACCATGTGTACTAAACATAATACCCCTCAATCCCCTTCTCCCTCCCTCCCCACCTGCCCTCCCCTTTGGTAACCACTAGTTCCTTCTTGGAGTCTCTGAGTCCGCTGCTATTTTGTTCCTTCAGTTTAAGCATTATTACAGCTTTTGAGATTACAGTTGTCATTCCAGAAATATAATAATGTACACTTTCATTAGCAATGATAATTCAGACCTAGGAATATCTACATGTGTTACTTTGGACCAACATGACTAACAATGAAAAAATAAAATTAGTTACTAGGAAGAGGTAATAATATAGAATAACTGTATTAACAGTGTTTCTTAAAGGGCAGAAATATACACTAAAGTAGGAATCCATGGTTATGAATCTGTATTTGTTTTCTTTATTGAAACTGCTTTTCTCTTTCCATTTTCATTTATGCTGGTCAGCATAGTTCTATTTCTGAAGCAGTGTCAGTGTTACATTTTTAATTAGTGACCTGCACAGCTTAAAGTGTTCATATTATGATTGCAGCATATAAATCAAGAATCCATAAAAGAGAAATTACGTGTAAGGTTGAGACACTACTTATAATAAAGTGAAAGCATCTTATATTTTTGCTAATCTCTTTACTTTGTGTGAGGCCTCAGAATTATCAAATAATGCCCTTAAAGACATGTAGTCTTGTATAAATGCTTACCAAAAATGAGGTCAGGAGATTATAAAAACTGCATTCTGGAAAGATTTGGTGGACTAACATGTATTTTGACCCTCTTAACCATTTTGTTGATCCTGATTAAAGAAAAATGAAATCACAGGTTGTATTTAAATTTGTAGAGGAAGCAAATTCTTTCAAATACTTTATGACCTAGAATAAGTTATTCACCCAAATATTTTGAATTTTAAAGTAGCATTTCAAAGTAGAGAAATTAAAAATAATTACTGTGAACTAAAGGCTATTTTAAACAAGGTTTAACTCTAGAGAAAACGAGTACTTCCGAATTCATGCTCAAAGCAAAAAGAACTTAAGTTTATCTGAAAAGTTAAGAAGTTTATTTAAATTAATTAAATTGTACTCCTATATTCTCAGGATGATGCCAATAATGACCCACAGTGGTCTGAGGAACAGCTAATTGCTGCAAAATTTTGCTTTGCTGGACTTGTTATAGGCCAAACTGAAGTGGATATCATGAATCATGCAACACAGGCTGTTTTTGAAATCCTGGAGAAATCCTGGTTGCCTCAGAACTGTACCCTGGTTGATATGAAGGTAAAATGGAAGATTTGAAAGTAAGGAGTATAACTGAGAAATGTGTTTAGTAGTATAGCTTTGAGAAACTCTTTGGTGACATTCTGTTTCCAGATTGAATTTGGTGTTAATGTAACCACCAAAGAAATTGTCCTTGCTGATGTTATTGATAATGATTCCTGGAGACTCTGGCCATCAGGAGATCGAAGCCAGCAGAAAGATAAACAGGTATATCATGCTTCAGATTTTTTTATCCTTTGCAAGAACAGGCTGGGGTAGAGGCGAAAGGGAAGTTGGGAGGAAAAGTAACAATTACTGTTAAAGAGTAAGTGGCAAATCTGGAACTCTCTCCAAAGTCTTCTGGTTCTTACCAAGCTCCATTTCTGCCTTTTCTATTAAAACAAACTGATGACAAGAGCCTCTTTACTTAAAATATAAGAATTGTCAGGGTAGTTAGTTAATTGTGGTTGCTATTGTAGAAAACACTTATCCTTAAATGAAAATATACTTTACTATCTGAACTTTCTCTGGTCTTATTCAAGGAATGAATTTGTAAGCTTAGATTCATTTTAAGGTATATCCTGTGCTTTGCAAACTCTTCAGAAGCTGTACCACCAACTAAGAAACCAAATAACTTCAGATACCAAGAATCTTACTAATAGAATACTTATATTCTAAACTTTCTATCTTATTTTCTAGTCATATCGTGACCTCAAGGAAGTAACTCCTGAAGGGCTCCAGATGGTGAAGAGAAATTTTGAGTGGGTTGCAGAAAGAGTAGAGGTAAAACCTTTTGTAGTAAATGCATACTATCTTGTGTTTTTCTCCAAGAAAATCTTGCTTCAAAAATAAAAAAGGAGAGGGTGCAGGTCTTTCCTTTTTTCTTAAAGATCACTTTTAGAAAATGTACCTGCTAAATTATCCTGTCATCCTGGAAACTCCTGGGGAAACCTGGAATCCTTGTCTCCTCCCTGCCTTTTCAGGAGAAGCCTTCCATTTACTACCCACTTTTGCACTGCTACTCAGAGTTCCATTAGCAAAGTTCAAAATTAGAACTCTATATGACATTAAAATGTCTACTTTAAGATTTGTGGGACTATTACTGTAACTCCAGAAAAATTGAATGGGCTTTGTGGTTTTCCAAGGGTCATAATCACTTTTAGAACATCATATCCATGGGAATATGTATTTTGAATTCCAAGCAACTAACTTACAAATATTTATAATATAAACTCTTTTATTTTGGCTGTTTATGCCTTAAAACCTCCATTTTTTAAAATGTACTAAAAATCTTGCTTTGAAATACAACTTCCTGAATATTAGAAAGTTTTATTCTTGCTTTTTAGCAAAATAGTAAATATAATTTATCTGATTAAAAATCTTAACTCTGTAGGTCTTAATTATGAAGATCACTTTCCTATATATGTAGGTTATTTTGAAAAGTAAGTCCTTGGTATTTTTATTCTGTTTGTCTCTGCCTTAAATTTGGTCTATTAAGAAAGAAAAAAACTCTTTCCAGATGTAATTTTACTATAAATTAACAGCTCTGTAAACTTTTTATATGGTATTTATTCCTATATTTATCCATTCTTGTTATCTTTAGCATATCCATGTTTTCTTTTCCAGTTGCTTCTGAAAACAGAAAGTCAGTGCAGGGTTGTAGTATTGATGGGCTCAACTTCTGATATCAGTCACTGTGAAAAAATCAAGAAGGCTTGTGGAAATTTTGGCATTCCATGTGAACTTCGGGTAACATCTGCCCATAAAGGACCAGATGAAACTCTGAGAATTAAAGCAGAATATGAAGGTAAACATCAGGTAACTGGAGCATTTCAGGAAGTTCAGATTTTTCCCCCCAAATTTTTTTGCTTAGACTAGTAATGTTGAGAAAGAGGTTTGCCACATTTCCAAGAGAAAAAATGTAATATTTTAGGCTTTCATTATAGTCACACCCAAAGAGTTTAAGGTACTCTAGGAGCTTATAAAAGAACAGAGCAGGGAAAAAGAATTGAAAATGCAAGCGTGGAAGGAAAATAAAAATAAGACTTTACCTAGTAAGAAGCTAATAATAGTAAATTAGGCAATAAATTATTAGGTAAAGACTAATTTATTATTAGTCTTTGCCTAAAAAGAAGCCCCTCAACATTGTTTCTAATACGCTCCAACAGAAAATAGGCCACTCATCGATTTTGGGAGGCCTGAGGTTGAAGGAGCAGATCCTCTCAAGTACTTTTAATGGCTAGCATTTCCTAGGGGGCAGTTAAATATGAAATTAAGGAATAATTTCAGAATTTAGTATATAAAAGAAATGTCTTGATGGAATAGCAATGATCTAAAATAATGGAGCCATGGGGACACAACCAAATATTTCTCCACTGGAAAAACTGTTGATTGAGTATTCTTTCTCAAGGTAGTTGCTATGGGAGCATAGTTATTAAGATTTTTTTTTAGGAGGTTGTGGAGTGGGGGAGGTTCCAGACCCCTTTGATATATATGCTAAGAAAAGCCAGAACTCTTTCTCCACAAAAAAATGCAATATATAAAATTTTGGATTCCAGGTAGGGAATCTCTTCTATAGTAAACAAAAGAATAATTGATAAATTTATCAAATAGTAAAGTGTTTAAGAGGTATGTTAGAGGGGTCTTAAATATTTAGGTAATACTTTGTTGAATTTGCCTTCAACCCTTGTTTCAAGAAGTGCCCCTAAACCACTAGTCTGTATTAACTAGGTCTCCCTATACCCTGTTGGTCACAGGACACTAGGACAGACATTGGTTCAGGTGGTGTCATTCTTTGTTACAGTAGCCTAAGCAGCAGTGAAATAAAGTGAAATAGTAAAAATGACTTTTGAGTCATTCCCTTACCAATGCGCTAGTACCTCCTTTATGGTATAGATCTTGGAGATGGCCAGACCTATTCTTGCTACTTTGTTACTTGACATACAGTAAGTGCCAGGGTGAACCTTGTATTTTTTCATATATATGTAATAATAGTGATTACTTATGCTTTTTCTGTAGGCTAATAAAGGAACACAGGGAGTTAAGACAGATAGTCTCCCTACCCCCTACCTTTTTAAACCTATCTTTAAATCTCTTTTCAATGTTTAGCATAATTATAAACTTGTAATTTCCCTAGGGGATGGCATTCCTACTGTATTTGTGGCTGTGGCAGGCAGAAGCAACGGTTTAGGACCTGTAATGTCTGGTAACACTGCATATCCAGTTATCAGCTGTCCTCCCCTCACTCCAGACTGGGGAGCTCAGGATGTATGGTCTTCTCTTCGACTACCCAGTGGTAAGATACCTTGAATTTTTAAATATTGTTTATTAAAAAATTTCATAATATACAGAAGTGGAATACTGTATTGAAATCTCATGTGCCCATCACCCAGCTTCAGCTATTAACATTTTGTTGCATCACAGTATCCCTCTCCTGCTGGACTTTTTTAAAGCAGGTGGTAGATATTATAGCATTTTATTAAGTATGTCTCTCTGAGTGATAAGGACTCTAGTTTTTTAATTATAATCATACCATATTCACACCTAAGAATAAATTAATCTCTTAAAATCATCTAATTTCCAGTTACTGGTTCAAGTTTTTCCAATTGTCTAATTTGTTTTTATAGTTGGTTTGTTCAAATTGGGATCTAACAGTCCTTACATTGCATGTAGTTTTCCTCTCTCTTAAGTCTCTTAATCCCTCTTCTTTTTTCTGTATCATTTGTCCTGTAAGTTTTCCACATTTTGGATTTGGCTGATTATATTCCTGAATATTGTTAAAATGCTTTTCCATTCCCTATATTTTCTGTAAACTGTTGGTGATGTCTGTAGTTAGATGGAGTTCAGATTTGGGTTTTTTTCCCCTAGGAATACATCATTCACAGTTTTGAGTTTTTTAAAGTAAATGTGATTATGTTAATTCTGTGGAGGAAATGAAATTTTATTTTTAAAGATTAGGGACCACAATAAATAACATACAAGGAAGTTTTATCAGATGGCCCAGGATCTCAGAACAACAAAATCCAACACCGCAGCATTGTGCAAAATAATGATCTGATGGAAGTCCTGAGTCAGTATTGTTTCAGTAAGAGTTGATTTGCTTATTACTTATACCCTCAGCTTTTCTCACAGTTGTGTAAGTCCGCTCTTGATACGTTTTCAAAACAATAAGTATTTGAGCCCTCTGACCTGTTCCAATACAGACTGGCTTCTCTCTAGGCCTACTGCACTGCTGTTGGCTTAGGCTCTCTGCCGTCCGTTATTACCCTGGGCATTCATTGTTATCTTTCTCTAGTTTTGGATCTCCTCTTGCCAAAGCTCTGTATCTTCCCCTTTCTTGATTTACTTTTGTTGGGGAACATTCTCAGGTGAACTTCCTGAGGAAAGTAAAAACATAAACTTTATAAGACCTCATAAATCTAAAACACTTTTATTATAGCCTCACACTTCTTTCTTTGATAATTTAGGGATAGAATTCTAGGTTGAAAATCATTTATCAGAATTTTGGGACTACTGTTCCATTGTCTTCTAGATTCCAGAGTTATTGAGAACCCCAGTGCCTTTCCACTATTTTGATTCTAGGTTTATGAATTTAGTTTCTAGAAACTAAGCATCTTTTTCTATCCATTGTTCTTAAATTTTACAAAATTGGGTCTTTGTGAGTCTGTTCTCATCCTGGGCTTTCAGTGAGCCCTTAAGCTGGAACTGATTCTTTTTAGTCCTGGGAATTTTCCTTGATTTAATAATTTCCTTCCCTGTCCATTTTCTCTCTTCTCTCATTTTTGGATTTAGTATTCAAATTTTCACGAGCTCTTTTTTGTTCTCTGACCTCCCACCTCTAAACATCCTTTTCTTGTTTAATCTTCGCAGTAAAGTCTTTCATTTCTCTTACGATTACTAAAGTTCCACATTAGTTCCTTTCCTCTGCTGTGAGGTAATCCTTGGCCATTTGCTCTTGTTTAAGAGTGGGCACTATGATAAATCATTTGGAAGCTCTGTGTAAGGAGATGGAGCTTGTCAAAAGTGTGTGGGGTGATCTGGTAGGTAGTCCTTTGAATAAATAACCCCTCACAACAGTGGTGTCACTAATTCTTCAACCTGGTATTGGGTTCTGGTATTGTCAGATTGCTTCTCATCTTTCCTTGCTTACAATTTAGGATTATATTTTCTTGGTCTTCCACTCCCTTTGCCTTTCAGCTGTCAAAATGTTCTTGCTCTTACCTCTTTGTTCTTACATTTATATCTGTTATCTTTATGCTCTTCACTGTTCTTTATATATGGTTTCAGAGATATATATGTTGTGATTAATCCATCTTTAGCTAGGTCTTTGACTAGGCATCTGATGATATCAACTTGTCACATTAAAAATCTACAGCTATAAAATGAAGCCATAACCAGGTGTATGCCAGAGTAAATAGTACAGGTATTGTCCATGGAGCTTAGGAAAAAAGAAACTGATGAGCAAAGATTTTACAGTTTTTATCTAGTACTGCCAAAGAGATCAAGGAATCTGAAATACTTGTACATTCTGATAACTAGAATTGGGGATGATCTTTTGAGGAACAGTTTTATAGTATCCTTTATAAAGTCCTGAAAACTCTTACTTCTCTTTCTCTTATGGTATGTTCACTAGATAACCTGATTTTTTTTTAAGTAAGCTTTCCTGATAGTAGAAAAGGTTGTCCTGGGCACTAGGCAAAAGTATTTCAGTTACTAGAGTATAACATTCTACCTAGTACACTAAGAGAAGTTGACATTCACTGAGTTCATACTATGTGTCAGGTACTGCTCCAAACACTTTATCTGTATTAATTCATCGAATCTTCACATAAGGTAGCTACTACTTACTGTTCCTATCTTATACATAAGGACACTAAAATTTGCATTATGTAACTTGACCAGTGTCACACAGTAAATGGTGGAGGTGCATAAATTAATTTATTAATACATATAATTAAATGGATTTTATGATTTGTACTTTAGTCTGTTCTTATTGGGCAGAGTGAAAGTTCAGAGTCTGATGAAATCTAAGAATATTGGGAGAATGGAGCTTTTTGATCTATAAGCCAGCTGGTCCAGACTTTAGTGACACACAGTACCACCTCAAGAAACTGCCTGAGCAAAGAGGTGACGCTTCAGGAAGCTATTATTCTGTCGTAGATTTTATTACTCTTGAATTTACTTGTAACCTGATAATTCTTAAAATTACTGTTTGGATATGACTTTTTTTACTGCTTAAAAATGTTAGAGTGGTTCAAGTGCTAAGACGAAAGGAATAGCTAGGAAATTATCAAAACAATATACCTCAAGGTTGTCTAAGAACTGCTTCTACCCACTTGTCTCTTGTGTTATTATTATTGCCTTATACTAGGGACTTAAAGGGATAGTGTATGTGAAAAGAACTTTGAAAAAGGTAAATTTCTTTGCAAGTGGATTCTGTGAAAAGAGTGATAGATGATGTATATAAAATACTGTTCATGGCACATAAATATTAATCCTCTTAAATCACTTTACCACTCTAACAGTAAAGATAGAAATTCCTTCCACAGATCCTAGTCTAGACAGGGTAATGTAGTAGGTTTTTATTGTCTGTGGCTAACAGGACTTCTGAGTTTGCTAAGTAGTATTTTCATTGTCAGTTAACAGCTCAATTTTCTCTCTTCCTTTCTGAACCAACAGGTCTTAGCTGTTCGACCATACTTTCTCCAGAAGGATCAGCTAAGTTTGCTGCTCAGATATTTGGATTAAACAACCATTTGGTATGGGCCAAACTGCGAGCCAGTGTATTGAACACGTGGATTTCCCTGAAGCAGGCTGACAAGAAAATCAGAGGGGGCAGTTTATAAGAAAGAATATCATAGCATTTTTTCAGGAGAAAAACTATTTCTAGTTTAGCTGCAGAAAAAAATCAAGCAAAATGAAAAGATTTTACATCAGTTGAACATTAAATTAGTGAATAAATGCTTCTCTAGATTAGTGGATTAGTAGAATATATGTACATATTTATTAATATTTCTTTGCAAGAAGCAAAATTACTACATCTAAAAATCATTTTATTCACTATATAGTCATTGTTAGGTAACATAATCAAATATGTTTCTTAAATGATAATCTTATTATAGAGCTTTAAATTACTACTTGGCCTATATTTCAACACATAAGTGTTAGAAAGTTAAAATAATTGTATCTTAGAAAGGGCGGTAAGACATAGTCCTTTTTCACATATTCCTATCATCTGTACAAAATCTCAAGTAGGGATCAAATTGTACATTAGGCTGATATAGATGGTCTTCCATTTTCAACCTTTTTGAAGTTGATTGTGTCTAAGGACTTAAAACATAAACTCTTAATATCTCTTTTACAATACGGATTACTTTGAAAATATGAATGCCATTGGCCTCCCTAGAAAATTGCACAGTAAGTTTACCAAGAGTCCATTGGTTCTTGGGTTCCCTTGAAATCTGTCCAGGATCAGTTAAGAATTGCTGGTGTAACCCATTAGGGTTACAGAATTTTCCTCATAATTTTTGGACTGTCACATATCTATACCTTTAGTTCTTAGAATGTCCTCATTTCTGTCATTAAAATTTGTTAGTTACTGGAGCTTCATCTTCACAGTCTTTGTGAAACCTTCCTAATCACCTCAAGCTAAGATGGCTGGCTACAAGTAGTTCTTTCTCTGTTGGATTGTAAGCCCCAAGAGAGGTGAAAATACAATTTTACTCTTTATTTTCACTCACACTGCCTTAGGCTCTGATGTGCTATGCCTAGCTGTCTGCCAGATAAGGGGAAATTATAAAAATCATGTACTGCTTAATTTTCTATCTTATGTTAGTTCAAAAGAACAATAAAAAAGATTTTAACATCATTAAACTTAAGCTCCATGATTTCTGAATAATCATTGGCTGCTATTTCAGTTCTTCTATCCCTACCTAGCAAAACTCCACCTGTTCCTGTGCAGTGTATGAAAAATTAAAAACACTGATGTAGACTGTTGGATAGGACTGATGGACAGAAGTGACCATTGTCAATGGTCATTATTAATTTCACTATTAGTTTCCAAGTAAATGCATACATATATCCTCAGTAGTATAGTTCATTAGTGCTAGAGTAAATACTTGAAAGTATTTTAACTCATAAAAAGTAACTTGTACAAACCTACCTGGTATGCCATTTTTGGGTGTTTATACTTTCTATGGGCTTGTAGCTAAACATGAAGAAAAATTGTAATAAAAAATGTTCTTAAACTTTATTTCATAAAGGCATGTTTAGAACTGCTGTTACTTTAATGCCTTTTGAAATTTAAACACTGAAGCCAAATAAAAGACAAAAGATAAGCTCTTGTGTGAAGCTTTTTTCATTCATCCATTCATAAAATAGACATTTTGCCAGACTTTTATTCTAGGCCCTAGGAAAGTGGCACTGAACAGAGGCCAGGCCCCCACCCTCAAAAAACTCATTTTATTGGTATGACAAACTATGAAAGAGATTCAGAGAAGTATAAGTGCATATGAAGAACCAAGATGAGAGGACAAGGGTGGAGATAAATGGGAAGTTTTTGAGGAGAGCAGAGCAGTGTTTCAAAGACAAGGGGAAATAGCTTTCCAGACTAAGGAAAAAGGAAGTACTTCCTCTTGACCTACAGACACGCCAGTATTGTTGGATCTCTGAGCAAGGCTAAGAGTGGAAGATGATTCTGGTAGAAGCAAAGGATACGTCACTTAGAGCCTATAGGCCACACTAGTGTGATAGGAAAAGCCACTGGCAAATTTGAGCAGGGGCGTGACATGACCTGTTTAATGTTTTAAAATTCTCTGGTTATTGTGTGGACAAGAAGAGAAGCAAGGAGATTGGTTAGGAGGCTACCATAGTTCACTTGAAGAACGATGTGACCTTAAAGTAACTCAAAATTTTTTATGCCTCGATTTCCTTAGGTGTGAAATAGGAATAACATTACCTTCTTTGTAAGGTTGTTACGAGAATTAAATGTCAGTATGTGTGAAGTATATCCTGGCACATGACTGCATTATGTAATATCCACTTGACAAACTGTAGAGAATGGAATGAGTGGAATTGATTTCACCATGGAAATTACCTTAAATTTGATATTCCTTCAGTTAATTTCTAAAAGTAGGAAAAAAAAGCCAGCCTAATCTGGTTTAAAGCATGACATGCCATGGATCATCCACAATCTGGCCATTTTTAGCTCAGCAGTCCCTGGAAAATGAAAATGCTTACCTTTAGTGGTGCTTTTTGCATTTAACTTCCACAACCTCAAATACTTGGAGTTGTTAGTCTAGCAATTTGGTACAGTGAAAATAGAACGGAAATAAAAAGATTTCCCTGAGCACATCACTCCTTGAGCTTCAGTTCTCATTTGTAAAGTGGGACTAAATATTTCCTATGCCTCACAGGATAAAATGACAAACTACTATATATGGAAACCTCTCAGAAATCATAAGTGGCTTCATTCATCAGTGTAAAATAAAATTTTGAGTACTTACTGTGTGGAAGACCCTAGGGATACAACAGGGAACATGATCCAATTTCTGCCCTCAGTGAATCTCAGTCATCTTTAAAACACCTTATTGTCTTAATATGGCATAAAGGATAGGCTATTCTGAGTACAGAGAGGAGGGGAATCTAAAGAACAAGTTTATATTGTCAGTGAAAAGGAGGGACTCACTCCTTGCACTCTATCCTCAATTCCTCTTACCTTTCCTTAGTTTTAGTTTTAGAATTTATTACCACCAAACGGTATATATCTGTACATTGCCTGTCTCTCCCAACTAGAAAATCCATCAGTACACTGGGTTATCTTTTAGATGTTAATTGTATCTCTAGTAACTAGTAATGCCTGGCACTGGCACATACAAGGCACTCAGTATTTGTCAAATGAATACATGGGTATGGCAACATGGGACTATGCGTAACTAAATTATCGGAGTGTAACATTTAAGGGGTGTATAGAGTAACAACACACTGGTGGGTCGGGGAGGTGGTAAGCAGAGGCCAGATTGTAGAAGACCTTTACTTGGATTTTATCCTGAGTAGGAGGGTAGGAGAGTGGCATCTGATAAGTCCTTTAAAAAATCGCTCTAGTTTGGAAGACCACTGTTTCAAAAATGTCAGATTAAATCCTGTTTTCCACAAAGCTCCATTAAAATGACAAGAAACAGGAATTCTGAGGAATTTCTAGAAGTTACGAAGTATATCGTATCAGACTGACAACCAGTATTGTGAATCCTATGTAGTCAATGTTCTGAAAAGTTAGAAAAGAACTAAGATTGTGGTTCTTAACCTTTGGGTAGGGGGGAGTATAAACATCTTTGGAAAATCCAATGGAAGCTACAAAACCTTTCCTCAGAAAAACTGACATGTAAATTTGGGTATAACAAATGTCATCAGGAACTCCCTTAATCCCCCTAAAATCTAGGCATAATTGTCTTGAAACCTGTGTCAGTTCCACAGTCAGTGAAAGTCCACAGTTTTTCCTACGATTTTTACTAATTCATACAGATTATATCCTGAGCTAGATAGAGTTCATTCAACCATTAGTGCTGTTTCTGCATTGTACTCTACTGATCAGACAGGAAACAAGTCAGTCTCTTAGGACAGAACCATGAGCTGGACAGTTTCTGCCTTCAAGGAACTCAGATTATGGGGAAAATGATAAGCAAATATTCATTCAGTTAAAGAGTTAAAGATTAACTATTTGTGATGGTGTGTGCTAGATCCTAAGGACACTGCAGTGAGCAAGGTAAATATGGTCCCTGGCCTCTGAAATTACAGTCCATCTAGAGGGAGGAGAAAGGGTAGGAGTCCTGGAACTTTAAAGGGAAATGGAAGCAATTCACAGGAATCCTGAAGAGTAAATGTGGTTAAAAAAAAAAAAAAGTTTGTAGGACACACGGATTACTTTTAACAAGTCTTTGCCACATTTCTCCCTGTCTATAATATCCAGTTCACATTATAATGTTATCTATGATGATAGATACCTTCTTGAAGCAGTTCCTCAATCTAAATTCTTTTTATGCAGTTAACGGAGAGGGGAGGCTAAAGTTTCTTTCAGAGTCTTTGGAACTTGATTGTTTTCAACTGACATAATCTGCATGCTGAAATGGCACATCTTCGGAGGGCTTACCCTTGGCTCCTACACTGGGCAAGAGAGGAATATAAGTCTGCAGAGTAGGCACTCAAAAAAATGTCCTCTCATTCTCATCAAGAGTACTCAATAGGTGCCCACCCACCCTGTTCTGATATTCAAACACATGTTGATATTTAAGGTCTCAAACACTTTAAACCCCGTATGTCTATGTTACTTGAGTCCCCTGTGATGATACTTGCTACTACGCCAGGATGCACAGAATTGTATTCCTACAACAATTACATATTAATCTCTTTCACAGTCGGGAAATTGGGACCCTAAGTAACTTTTTCACAAACATCTAGTGAGTCACAGCCAGGAAGTGAACCTGGGCATTCTCACACCAAAATACATTATTCTTTTGGCCTTATATTCGACTGCTCCTTGACTGGAGCCCAAAGGGCAACCAAGGGGTTTTCACGAAACTTGATTTGCACTTGGAGATTTTTTCCTTCGTCTTTCCTCATATTCACCTCTCTGCCAGAACTTTATGCAGAACGCCAGGTTTCCTAATCAACTTTCAAGATTCCTTTCAAATGCCAATTCCTCTATTACGTATTCTCAAACAGCAAGGAGAAGCCCTTTCTATACCTTTCCTTCTACCCCTCTGCTCTTCTCCTTCAAACAACTCCCCATGGTTTCCAGTTGGTATTTCAGCACCCATAGACCATTTACCTCCCACAGACCGTGGCCCAACTCTACCTCGTGGGACCAGGACACTGCCTCTCCCGCAGCAGTCGCCCTGGAAACGCACGCTGCTTTAAGCCGAAACTGGTGAACCTCTTCTTAGCCTCCTGCCGGGGTCCGATACCTCCTTCCTCCAGACTGGCTCTAAGTAAGGTGTATTTCTATCCACGCACATTTCTAGCTACAAGAGCTAACGTCGCGGTCTCTGACGCTAACGCAGGGATAAGGATGCTTCGGACTGCTGTACGCTTAACAGCCCCCAATTTCCTCCTTCATTGGCTGCTTCCGACATTCTCTTCCGGGGCAGAGGTCGTCCCGCCCCCGCTCGCGTCTTCTTCAAGATGGCGAGCAGCGGCGGCGGAGGGGTGTCGGTATCTGCGCTCTGGAGTGAAGTGAACCGTTATGGCCAGAACGGCGACTTCACGCGCGCTCTCAAGACTGTCAACAAGCGTAAGTGTGGGAGCAGGCGCCGGGGCGGCCCGGGCGGGCAGGAGAATGCGGCCCCTTCCCGGAGCGCGCGACCACCTCCGAGTCGAGTCGGGGAGGGGAGACTCGTCACCCACCTTGTCCGCGGCCGCCCACAGATAGAGTCGCGTATCCAGAGGGCGCGGAGCACAGCCCTTGGGCTTCACCAAGCCCGCGCTGGTCCCGGGTTGCGTTTCCGCCACGTGTACTTCCCTCCTTACCCGCCGCGGGAGTGAGGGAGGGTTTTAAAGCGACCGCAGCTCCCAGCGCCTCTTCCAAACTGTTTTCTTATTTGACTCCTGTTTTCACGCTTTCTTTTGCAAATGTTCCACATGGCTTCTTTTCTCCCTCCTTGTAGCGGAGTGATCGAGACTGCATAGTTGAGCGAGCTTGTTATCTAGGGCCGCAGTGAGGGGAGGAATCTGCTTGGGACTCATAATTTAGTGATGGAATCGCGTGGAAGCTGTTCACTCAGGGCAGATGGAAGGGCTGGATCTGGATGTCAGGCCTGTCATTTCTCCAGAGGGTATCTGTCCGGAACCTTTAGACAGGAAAATGTGTGTGTGAAAGCACTAACACTTGAAATAACGTCGGAAGAAAAATTTGGCCTATTTTTTGCCTCGTAACAGATCATTTCGAGTAAACTGCCTTAGTTGTGAAGTTTACTCATACTATCTTTATCCTTTGCTATGTAAGTGTGATATGACCAAGCTTTATAAAGCTCTCTGTAACATGTTAATATACTGAATTCTTCTTTGCTGAAGATGCAGCCTATGTCTCATAGATTTGGAAATGTAAGTACCAAAACAGAATTTGGCTGTTTAAAGCAGTAATAGCACACAAATTATGTTAGTAACATACAAGGCTTTATAAATAATTTTCAACAACCTATTGCTGGGTTAATATGACAAGGAGTGATTGTGCCCTCAATGCTTTTTTTGGTGATTTCAGACATTAAAGAAAGTAACTACTAATTAGAATTATTTGATTCTTAAACTCGTTTTGAATTAACTTTAGCCTTTGGCTAGGCCTGCAGCCAATACCACTCAGCAGTAGTGTATTCAGTATTTTACAGGAATTATTTAATCAACAGAAGCTGTCAGTTTGCTTTTCAATACATATTTTCTTCAGTGGTAGACATTGCTTTATTTCTTAGAACTGGATTCCTGTAGTTGCCCAGGCGCATGGGTTGACACTGAACAGCTGTTTAGCAATGAAACTTGGCTGCCCGAGTCTTCCCTTGTACTTCCCTTTGGTCATCTTACGTGAAAGGAGAAGATTTGAATGGTTTTGGAAATATTGCTGGCAGGATAAATTGTGTTTTATGGATTTTTCCAAAATATTCTCATTTAATATTGGTAACCTTGTAAAATAAGTAATGCTTTCATAATCATTGCAGATCAGAAAACAGATTTTGCAATTAAATGGCTTGCCCAGAATATCAAAGCATTTTGTGACAAGCTTGTACTCAAACCTAAGAATTTGCTTAGAAACTGTACATGAAGTCTTCTTTCCCTGTGAAGTAATGAAATACGTAGGATGTAGCATGATGTACCAAGATGAAATCGCTGGAGGCAGCTTCTTTCTTCATTTTGCACTTTTTTTTTTTTTTTTTGGTACATGCATCGTGGGAATCTATCCCATTGAAAATCTTAGTAAATTATAATTCTTATGACCACTTCTTAAATTAAAAAAAGATCAGTCTTTTTTTTTTTGAAATTCTGACTAATCATTGCTGCAATTAAGTTAGAAATGTAGCTTCCTGAGGGCAGGGGTGGGAACGTTTAGTAAAAATGTGGAGAATGTATTTAAAAACTGCTTTCTGAAAATTGTTCTCTAGTACTGCAGATTAACAAGGATGATGTAACTGCCCTACATTGTAAAGTGGTATGCCTTATCCAGAATGGAAGCTTCAAGGAAGCCTTGAATGTCATCAATACTCACACCAAAGTGTTAGCCAAGTAAGTGATTCAGTTGGTTTTTTGTGCAGTTATTAGAAACACATTCTTCATAGCTATAACCATTTTCATGTTTTTCTTCCAGTATTCAGTGATTTTTTTTTTTTTTAATCTTTTCTTTCCTTCCTTTTTTTCTTTTGCTTGCCAGTAGTGTTTGGGACACTGGAAGAAGCAATAGTAACTTTGTTCTTTTCTGCCTTAGGTAGCCTTTTCTTTGCCCCTGTCTTCCCTTGAACCACTGAGAAGGAGGTAAACTGTGGAGGGATGTGGAGCATAAATGTAACAAGTTCTTGGAGGACATAGCACAACTCACCAGAAGTTGAATTAGGAAAACAAAGCCATAGAAGCAGAACATGTAGGATAGGGATGTATAAGTAGAGAGAGGTCTCCAGGATGGTATGGCAGTCCTGTGTAGGTAGGTCGTCCTCTCTGCCCACCTACTTTGAGAATTGCTAAGGTGAATGCGATTTTAGGCCAAGATCTTTCAGCGCCAGAGTTCTTTAGCAGTTTTTAGAATATATAGTGGATTATTTTGTTGTTAATCTTCTTTCAATTATTTATATCATTTCATGAAATATGAACTTATATTCTAAATTGTTACTGTAATTTGATTTTTCTTCCTAGTTAGGCCTCAGCTCCAAAAGAAATGTGTGTTGAAATGAAGTTTGCAGTGTATTTATTCTTCAGTGAGATCGTAGTTTGTAAGGTGCAGAACAGTATATAGTATACTTCTTTTTGTATAAGAAAGGAAGACATAAGAATTTATATGTGTATTTTACTGTATAAGTAAAAATTTGATAAATATCATGAGTTATGGTTGAAACAAAATAAATTTTGGGTGTCACATTAATGTAGCTGAATGTTTGAGTCAATGTAGGTAAGTACTGTTTTTGCAGTTGTGTTTACCACTTGTTAGATTATGAGTGCTATCTTAAGATTTCTAGTTACTTTGCTTATCAATTGCTTCTTGAACAAATTAAAAAAGCAGCTTTATATGGCTTACTATTTGATGAGATTTTAAAAACTTCTATAATCTGTTTAAAACAGTTTTAACATTGTGTATATAGACTATTATTTAACTAATCCATGATTTCATTCTTAAATGTTTATTTCAAAAGGCCATTAATTCTAGTAAGAATATCCATGAAAGCAAGAGAACGTAGGGAAATGAAGATAGTATTTTTGGCTATGGCCTGATTTTCAGACCTGCCACTAACTGTCAATTTCCTCTTCTATTGTTAATGGGGATTAAATAACAATATAGATGAAGTGCTTAGAGCAGTGTTGGGCATATAGTGGGTGTTCTGTGATGTTAGTTGATAATCTGATATTGTTTCTTTCCTTTTCAGTAACTCTCTTTCCTTTGAGAAGGCATATTGCGAGTACAGGCTGAACAGAATTGAGAATGCCTTGAAAACAATAGAAAGTGCCAATCAGCAGACAGACAAACTAAAGGAGCTTTATGGACAAGTGGTAATTACTGCTTTAAAATACCTGTTGACAATTTTCCTGAGTGAGCATGACTGTAGTGTAGCAAGGAGTAGGGATGAGGAACCTCAGCCCATCCTGATACTCCACAAAATTGGCCACCAAACTAATTCTTGAGGTTTGAACATATTCCCTCTTCTTGATCTTTATATAAACAGCTTCATATATAAGAGTTCTATGAAAAAATTCCTTCTCAGGGCGATTAAAAAGTTAAGAAAAGTAAGAACTATCCTATTAAATTTGGATTTTATAGTTGTAAAGATAAAGGCCAATGAACTTATAAATCTACACAGTTTTGAAATTGTATTTCTTTCCTAGTTTTCAACTGGTATTCTAAGGTTAAAATAAAGTAATTCATGATGGATAAGAATTTGGATGAAATCAACTGGTTCATGAAATCCCTGATAATATCTTACTCTAAAAGGGTTTTGAGACATATAATTAAGCCTATATTACTATTAATGATGAGAGGACAGAAGTGCTATATTACAGATTTGTAAAATGTCAGGTTAGGGCAAATAATGTTGTATTGAATGTATTGACCCCAAGGGGTAGTATGAGTTTAACAATAAAAATGGGTTGAAGAAAGATTTGGGCAAGTTCATGGATCGTGTATCTATGTTTTGCATGCTTGATACTACCCTATGGATAACCAGTTTCTGGGAAAAAGAAAATGAAGATTGCAGTGAACTTCTGGGAAATATTAAATCCTTTTGTTAATATCTAATTTTGTTCCTGTTTACTAGAGCTTAGCAATTCTTTGGTGTAGGGGAAATTTTTTTCATTATAACTCAGATTTAAGGTAACAGGGTGATTTCTATAGAAAGATTTTCTTTCACAGCCCACTTAGGCACTTAACTAACCTCAGGAAGGAGGTAGATACAATGACTTTTCTGATTGAATCATCTGCAAAATAGAAGAGATTTGTTGCAAGTAGCTTTTTTAAAGTATTAGTTGCACACAAAACTAATTTTAGAATTATAAAGGAAAAAATAGTTGATTGCCCATGTTATGCTAGCTTAGTTTCCTGCTTAGAGTGTTTCCAAGAAGAGTTTGTATGATGTTAGAGACATAACACTACATTTGCCTTGTCTTCTGATTTGTTAATTGTCTTTTTAGTTGTACCGGTTAGAACGCTATGATGAATGCTTAGGTGTATATAGAGATCTCGTCCGGAACTCCCAAGATGATTATGACGAGGAGAGAAAAACAAACCTTTCAGCAGTTGTTGCTGCTCAAAGCAACTGGGAAAAAGTGGTTCCAGTAAGTATCCCTGTGTATATATATACGGCCATGAAATAATATTCTTGTCTAGTGTTTGACTGCTATTTTGCTCCATGGCAGGAGAACTTGGGCCTCCAAGAAGGCACACATGAGCTGTGCTACAATGCTGCATGTGCACTGATAGGACAAGGCCAGCTGAACCAGGCAATGAAAATCCTACAAAAAGCTGAAGGTTAGATGTTTATTAAAATTATATGTAATTGTAATGTGTGTATTAGCAAAATTTATCCAAAAATTGCATTTGACCTTTTTGAAGTTTTTAAATGGAAATATTGGTGCATTTGGGATTTCTCAAAGTTCACCTAGCCTTTCTCTTTGCTTTTTGACCATATCTCTTCTCTATTTCTGTTTAAGCCCTAATTCAGATGATTAGTCCAATTTTATCTACACCAGACCTTAAAGTTTGAATTTTGAGGTTTTTGAAAAAGTTACTATGAAAGTACAATTTAAATTTAAATTGAGTTAATCTCAAGCACTTTTCAGTAGTACATGGCAAATAATATAAGCACTCAGTAAATATTGGTTATTATTATTAAACTGGTACTCAAGTATAGTAATAATATGGTGTGCATATGTGTGTGCATGTGTACACATTCATACACTACATTTATACATTTAATATTCAAGCACATTTTAATTATATTTAGTATGTTTCCATATGCAATAGTTACATGCTTTGAAGTGTTTAATTAAGAAAAACAATTTTATTAGAGAACTTAACTTTGGTCTCAAGTCCTGAAACATTTAGACTTCTGTATTCACTTTCCTTGGAAGCTATGAAAGTGTTACAGGGACTATAGTAAATGCTCAGGGGGAAAAAAGGTGGAGCAGAGTCTGTTTTAAGTGATGAAGTTAAAACAAGAGCAGAAGTTAGAGTACCACAAGAAGAAAAACATGTTTGAGAATTACAATTTTTTGATCATACCCAGTATAGGTAGTATTATGTCTACCTATAGAGGGCATATCTATACATTGCAGGTTTGAGTAAAAAGGCTTGGCAGTGGACAGTTTGTTGATGTGAAGCAGATTTTAAAATTTGCAAACCCTTTGATCAGAATTTCATTTCTAGAAATTTCTTTTAAGGAAACAGTTGGATCATTTTACCTGTGTGTCTTTTGAATGCTAATTGAGAGATGTTCATAGAAAAAATTCAAAAATATCTTACAAGTTTCTGTCTTATTAGAGGATTGGCTAAATCTTATTATAACTACAAATAGATTACCATGCAGTCATTAAGAATAAAAATAATGTAGATCTCGATTTATTAATACAAAAAAGATATCCACAGGATATTAAGAGTGGGAAGGGAGGTTTCAAAATAGTATTTAGGATATCCCACTTTTAATTAAAATGCAGCTGTGCATTTACATTTAAAAGAAGTAAATGCTAATAGTATTTCTCAGGGTGGTATGATTATTGTCTTTACTTTTATACTTTTCTGTAGTTTTTGCAATCAACATTTGTTACATTTATATTTTTTAAATGACCTTTAAAAATATTTTAACAGATCACAAATGAAAGAATAACAAAGAGCTAGAATAATCAGGGACTGATAATATTTATATAATATAGCTGATGCTAACAATTAATTTTTAATTTGCTTGTTGTTAAAATTATCTTGAAATTTGCCCAAAAATTTAGTTCTTGTTCTTTGAGATGGTGAAAGGAATAGAAGTTATCCAGCAATGTCAATTTTAAAACCATTTTTTCTTATAGATCTTTGCCGTTGCTCATTATCAGAAGATTCTGTAAGTATTCCATTGTTGTTAAACCCAAATATTACACTTCCAACTAACAAATTTGTAGGAGGCTTTATTGTAGTATTTTTTGACTTTTGGGAATAGATTCATTAAATAGGAATCACCATAGAAACCCTTTTGATCAGTTACTTGGTGAAGTCTCTTAGGGTAAGAAATTATGACACAAAAATTTTTGTATGATATGCCTTACCCATTTTATTTTAAATTCACATAAATATAAATTCATTCTCTTGTTTTAGATGTAGGGCTCAGGTCTTTGAGGATGGGTCTTTTCATAGGAATTTCCCGCATATTTCTTATGTAGCCCATGCATAAGCCAACAGTTGTGATTTCCAGTTTTGTTTTGATTTTTTAAAGCACAGTATCTTAAAGACAGTTGTGAAATAGTTTCATTACAGCATCCTTACAGATGTTAGCTTTTCCACCAGTCTTTTACTGTTTTTTGCTCACACCTAGACAGTAATTTAGAGCATTCAACATAGTTTCCATTGAAACAAGTCTCCTTTCACACTGTAACACTTCATTAAGTTTTATCATTAGCTTATCATACACAACTGGCATAATGGGATTGGAAAAATTGCAGGAGTGCTAGATGTGGTAAAAAGAGAGCAGCTTCCTAACTTTGAACATTCATTGTATGTCAGTCAACTTTTCCGGAGGGGATATAGATTGATCTGAAGTGTCAATTAAGAGAGCTGCTGGTTTAATTACAGAAGTAATTTGTAATTTAACTACAGAAGTAGTTTCAGCTTTTGAAGTTCTTTGTACAGGGATAGTTAGAATTTTTTAATACTTGGTTTACTTATAGTAGAATTAAAAAGCATTTAAAAAATATGTTTTTATGAGAAAATTGTTTCCAGAATTTAGTGGTATCATTGTAAAAATAATTAAACCTGCTTGCTGATTTATTTTTTTTTTTTAAGATAGTAATAATGATCTTTGAATGGTATTCCTGAGTTTGTTGCCATGCTCTTCTGGGATCTGTCTTTGTGTCATTCTCGTTTAAACGTCCCTCTTTTGGTCGCACTTCCTACATTTAAATGAATAGACTCTAAGGGAAAGTTTCTGAAAATGATATGTCCTTTTTAGAATTATGTATCTTTTAAATGTTCGGATTACTAGGTAAATATGTGGATCAATTTGGAGAATTTATAGAAAATAGTTTCTTCTTCTGCTTAGGATGGTACTGAGGAAGACCCACAGACAGAGCTGGCCATCATTCATGGGCAGATGGCCTATATTATGCAGCTTCAGGGTCGTACAGAGGAGGCTTTGCAACTTTACAATCAGATAATAAAACTAAAGTAAGTGCATACTAAAATTAAATGTCTTTTATAAGGTATGAGGTTTCTTTTTTAAGGTTTGTTCCTTTTTGACTGTTGTTCACAGGCCAACAGATGTGGGATTGCTAGCTGTGATTGCAAATAACATCATTACCATTAACAAGGTATGGAATATCCATGGCTTTCCTATCCTTAACATTTTACCCTGAAAGCATATTACCTCAGCTTTGTCCTAGGATAAGTGTTCTTTTTTCCATGACAAAATATTTGTAGCAAAATCACAGTGGGGAGTATTATTTAACTCTCAGAATGATAATGATTCTACAGAGTATATTCAAGAAATAAAAATATTTTGTAGTTACAGACCCTGGACTTTAAAATCTTACCCTTTGCCCAGCTTATAATAATGTGGAGAATCTCTATTTGTTAGAGGCATAAATTATTTGGACTCCAAATCTTGAAAAAAAAAAAATCTTTCAGTGTAAGCATGTTTTCACATGATTTTTTCATCTAGTGAGTTTGAAAATGCAAATTTTATGTGTAACTTTTCTTTCCAGTGGTTTCTATTTTGGGGTGGGGGAGGAGAGACATGGGCAGGTTCTCTCTCACTTTGCTCCGCCCCCCAACCCAACTGTAAAATATTATGAGTATATATATAGAGAGATAGAGAGACAATCCTAAAAATACTAGTCAAATTAACCACCATTTGGAACATTGTTTCAATGGAAAAATACTTCAAGTTCAGATTTGAAATGCAAGTCAGTAGAAGATAAGAAAAGTAACTTTTGATTTCTCTTTATATGCTATGATATGGCATTTTTTATGTGCCATCTTATTTCATCCTTACAATTACCCTTTTAGGTGGCAGTACTTGTCTCCAATTTATAGGAGTATAATCTGAAGCTGAATGAGTTAAGTGATTTGTAGAATGTCACAGAAGTACAACTTGGATTCATACGCAATCTCTGACTTGAAAGTGTGTGCTTTTGGTCCTTCATGGTACCTCTCTCCCTGTATAGCAGAAATTCAGAGGATACCCAGACATGGGGTAATGGTGGGGGTTATTGTTACAGGATGCTGCAGGCCATTGGCATGGTTTAGGTTTCCGAAAATTCATGCTAGCATTTGAATCTCAGCAACTATATTTACCTGACTATGTTATGAGTGATTTGAAATGCTAGTGAGGACAAATTCTTTTTATCTGATATGTAATTGTGGGGAGGAGAGTGTGTGAAATACTATGTTAATCTTAATGTAATTATACACTCATCTTTCTTCAGTCAACAGGCATTTATTTCTGACTTTTTATTCAAAGTAGTGCTTCATGCAATAGGTAATGCAAAAGAAAAATGAAACATGGTCTTAATCATTACATAGTTAAAGAATCTAATTCTTACATTGAGAAAAATTATGCATATTTAAATTTCTTGTCTCTATACTTTATAATTACAATATGTGGTAAAAGAAAAGATCTTTGGTTGGCAAATTTGAGCTTACCTTTGGAGGAGGGATATAGTTTAAGGTTAAGCAACAGCATAAGCAAATGAACATATGAAACAATATTTATGCCTTGGGGGAAGCGAGAAAACAGAAGATACATGCTGGCTAGTTAAAAAAAATAAATGGTTATTTTTAATGATATCAAGGTATGGGAGGCCTTGAAAATGAAATTTTTTAATATGAGTGCCATGATAGCAAAGTTTAAGAGAAATCTGGCAGTGGCATGCATGATGAATTGAAGTATTAAAATAGTGATATAGGAATACCAACTAGAAATACGGTTTTTTGAGAACTGATTTATATGAAAGCCAGTTTCTTACTGTACATTTAAAATAATTTCATATTTGTTTTGAGCTTCACACTCAAAAATAATTTATTTTAGATTTCTTCTTTGCATTCTTTTAGTCTTTAAACTGGTAGAAGACCTGATTTAAAAACACAATGTTATCACTTATTTGTATAAATACATCATTTAATAAAGCTAGAATTTTGTACACATAGTGGACACTCAGATGCTCAGTTTGTCCTCAGGATGTAATGTGATTTAATTATCTTTCTTCTTGAAAGGTATGTGACTATATTTCTTAACAGGACTTTCTTTAGATAGAAAACACTGCTTGCCCTACACAAAAATTTCAGAAATTGAGCTTCTTTGTGCTTGCCTAGGTGAGAAGGCCCTTAAGAAAAGGGAAAACAGTTGCTATGTTGCATTGTATTTTTTTACTAAAAGTGAGTGCAAAGGAGGTGTGAACATATTTCTGAATTTTAATGCTCTGCTTACATAATGACAATATTTAAAAGAAATTAGTTACTTTCCTCATTGCAAATTTAGTTATCTTTGTAGTCCTAATTTCCACTGTGCTGTCCCTATGTACTTTTCTCTAAAAAGCTCACATTTGAAAGTAGAAAACAAACATTTGAAAGTAGAAAAATAAAAGAAAACCAAGAACCCAAGACACACATTATAAGGGTCTTAGTGAGGCACCACAACCAGGTAGATATAGTATCTTCCCAGCTCTTATGTTCCATTTATACAAAATAAATGAAGGAGGAATAGGCCTTGGAAAATTAAAAGAGTTGAAGTCTTCGATTACTGGTAATTGTGGGTGAACTTTTCTTTGCCAGGACCAAAATGTCTTTGACTCCAAGAAGAAGGTGAAATTAACCAATGCGGAAGGGGTAGAGTTTAAGCTTTCCAAGAAACAACTGCAAGCTATAGAATTTAACAAAGCTTTACTTGCTATGTACACAAACCAGGTAGGTAATAACAGACCTCTTTTCCCCTGTTTTGGAGTATGGCATAAGAGGCCTAATGGGTACATCAGTCCCATCTATTTGTATTTTTTTATATTTTGTCCTAAACCCATGCATTCTTCAGAATGTTACATATTATAGATTTTACTTGTTAAACTGTTGGCACAACCCTTTGTAAAGATGTACAATTCGTTACTTTTAAGAAGAAGACAAGACCATACATGTAATGAGATAAATTTTCTCATTACCTTATTTCTAATCTCTGAATTAAAGTAAGAAAGATGGTTATCATGATTATAGCTTTAAGATCCATCTTTCATTGTAGTTTGTGCATAATCACAGCAAGTTAAAAATATTAAGAAGGTCAGTTCTAACTCTTGATGTGCATTGATTCTAATTATGATTTCATATTCTTCTAGCAGATATTTTCAGTGGTAGAGTAAGAGGTAGTAAAACTTGGAACTTGTCCTTTCCTAAATGCTTTCAGAACTCCGCTTAAATTCAGTGAATAGAAATCTTTCTTATGGGAAAAATAATTGAAAATAGTTAATGTAAACCACTTCTCTCACCCCTGGCAGTCCTACACTTATTATTTTGTTTCAACTGATTTCTTCCTCCCTTCCCCATTCTTTTCTTCTTGTCATTCACTTAATGTTTAATTTCATTAACCAGCTAATTTTTGTGGGGGAAAAATACTGTCTTCCAGGCAGAACAGTGCCGCAAAATATCTGCCACTTTGCAGTCCCAAAGTCCTGAGCATCTCCTGCCTGTGTTAATCCAAGCTGCCCAGCTCTGCCGTGAAAAACAGCACACCAAAGCAATAGAGCTGCTTCAGGTAAAGGAATTACTTGAATTTTTAATGAGGTGTCTTTAATGATGCAGCCTTGTTCATTTTTATTATGTTATAATAAAATACAAGCTTATAAATTTCATAGGAAAACTAATAGGTAATATACCACTAGGCAAGTTCCAGAGTGTCACTTAGTTCATTCTTGGGCTGTAGCTTTGTTTTATATAAATTTTCCTTAATAAATGTTTGCCCTAAACCCTGAAGAATGCTTTTCATCTGGAGATCAATTTAACATGATTTAAAGAGTTTTAGGTTTGAAAACATGTTTATTCCTTTTTCAGTAATGGTTCTCCAGTGAGTTCCAATCCAAAACAATTACAATTATAAATGATACTGCCTTGGTTTTTGTTGACATGACTCAACTCTTGGATTATTTGAAATTTCTTGAGGGTAGATAACATTGGAAAATTGGACAGGGTAAAATTAGGACCAGACTGAGGGCACAGTTGCCTAGGGGCTCTCAGTAATGAGGTGTCATTTACTTGAGTGTCTTTCTTTTTAAAAAAACTATGTAGTAATCTTAATTATTATTTCTCTACTAGTGACTTTCTGAAAACCTGAAATTATTGCACTTACTTTCAGAGCATAATTTCAAAGCAAAATGGGTGTTGAATAAAATTTTTTCAAAGTTAAAATTTTGACCTGAACCCAGAAGTTTAATGTTTTAAAACTGGATTTAAAAAATACTATGTAGCTGAGAAAATTTGAATGGTTAGTTGTATAAATTAAATGTGATTTTTTTCCCCTCTAACTAAAAACATTTCAGGAATTTTCAGATCAGCATCCAGAAAATGCAGCTGATACTAAGTTGACCATGGCACAGCTAAAAATTTCCCAAGGTATTAATGATTCCATCATGATTAAAACATCATTTTAAGAGAAATGTTGTTGGAATGATTTTGAAGTAGTTGTGGACTATGTGATTTAAGAATTTTTGCATAATGGTAAAACATAATTAACGCTGCTTCAAACATGAGACTAGGTGTGTGAGCTTACACAGATTGAGTAGTGAGTCCACCTTTTCTTGGGTTACTCCTGAATTGTTAGAATGATTTTCAGTATATGCCTTGAAAGTCAGTAGAAGCAAAGGATTCCTCTGTTCCAAAAGACCATACTTACTCACATTCCCTGGATTTGTCATGTGCAAAATGTTCGTATCTGTTACTTGGTAATATTTGCATGAAATAAGAGTTATTTGCATCTGTTTTCAAAATTTCTTAGCTTATCCTTTTATCCTTCATTTGCCCTTTACTACACATATCTCTAGGGGAGAAGAGGCAAGGAAATTTAAGGAGAATGGATTTTCTTGACTCTTACAGAAAACTGCTAGTATTTTCACCCATGATTTAGAACCAACCTTGAGTGTTTATCTAGAGCTGGGTTGTCCATATTTGGTAGCCACTAGCCACATGTAGTTATTTTAAGTTTAAATTAAAATTAAATGAAGTAATTCAGTTCTTCATTTGTGCTGGGCACATTTCAGAAGCTCAGTAGCCACATGTGGTTAAATTGTTCATCATCACAGAAAGTTCTGTTAGACAGCTCAGGTGTAGACTGTGCATTCTCTATGTGTGTGTGTGTGAGAGAGAGAGAGAGAGAGAGATTTGAGGTGGGGTGGGGTGGGGATTTACAAAAAATTACAGATATGATGGCTGAAATGAAAATTTCATGGGTAAAGAGGAGGGGAGTTGCAAGTAGAGAAGGAAAAATCTGAAAAGACTCTTTAGTGGGTAGTAATGAAAACAAGCTTGAGAAGCACTGCTGTTCTCCCTGTTACTCTGTTCTCACATTTCCTTACCTTCCTCCCTTATTTCTTTTCCTTTCCTCACCTCTTCTTTTTCTTGATGCCCTCTTCATTTTCTTTCCTCATCCAATATTCAGTTTATTTTTGTATGGATTATTTATCTTAATAAATTTACTGAGAGAAAGCCATCATAGGTTTATGTTCCTAAGGTTTGCAGTGAATGAAAAATCAGAATTTTGACACCATATGAAATTTTCCAATGCACTCATATCTATAGTCATATATTTCAAGGTCTTTGGGGAAGGACTCTCACCTTTAGGGTACAGTCTGAAAAGGGGGAACTAGAACTCAACAGACTGGGAGTTGGCTGACTTCTTTTCTGGCACTCTGGCAGCTCTGCCACTAACTTTCTTTGTGGTCGTAAGTACGGTATATTGTTTCTTTAAGACTCAATTTCCTTATCTTTGAAAAGAATAGAGGACATTATCCCGAAGACCCCAAAGCTTGGGTATTTAAAGATGTTATGAAATATGACTTCAATTTCTTGGATTTTTTTTTTTTTCATAATCTTTCTTCAATGTGATGCTCATTTTATTTTTGATTTTTCAAGGTAATATATCCAAAGCATGTCTAATATTGAGAAGCATAGAGGGGTTAAAGCATAAACCAGGCATGGTGAGTTCATAACTAAAATATTACAAGATTGAAATGTAATGAAATTATAGTCCATTGGTATATTTGGTGTTTCTTTATATTCACTTTAATTTCTACTTATTTATTTAAGTTATCTGCTATACATTTAATTCCATTTTGTGCTCTGCTTTGCATTGGTTTATTATTTAGTCAAAATGTGTTTCAGGTACTTTTTAGGCTTTATAGTATCACTGAAAGCCAACCTTAAATAATCTAAGACCTACATAGGGAATTTTGTAGCCTAATAAATTATTTTATAATGTCCTCAGTGTGATATCCTTGAGTTAAAACAAGTTAGAAATAGTGGCCAACAAATTTAGTTTTTAGTTCTCTGATTATTTAAGCTTCACAGGTTTAGGTCACTAATATAGCTATGAAAACATCTATTTCAAACTACTGTCTACTTGTGTAGTTGGGGTATGTGCATTTATTGAACAGGAACTGGTTTATTCATGTCTCTATAAACAGTTTGTTTACAGTTGGCACTCAATAAATGCATTATAATATTATGGTGGTACTTTCTCTTTTAAGATTCCTATTTCAGAGACTGAGCTGTGATTAATTTATATTAGAATCAAACCTTCTAAATGCCTGAAAGTAAAATGTTTCCAATATTAGTATCTTGCCTTTTACTACCTTTCAAAGAATTTATCCACTATATCTAGTTTGTTGAATTTATTAGCATGGAAGTTTTTGTTTAAATATTTCCTACTTATTCTTTTAATACCTGTAGAACCTCTGTTATTCCTGATACTGGTTGTTAGTGTCTTCTCTTTTTGTTTTCTGATCAGTCTGGCCAGTGGTTTATCAGTTTTATTGATTTTCTCAAAACTCCAGCTTTTTATTTTTGTTTCCTTTCTGTCTTCATCTCCTATTGCTCCTCCCGCTCTCTCTCCATTCCAGCCCCATGGCCTCTGCTATCCCTCCAATACACTAGGCAAGCTTTTCACTGGCTTTATGTAGCTCAGGCCACTTGCAGTTTATCATGGGAGTTTAGTCACACTAGTGTATACCTCACTGATAACACACTTGGATGTCTCAGCAAGGTCTTACTATATAAACTAGTTTTCTAAGCACTTATTCTCAACTTGTGTAATTATCTTGTGCACTGGTAACAAATTAAACTGGCACTGCTTTAGGAGGAAAGTTATATTTTATAGATAACTTACCTGTGTATTTGGAAAATACTTGTGCATGGTATTTTCAGTTATGCTTATAAAAATGGTGATTTTTATGATGAATTGGATACTGACCAAGAGCCCAGCAACCTTTATTTGCTATTTCTTCAGTGTTTTCCATTTTCAAAAATCTTATTCTGGGAGAGGAGGAATTTCATTCCATTAATTTGTACCTTTGGCTGGGTAGGTGTCCGCATTAGTGACCATGTATAGCCATGAAGAAGATATTGATAGTGCCATTGATGTCTTCACACAAGCTATCCAGTGGTATCAAAACCATCAGGTAAATAAATGGGTAAATTGTTATGAGGGCATGTCTTTTACATAAAAATAGAAAGCTGCAGTAATAAACTTGAAATTTAGGAGAAATGAAATATTCTAAGTCACCATTTTAAAAATCAAATACTATTGGATTGTCGTATTTATTTTTTAAATATACCAGATCCAAATAAAGTTATTAGAAATAAGAAATACTTGCAAAATGAGAAAAATAGCTCATCTGTGTTTTCTGAATTCTTTCCTTTGTGTGTGTTTCTGTGTTTTTGTGTGCTTGCATGTAATCTCAAATAATGTGAATAGTACATGTAGGAGTGCTCATCTTTAATGGCTAGTGAGCTGGCTCATGGATGGTAGTAATTAATGGGATAATACATGGAACAATTGTATATCTTGTCTCCATCCAACTTGGAATATCTTCATTTTCTCCAGTATGGATCTCTGAATGAGCAACATCCAACTTAGAAATAAATATATATAACACAGGTGGCATTTGTACTGTTAGCACTATTAGTGTGGAGGGGTATCAGTGTTCTGGGAAATATTGTGTATTTATTTTTGAGAACCGAGGTGACATCTTTAAGATTTGAATATGGAGGGATATTTCTAATTGTAGACAATCCAAATTCATAAATTGGTCATTGCTTACCCTAATCTGTCAACCCTCTTCCCTACATGTGTGTTTGAATTTTGTTGTCATTTCATGCATTTTATAAAACTTAAGATGAAGATTTTAATGGATACATCTATTTTAAAGGTCAAATGAATATTAGATTTCATTGACTTACTAGATAATTAGCTTAAACCCTTTTTTTCTCTCCTAATTGAACCTGTAGCCCAAATCTCCTGCTCATTTGTCCTTGGTGAGAGAAGCTGCAAACTTCAAACTCAAATATGGGCGGAAGAAGGAGGCAATTAGTGACCTGGAACAACTATGGAAGTAAGCTCTGAATGAAGATATAGAAATCCAAATTTTATTGCTGTTATCTGGTATGAGGGGATTATTTCAATTGCGTATGTTCTTTTTCCAGTTTTACACACTGCTTAATAACTTTATTCTTTTTTTCTTTTAGACAGAATCCAAAAGATATTCATACCCTGGCACAGCTTATTTCTGCCTACTCACTTGTAGATCCTGAGAAAGCAAAAGCGTATCCTTTTAATTGTTGCTCCAGACAGCTCCCAGGTAGCACACCAGATCTCTTACAGTACCTGTTTTGACCAAGGCCTTTTCTATAGTAAATTACAACAAACAAGACCCCTTTCTAACTAGTAAGAGAAAAAATAGAATTTACTGAATCATGTGACTAAAAAATACAGTGATAGATCCAACTTAGGGTTTGGTTTGATCCAGAAGCAAAAATAAAGCTTATATCTAAAAAAATGCAGCTTATATCTCTCCGGGTTCAAGTCCAGCAGCAAAAAAAAAAAAAAGAAAAGGCGTATTTTATTTGGGTAGTTGTGTATGATTATGAAAAGTCATTCTCATCGAACTGTCTTCAATCACATGCTCACCTCAAACAGTTACTGAAGGTAAGAGGATTCAGTGCCCTGATTGGCTGAGTTTGGATCATGTATGCCTATCAGGGTTTGTTACCAAAATCTGGGTGATGTGGTGATTCCTAAGCAAACACAAGTCAAAACCTCTGTAATGATTAAGTCTGTGTTTATAAGCTTGATAGTTGCTTTGAAATGGAGTTTTTAGTAAGCCACGACCTTGAAAGTGTGTATCACTGAGTTAAGGAGTAGATGATTGGATTATGACTCCTTTTCTCAGTATGTAATACGTAGTTGACCTTAAGGCCTACTGATCTGTTATTCTACAGAAGATTTAAGTTGTGATTTTGTGGTGATTTTTTTTTTTTGCTTTTGACAACGCATCAAAGAAAGACTGTTTCTCTTGATTGACATATGGATGTACGTATGTTGTGTTCCTCAACTCCTGTTTTATCCCAGTCTTAGTAAACACTTGCCCTCGTCAGATAGTATGTCTCTAAAAGTAGATGTTGAGGCTCTTGAAAATTCTCCTGGTGCTACATATATCCGGAAGAAGGGTGGAAAAGTTGCTGGAGATAGTCAGCCAAAGGAGCAAGGGTAATGTTTTTAAGTCCCCTTTTGTTTCTTTTCCCTTCTTTTGTTGTGCCTAGCTCTTAGTCCTTGTTTTCCCTCCTCCTTCCCAGTCTCAGATTAACCTTTGGTGTTACTTTCACATGTATCCTTCAGGATCTTTTATATATTTACACACAGAGGTGGTTTAGAAATACTTTCATTGGATTTGCTTACACTTGTTTTTTATAGGAGTGCGATTATATTGTATTTACTGTTTTCCAGCTTGCTTGCTTTGATTTACTAAGCCTTGGAGATACTCCCGTATTCTAAATGTAGACATATTTTAAATGCATAGGCTGGATGTGCCCTACTCTATTTATCTGTAAGTTTTTAATGTAAATGTAGTAATTATATCATTTAGCAATTCTAAACCAAAATGAAGATGCGTTCTATTTTGCTGATTTGGAGGACAGGTTTATCTAGCTTGGGATGGATGTCGGATTCTGATTCTTGTTCTCCTGTACTGCCATCTCAAAAATATAGTTAGCAGAGGCCTACAGTAAAATATTTTAAGATTCTATTTTTTATTCAGGATGAATAGAGAATGGAAGAGATATAACACTTCCCTAGTTTTGTGGCTTTCGTATTTTATCGCTATTTTCTCCTTTTTTAATACCTTTTGACATTTTTTCCTAACAAAAAAATGTATCAGCAACAACATAATTGGCTTCATATTTTGTGTTAGGTGAAAAAGCATTTTATCCTCATAATAGATTTTAAAAACTTAAATAAGGAAATGGAGTCTCAGAGTTTTACTTTGTACATTTTACATTTCATCATACTCCAATTACGAAAACCCCAAATTGAAATAAATTCAAACCATAGCCTAAGGGGATTTTCAAATAATGCCTGTTTTAAGTATGTTCAGTATTTTTTTTTCTTCGACAACAGGGTTGAATATTTAGTAAGAACATTTAGTTTTTTCTAATCCTTTAATCATTTGTCTCTTTCCTTTAGACAGTTAAGATGAATATTGAGTTCTGAGCTTTTACATCTCATCACAGTATTTTCATTAGATATTATTAATGTCTTGTATGCTAACGTTTGGATACAAAGGTTTAGTTTCTGTTGAAGACACACTATATTGTTGACAATAAATTATGTTCCTTGTCCTTAAAGGAACTTAAGTCTAGCAGAAGGACATAAGTTGAACAGTATTAACAGTAAAATTAAAGGTTACATTTCTTATAATTGTGCAGGGCATAGAGGATTATCACAGAGAATAGTCAGTCTTTCCTGGGGACAGCAGGAGGTTAGGAAAGGTTTTGTGGAGCAGGTGGTTGTGTTGACTCTTACGGAATATAAGGAGGATGAGTTCAAGGGTGGGTGAAGGCAGAGAAGAGATGACAGAGAACCTTTGGGAAATGGCAGCTGTGGCTGTGGAGTATGATTTGTAGGGAAGCAATTTAGAAGACTTGCATAGTCTGGATGAAGTTCTAAAGTAAGACACTATGTTGCATCTGTTCTTCGGGTACCCTGAAAGAACTTACACAACTGAATGACTTGGTAGAATGAAATTTGGCAGAAATTGTTGCTCTCTCATCTTTTATTTTGCTGTTTCATAGTTCCCATAGAGGGATATCAACATACCTTTATGTACAGAGATTTTTTTTTTATGTATTCCTCTTATAGCTGTCAGAGTACTTAGAAATTATTTTGAAGTTTTCTTGATTTCTTAATTTATCATGCCCTTTTCAGCACTTTTTTATTTTTATTTTTTTGTGGCCAGTGTACTTACTAAAGATTTTACCTAATATATGCAGTAAACTCACAAGGTTCAAAATTGGAAAGATAACAAAGTGCGGAGTAAAAAGTCTTCCTACCACCCTCATCTGCTCTCCTCCTTCCCAAGACCACAACCAATATTACTTGACTTGCATGTCCTTCTAGAGATATTCTTTGCATGTATTGTACCTATACATGTTCTGGCAAAGAGTTTGATTATCTCTTCTCTGGTTTTGCTAAGCCTTAAGTAACATGCTGCAAGACCATACATTTTCATGCTTGTGCAGATTTCTTACCTTTTTAAATAGACTTACTGTGTACCAATGTAAAAGTTACCTCTTTCGTTGAAATAGTTTACACCCCACTTTTCTAAACCACCTTCCAAAAACTACAGTGTATGAAGCTTTATTAAATTTAACCTGACTTAATATCCAGGCTAGTTTATGAGCTTTGGTGAGGTGGGGTCAAGTTTCAAATGCCTTTATGATAAAGTGCCCATCTTACTCTTTTGCACATGCTTGATATTCTATAAATATTTTATTACAATGATGGTCATGATTTTTCTTTTTGTAGACAGGGAGATTTGAAGAAGAAGAAGAAGAAGAAAAAGGGTAAGGCTGCTTTTTTTTTCTTTTATGTTCCTTTCTACAAGATAAAAGCTTGAGTTTAGCCCTATATAGAAATCTTTGGACATAAATATACTGTTCTCTCTTTTTGTATCTTTGGACATCGACTGTAGACTACAGCTAGCATTAATTTGATTACCTTGAAGAGTGTGGCTCTGGAGTTTCATTGCCTGAACTCAAATTATTGATCTTTCACCCTGAAAGGTTACTTGACATAGCTGCCTGAGTTTTTCATCTATAAAGTGAATTATGATAGTATATACCTCATGGAATTAAATGAGGTACTATATATATATAAAGTTCTTACAGGTGCCTGGCACATAGTAAGCCCTTATAGGTTAGAGTTCTTTTAGCTACAGGTGCCATAGAACTTCATCAAACTGGCCTAAGAAATCTATTTACAAAAATGACAGTATAGAGGAAGCTTGGCATCAAAGTTTGGTTGATCTAGTAGTTGTACTCTGTTCTGCTGTACACAACACTAAATCCTAGTAGAGTCATTTAATGTTTGTTAGAAACAGTCAAGGCTTGTGATGTACATCCACAAGACAAAGTGAGCCTCTGTGCAATTGGCACATCTTCCCATTAATCTGATTGGGCCAACATAGGTGCATGTCCAGCCTCTAACCATTAAGCAGCAGAATCCCATGCATTGATTGGCTTAGGCTGTGTTCTTAATCCATGGTAAAAGTAGGTGGAATTAACCATGCTTGGCTTCAGCTAGTCAGAGGTTATCCTGGAGCCATCTACCTGTTCCAGAACTTTGGGAAATTTGTGGTACCAGATTTTGCCCACTATCATGTTAGGATTCTGGTTTTCCAAGTCTGCTAGGTTATTACCACTTCTCTGTTTTCCTGCTTCCAGAATTTTATTGATAATTTCTTTTCTCTTACTGTTCCTTCTAATGTGTTTGTTACCGTTGTAGTTAAGAGTTTGGGAACACTGCAGAAGCTAATGTTTGCATTCAATCCACTGTCTTTCACTAGAAGTCTATTCACTTTTGTCACAGTGCTTCAAAATTCGTAAAAACTCAGTAAATATTTATATTTTGTATATTAGTAATACTGTATGCTGATAACTATATGTAGCAATAACCTCTAACTTCATTTTCTGTTCTTTTGTGATTTCCAGTTGAGCATTTTTTAAAAACTTATAATATATGCTCATTATAAAAGCAAGTAAGATTTCTATAATTATAAAATGGCATAAAGATTGGAAAATTTGAAAAAAAAAAGGAAAATTCCCTACCCAAATTCATATTCCCAGAGATAATTTCTTAGCTATTGTATATGTAGAACATACATTATTATACATTTACATGCTCAGTCAATAAAAGTTCGTACAGATATGAACATGTCACCAGAATAATGTGTTAAAATCTACTTTAGACTATTGTGCAGACATTTTTCCAAATTATTAAATACAGATGTACTTCACTTTTTAACTTATGGCTGTAGTTTTCTGTAGGATGGGTATACAGTAATTTAATCATTCTCTCATAGTTAGCTACTTTGAGATCATAGAGAATACTCTTATACACAACTGTAGTTTATGGGTATCTGTATGTTAAATTTCTAGAAGAATAAATTTGGACTGATACTGCCAAATTAAATTGCTCTCTACAGAGGCCATACCAGTATTTATTTCTGCTAGGAGCATGTGAATCTGTCTCACTATCTCAGCAACACTGGGTGTTACTGCTTTTCATATTTATTAGTTTGATAGAATTTGTTACCTTTTTTCATTTTTAATCAGAGAGGCTGAGCATCTTTTACATTACTATTGACTTATTTTTCATGCCTTACCGTAATTAAAGCTATGACCATTTTTCTTTGCTTGATTTACCTATTGACTATCAAGTCCTCGTTCTATATTAATATCACCCCACTGTTGTATAAATGCAAATATCTTTTCATTTTGCTATTTCTTTTAAATGTGTCTTCAATGCAGTGAAATTAAATCTTTTCCTTTGTGACTTCTGAACTTCGTGTCATGCTTAGAAATAAGGTCTTTTTCCCTGCTAGATAATACAAATAAAATTTTACATCAGATAAATTTATTTCAGTTTTTTTAAGGTATTATTGATATACACTCTTATGAAGGTTTCACATGAAAAACAATGTGATTGCTACATTCACCCATATTATTGAGTCCCCTCCCATACCCCATTGCAGTCACTGTCCATCAGTGCAGTAAGATGCCACAGAGTCACTGTTTGCCTTCTCTGTGCTACTGTCTTCTTCATGATGCCCCCAACACCATGTGCGCTAATCATAATACCCCTCAATCCCCTCCTCCCTTCCTCCCCACCTGCCCTCCCCTACCCTTCCTCCTTGGTAAACTCTAGTCCCTTCTTGGACTCTGTGAGTCTGCTACTGTTTTGTTCCTTCAGTTTTGCTTCATTGTTATACTCCACAAATGAGGGAAATTATTTGGTACTTGTCCTTCTCATGGCTTATTTCCCTAAGCATAGTACCCTCTAGATCCATCGATGTTGCAAATGATAGGATCTGTTTTCTCCTTATGGCTGAGTTTTATTCCGTTGTGTATATGTACCACATCTTCTTTATCTATTCATCAAATGATGGACACTAAGGTTGCTTCCATATCTTGGCTATTGTAAATACTGCTGCAGTAAACATAGGAGTGCATATGTCTTTTTGAACCTGAGAACTTGTATTCTTTGTGTAAATTCCTTTGTGGAATTCTCTCGTCAAATGGTATTACTATTTTTAGTTTTATGAGGGGCCCCCATATTGCTTTCCACAATGGTTGAACTAGCTTACATTCCCACCAGCAGTGTAGGAGGGTTCCCTTTTTTTCTCCACATCCTTACAAGCATTTGTTGTTCTTAGTCTTTTTGATGCTGGCCATCCTAACTGGTGTGAGGTGATATCTCATTGTGGTTTTAATTTGCATTTGCCTGATGATTAGTGATGTGGAGCATCTTTTCATGTGCCTGTTGACCATCTGAATTTCTTCCGTGGGGAATTGTGTGTTCATATTCTCCACCCATTTTTAATTGAGTTATTTGCTTTTTGGTTGTTGGTGCATGTGAATTCTTTATATAGTTTCGATGTTAACTCCTTGTCAGATATGTCATTTACAAATATATTCTCCCATAAAGTAGGGTGCTTTTTGTTCTGCTGATGGTGTCCTTTGCCATACAGAAACTTCTTAGCTCGATGTAGTCCTATGTGTTCATTTTTGCTTTTGTTTCCCTTGCCCGAAGAGATGCATTCAGCAAAATGTTGCTCATGTTTATATTCAGGAGATTTTTGCCTATGTTGTCTTCTAAGAGTTCTATGGTTTCATGATTCACATTCAGGTCTTTGATCCATTTTGAGTTTACTTTTGTGTATGGGGTTAGACAGTAATCTAGTTTCATTCTCTTGCATGTAGTTAGCTGTCCAGTTTTGCCAACACCAGTTGCTGAAGAGGCTGTCATTTCCCCATTGTATGTCCATGGCTCCTTTATCATATATTAATTGACCTTATATGCTTGGGTTTATATCTGGACTCTCTAGTCTGTTCCATTGGTCTGTTCTGTTCTTATGCCAGTACCAAATTGTCTTTACTGTGGCTCTGTAGTAGAGCTTGAAGTAGGAGAGCATAATCCCCCCCAGCTTTATTCTTCATTCTCAGGATTGCTTTGGCTATTTGGGATCTTCTGTCGTTCCATAAGAATTTTAGAACTATTTGCTCTAGTTCATTGAGCAATGCTGTTGGTATTTTGATAGGAATTGCATTGAATCTGTAGATTGCTTTAGACAGGATGGCCATTTTGACAGTATTAATTCTTCATCTGCATGAGCACAGGATGTGTTTCCATTTATTGTTATCTTCTTTAATTTCTCTCATGAGTGTCTTGTAGTTTTCAGAGTATAGGTTGTTCACTTCCTTCGTTAGATTTATTCCTCGGTATTCTTTTTGATGCAACTGTGAATGCAATTGTTTTCCTGATTTCTTTCTGCTAGTTCATCATTAGTGTATAGGAATGCCACAGATTTCTGTGTATTAATTTTGTATCCTGCAACTTTGCTGAATTCAGATATTAGATCTACTAGTTTTGGAGTGGATTCTTTAGGGATTTTTATGTACAATATTATGTCATCTGGAAACTGACTGTTTAACTTCTTCTTTGCCAGTCTGGATGCCTTTTATTTCTTTGTGTTTTCTGATTGCTATTGCGAGAACCTCCAGTACTGTTGTAAAATAAAAGTGAAGAGAATGGGTATCCTTGTCTTATTCCCAATCTTAAAGGAAATGCTTTCAGCTTCTTGCTATTAAGTATGATATCGTCATATATGGCCTTTATTATGTTGAGGTACTTGCCTTCTATACCCATTTTGTTGAGAGTTTTTATCATGAATGGATGTTGAATTTTGTGGAATTGCTTTTTCAGCATCTGTGGAGATGATCATGTGGTTTTGTCTTTTTTGTTGATGTGGTAGATGATGATGATGGATTTTCTAATACTGTACCATCCTTGCATCCCTGGAATAAACCCTACTTGATCATGATGGATGATCTTTTTGATATATTTTTGAATTTGGTTTGCTAATATTTTGTTGCTTATTTTTGCATCTATGTTCATCAGGGATATTGGTCTGTGATTTTCTTTTTTTATGGTGTCTTGCCCTGGTTTTGGTATTAGAGTGATGCTGGCCTCATAGAATGAGTATTCCTTCCTCATCTACTTTTTTGGAAGACTTTAAGGAGGATGGGTATTAGGTCTTCACTAAATGTTTGATAAAATTTAGTGGTGGCGCCATCTAGTCCATGTGTTTTGTTCTTAAGTAGTGTTTTCATTACCAGTGCAATTTCATTGCTGGTAATTGGTCTGTTCAGATTTTCTGTTTTCTTTGTGGGTCAGCCTTGGAAGGTTGTATTTTTCTAGAAAGTTGTCCATTTCTTCTAGGTTACATTTCTTCTAGGTTATCCAGGTTGTTAGCATATAATTTTTTATAGTATACTCTAATAATTCTTTATATTTCGGTCATGTCCATAGTGATTTTCTTTCTTATTTCTGATTTTGTTTATGTGTGTAGACTCTTTTTTTTCTTGATAAATGTGGCTAGGAGTTTATCTGCTTTATTTTCTCAAAGAACCAGCTCCTCCTTTCATTGATTCTTTCTATTGTTTTATTCTTCTCGATTATATTTATTTCTGCTTTAATCTTTATTATGTCCCTCCTTCTACTGACTTTAGGCCTCATTTGTTCTTCTTTTTCTAGTTTCGTTAATTGTGAGTTTAGACTGTTCATATGGGATTGTTCTTTCCTGAGGTAAGCCTGTATTACAATATACTTCCCTCTTAGCACAGCCTTTGCTGCATCCCACAGATTTTGTGGTGTTGAATTATTCTTGTCATTTGTCTCCATATATTGCTTGATCTCTGTTTTTATTTGGTCATTGATCCATTGATTATTTAGGAGCACGTTGTTAAGCCTCCATGTGTTTGTAGGCTTTTTCATTTTCTTTGCATAATTTATTTCTAGTTTTATACCCTTGTGGTCTGAGAAACTGTTTGGTACAATTTCTATCTTTCTGAATTTACCAAGACTCTTTGGGTGGCCAGGTATATGATCTATTCTTGAAAAAGTTCTGTGTGCACTTGAGAAGAATTGTGTGTCCTGCTGCTTTTCAGTGGAGAGTTCTGTAGATGTCTGTTAGGTCCATCTGTTCTAATGTGTTGCTCAATGCCTTTGTCTCCTTATTTTCTGTCTGGTTGATCTGTCCTTTGGAGTGAGTGGAGTGTTGAAGTCTCCTAGAATGAATGCATTGCATTCTATTTACCCTTTTAATTCTGTTAGTAGTTGTTTCACATATGTAGGTGCTCCTGTGTTGCGTGCATAGATATTTATAGTGGTTATATCCTCTTGTTGAACTGAGCCCTTTATCATTATGTAATGTCCTTCTTGTCTCTTGTGACTTTCTTTGTTTTTAAGTCTTTTTTCTCTGATACAAGTACTGCAACTCTTGCTTTTTTCTCCCTATTAGTTGCATGAAATATCTTTTTCCATCCCTTCACTTTTAGTTTGTGCATGTCTTTAGGTTTGAAGTGAGTCTCTTGTAGACTGCATATAGATGGGTCTTGTTTTTTTATTCATTCAGTGACTCTTTGTGTTTTGATTGGTGCATTCAGACCATTTACATTTAGGGTGATTATTGATAGGTATGTACGTATTGCCATTGCAGGCTTTAGATTTGTGGTTATCAAAGATTCAAGGGTAACTTCCTTACTATCCAGCAGTCTAACTTAACTCAGTATGCTATTACAAACACAGTTTAAAGGTTCTTTTTTTTTTTATCTCCTCCTTTTTCTTCCTTCTCCATTCTTTATATATTAGGCATCATATTCTATACTCTTTGTCTATCCCTTGACTGACTTTGGAGGTAGTTGAATTATTTTGCATTTGCTTATTAATTGTTTTACTTTCTTTACTGTGCTTTTATTACTTCTGGTGACAGTTATTTAGCCTTAGTAACACTTCCATCTATAGCACTCCCTCCAAAATACACTGTAGAGATAGTTGTGGGAGGTAAATTCTATCAGCTTTTGCTTATCTGGAAATTGTTTAATGCCTCCTTCAAATTTAAATGATAAGCTTGCCGGGTATAGTTTTCTTGGTTCGAGGCCCTTCTCCTTCATTGTGTTAAATATATCATGCCATTCCCTTCTGTTCTGTAATGTTTCTGTTGAGAAGTCTGATGGTAGCCTGATGAGTTTTCCTTTCTAGGTGATCTTTTTTTCCTCTCTCTGGCTGCTTTTAATAGTCTGTCCTTATCTTTGATCTTTGCCATTTTAATTATTATATGTATTGATGTTGTCTTCCTTGGGTCCTTTGTGTTGGGAGATGATCTGTGCACCTCCATGGCCTGAGAGACTGTCTCCTTCCCCACATTGGGGAAGGTTTCAGCAATTACCTCCTCAAAGACACTTTCTGTCCTTTTTCTCTCTCTTCTTTTGGTACCGCTATAATATAAATATTGTTCTGTTTTCATTGGTCACATATTTCTCTCAATAGTCTTTCATTTCTAGAGGTCCTTTTTTCTCTCTGTGCCTCAGCTTCTTTGTATTCCTCTTCTTTAATTTCTGTTTCATTTATCGTCTCCTCCACTGTATCTAATCTGCTCATTGTATTCTATAATGACGGGGTCTCCATCCTGAATTCGTTCCTGAGTTCTTAAATATTTTTCTGTTCCTCCATGAACATGTTTACGATTTTTATTTTCCAAATCTGTTTTAGGAAGATGGATGAGTTCAGATTCACTTGGTCCTTTTTCTCTAGTTTGTGGGATTTTGGTTTGAACTGGGTTCATTTGTTGTTTCATATTTGTGTGTGGCACCCTCTAGTGCCCAGAAGCTCTACTCTCTGGAGCTGCTCAGCCCTTGTAGCGATGTCAGAAGTGACTGGGGAGTGGTGCTGGTGCCTGGGCAGAGGAAAGAGTGGTTTTCTGCTTCCCAGCTTCTATGCCTATCTCCCCTGCTTAGAACCTGTGGGCTGAACACACAGGTGTAAGCCTCATTGCTTTGTGTTTGTAACTGCCATAGGTGTGGCTTCCCTCTGGCTGGCCTAATGCCAGGGCAGCTGCTCCTGGTTTTTGAACAGGTGTGGGCTGGTCAGGAGGAATGTGCAGCAGGCCCCAATGTGGGGCCTTGGAGTTGCATATCCAGCCAGTGGTATGGAGTGACTGAAGCTCCTGTAAGTTCCCAACCTGCTGGGCAGAGTGTACCCACACAATTTTGTCTACCTGTCCTTTCTCCTGAGCAGTAAACTCCATTCAATTCTTGCCCCTTTAGCAGTCCTGTTGCTGTTAGGAAGTCTGTCAGATTGCCCACCTTTCTTTTTGTCCCAGAGCAGCCAGATATGGATCCCTGTTTTCCACAAGTGGCTGAAATCTCAGTCTTTTCAGGTTTTCCACCTGTCTTAGCTTTTGAACCCCACTAATCACCAGAGTACCATGCAGTGTAGGTTCATGCTTCCAGAGATCTCCAGGGCTAGGTGTTCAGCAGTCCCAGGCCTCTACTCCCTCCGTGCTCCGTTTCTCTTCCTCCCTCCAGTGATTTGGGGTGGGGAAGGGCCTGGGTCCCGCCGGATCACAGGTTTTGTATGTTTCCCTGTTCTGTGAGGTTTGTTCTTTTTTCTAGGTGTGTGCAGTCTGGCGCAGCCTTCTTTCCTGTTGCTCTTTCGGGATTAGTTGTATTAATTTTATTTTCATATTATATGTGGTTTTGGGAGGAGGCCTCTATCTCACCTCTCACGCTGCCATATTTAATCTCTTCTCAAATTTATTTGTTTTAATGGTATTTATTCCCAAGCTTGAACATATTCTGTAAATAAACTATCTTGAAAACACTATGGACAGATCTCTTGTTTATAATTGATTGTTACACAGGAAAACTGCCTAAGAATTATGACCCAAAAGTGACCCCAGATCCAGAAAGATGGCTACCAATGCGAGAACGTTCTTACTACCGGGGAAGAAAGAAGGGTAAAAAGAAAGATCAGATTGGAAAAGGGACCCAGGGAGCAACTGCAGGAGCTTCATCTGAACTGTAAGTCCTTTCTCCCTAGTTGAAGTCACTTAGAGCCAAGGTTGTTCTTTCTGTGATTGACCCAGGGTTATTAGTAAGAATTTTAAAAAATTATTTTATGTTGAGAAGTACAGTTAAATTTCTTTGCAGTGTTTTGCAATGTGCTTACATAAAGGAAAGAAAATGTGGTATTTCTTGTTTGATCGTATTGTAAATATTAGGATGTATTGTATCAGGATTCCAGTACCTTCTGAAGGAAACTAATATATTGAGTTCACCTAACTAAATATCTAGATAGATATACTACGACTTGAAAAGTATTTAAAATGTTGCTAAATAAGTTAGTTTTACATAGCAGAATTACAGATATTTAGAAATTTTTTATTTTTTAAGCTGTCTAAAAATTGGCATGTACCATAGATTACTTTTTCTTCAATTATAAAGCAGTAAAAGTTTTATTTAAGGAAAAATGGATAGGGAGTTGGGGAATCCACCTTCAAAGAAATAGACTGTGTGGGAGATTACTAGGGATAGAAAGTCAAATCCATGTACATACTCTTTTACCACCTTTTCCTTTTTTGAATAATGTGGATCACCAACACTTTTCTGATCTGATGATTGCAGGGATGCCAGTAAAACCGTGAGCAGCCCCCCAACTTCCCCAAGGCCTGGGAGTACAGCAGCATCTGTGTCTACAAGTCACATTGTAGCCCCACGACACCAGAAGCCTGCAGGGGCTCCAGCAGCTAAAAAGAAACAGCAGCAGAAAAAGAAGAAAGGGGGAAAAGGTGGCTGGTGATCAGAACATTCTTGTTGCAGGCCTTTTTTAAACTAGTCCCACTGACAGTAGGAACATAATCAAGGTAACACAGAAAGAAGCACAGAACTGCTCCCTCTCCCACACCCACATTTTCATAGAATTTTCCTTGTGCATCAAGCAGGAAAACGTCTTCCTCAGACTGCCCAGTCAGACTTGGCCTACTTGCACCACCTAGCTTTTGCACAGATGATAAGGACTCAGAATAATTGAGCATTTACACACCTTGGTATGTGTTGCATCCTCTCTGTGTGCTCATCTGGTGTTTTTTCAGTTTTACAAACAAGGCATGTTATCCAAAGTTTCCTAGGGATTAAACAGAAACTACTTCCACTGTTTCAGTTAGAGTCTGAAGATACTTATTCCTGTCAAATCCTACTTCAAATTATGCCTTAGGAAGCCTTGGGAGACTGAAAGTGGAATTTTCTGAGCATTCCAAATATCTGCTTAGAAATATCATGTGATAAAAAGGGACCTTATTAAAACACTAGTGTTCTTCACTTCATTATATAAGTGGCCACAGGAAAACTAAAATTAATGTCTTGATCAATTTTGACCATAAATTCTCTGTCATATGATACTGAAATATGGGATACTATAATAGAGTAGTGAAAAGTATGTATATGTGTTTATATACATACAGGCACACCTAAATACATATATATAAATTAGGACTCCTTTGTGCCCCATATCATTTTCAGATTATGATAATATAATCTGAGTAAGTACCATACTGATTATGCACCATTAAAGAACTCAAGAAAAACACATCAATGTTGTAAGTAGTTGACTCTTAGCCCCAGTATTCTGAGGTCAAATGGGTTTGGACTGTCTTCAGAAAGATTTAGCAGTACCTATCGAGTATGAACACTGACTTTCTACATAGGAAATCAGTACCAGAGTTCAGTAGCAGGCAGTATTACAGGTTAACAGAACTATTTGGCCTGGTTAATATATACTCAGATGGCTCCTCTTTCTAGTTAGGGCTATTACCATTCATCACCCTTCTCAAAGTAATGAAGTATTGTACAGTCAGCTGTGGTGTCCATGTTGCTCTGGTCTTTTCCTTGCTTACAGGCCACTTTCACATTGAACATTTGTGAGGCAGATGCACTGGGATGCCTACCCTTGTTAGTATTCATTTTATGCTGCCCAAGATAGCATTTAATTTAGACTTAAACATATTTTCTTGTGATCATATTACTCTGTCCGTGTTAATAAAGTGCTGCTGTGTTTGACTCTGAACATATCTACTGAAACTTACAAGACTTTTAAAAGGCTTTCATCCTTTACAAGAGTAAGAATTGTGGTGCTGCCTTTCTGTTTAGCATAATCTCTGGTGGCATCTAAATGAGACTTACGTATGGATGGTTTATTATGGCATAGTATTTTTTGAGCTCTCAGAAGTCTTTTGGTTAAGAGTGACGGATACTCCTGAATACATACCCCATTACAGGAATGATTGTTGGTAAATCTGTTAATTTAGGATTCTCTAAAATTTCTGTGGTGAAAGAGAATCATGTTTTAGGTTAACTAAGCTACAGAATTTTGGTGAAAATTAACTGCCATTGAAAATTTCCACCCAAGGCACTGAAGTGAACTTTACAGCTATTTAGTCACTATAATTGCCAGTCATTATTATTAAGGCATTGCTAAGCAACTGAAACAGTTCAAATGAGTTACAATTGTCAAAGCATAAACACATTAACTTGCTAGCAATTCCTTTTGGGCAAGTCTTTAACAAATGACAGACATACTCTATGTGTATGTGTGTACATTTATAAAAACCAATATGGATACATCCATTCACTGTTTCACATTTTAAAATATTCTAGCAGTGAGTAGATTAAAGTGTCTTGGGTGTGGCATTGTATGGAGGACTTCGTAGTTGGTATATCCAAGAATTTTTAAAGTTGATTATATCTAAAATTGTCCCCATGCCCTTTGCAGCTAACCACAAAGCTAATGGGAGAGAACCCAGTTTTAACTTCTCTGAAAAGTTATGATGTCTGTGTGTGTGTGTAAATGAGTCAACATTTTTTAAGTTACTAAGTGCAGCATTTTAAAGGCTGCTTGGAAACTACTAACCTTAATGACTCATCACTCAAGCTTTCTGGATGCTGCCATTCATTCGCTGTTCTTTACAAGTCTATTTGAAACATCTGATAAAAGCAAAGTCACTTTATTGAATTAAGGTACTCTTTTTGGTTGTGAAATATACTAGAGTCCAGTTTAGCCAGGATAGTAAGAACCATCCACATTCTTTTCAACCAGTTTAAGAAATGATACACCCTTTGAAAAGTCCTGTGGGTATCTAATTTGCTACATCTGGATCATTGAAGGTGACTGGACAATTTTGTTTAGTTGTGTTTTTAATACCCAGCGTTACTAGTATCCATGATCCTGACCGACTACTAATTCAGCCTCCAGATAAATTAAATTTTTTTTAAGTGAAATGTAGCATAAATTTAAAACGAGGACCATTCATGTTCCTCATTTTTCTTTAACCACCCTGGGTAGCAACCTCTCGACACTCCTAGTGGAGTTCACAAGGTTCTGAGAGCAGGAAGATACCAACTTCATTTTCCAGGCTTGTGATTGCTTACTAGCTAGGAGAAGCCGCAGAGTCCTACAGTGACGCTCAGCACTGTGGCGCCTCCCGTGTTCTGTGGCTGTTGGCACGTAGGCTGGGCGGGCCCAGGGATGACGCGCACAAACGAGCCCCTGAGGTCTGGGCCTGTGTGTGAGGCCTTCCTGCCCAGCTGGGCGACGGCGCGGGGAATGGAGAGGGGGAAAGCCAAGGCTAAAGAGAGGAGACAGACTACGGAGAAAGACAACTTTCCGGGAAAAGCAAAGGAGGAGAGAGAATCCAAGAAGAGAAGGAAAAGGGACGAGAGAGGGAGAAGGAAGAGAAAAGGAAAGGGGAGGGAAGAAGGAAAGAGCGGGAGACGGAGAAAGGGGGGGAACGACCTAAGGAGAAGGGCAACCGCGCCCAGACTAAGCCCCTGCTGGAGCCGCGGGTAAGAGGATGTCGGACCCTCCCTCCCCAGGGCCGCTGTGACGCCCGAGGCCCCGACCCGCGAGGGAGGCGCGGCTCGCTGGCGGCCCCTTTACCTGTGGATGGAGGGCATGTGCCAGGCTTCTGAGGATCCATCGCTACCCCTGCTCCCGACCCCTGCCCACTCTCCCCGCCTGCCGACAGCCCAGTGTTGACCAAAAGGACGTCCCAGTCGGTCCTCACGAGGGCGCGGGGACGGCCCTTCTGCGGCTGTCGTCGGAAAGAGCATTGTTCCTGAATTTGTGCAGGATGTGTTTGGGACTATCTGGCCCTTTTCTGGAGGCGCTGCTTTTCTATGGTTGCTGTTTCCATTGTTTCAGACGGCCAGATTCCAAAAGAGAAGGCCACAGAGTGAGGGGGTCTCAGAAAGACAATTTCCTATGATTCCACTTGCATGAGGTACCTAGAGTAGTCAAAATCATAGGGACAGAGAGTAGAATTGGTGGTTCCCCAGATCAGGGGCCGGGGTTACAGGAGAAGGGAAAGTTGGTGGCTGAGTGCTGAGTTTCAATTTTACAAAATGAAGAGTAATGGAGATGGATAGTGGTGATGGTTGCACATTATGAGTGTGTTTAATACCACTGGACTGTATGCTTAATACTAGTTAAGATGGTATGTTTTGTGTTGTGTATTTTACCACAATTCAAAAATTGGAGGGGAGTGAAATGAAAGAACAGGCATTGTTTGGATCAGCTTATTGTGCTCTGTGCTGCTTGGCTTACTGAGCTCACAGGTACTTTCTGGTTCTAAACAATTTGAATTATTAACAGAGATTCGATCTCTGATAAAACACAGACTGCCTGGATCTATATATAGTTAAAAGAATAAATTTAGATAAGGAGCAGTGGTTTTCAGAATCATTGTCTGAACTCTTCGTTTACAATAATCCCAGCTGTCCCTAAGAGATGATAAACATGAGGAAGCATGTATTATAGACTAACACATAAGCAAAATGCAAAGCATCAGTGATTATAGACTTTCAAGATAGGATGGACTTAAGGGGCAGTGATGTGGTTGGAAAGGGGAATGTTTATACTTAACAATATTTCATGGGATCTAAGATGCCATTATTTTAGGTGCTGCTAAGACATTTTTTTAAATGCTGCCAATCAAAATATGACACCAGGGATTGTAAAATCCTCATTTTAGAGATGTTAAAAATGTTGGAGGTGTGGGGAGTGTGAGGAAGAATGCAACTTGGAATTGATTAAATATATTGGGGTAGCCTCAGCGGAGCCATTGGTGGAGATAATGAGAGGGACACAATCCACATGCTGCAGCCATTTCTTGGGTCCACCATTGCTTTAAAGCATGCAATTTTAACCCATCCAGTGAAGTCTCCTATTGTCCATCAAGTCCCTTTTGCTTGCCATCATACTTTCAGAATGACTTTATAACATTTAGATACTGATGGGAGGGAATGGAAAGGAAGTGGGGAAGGAGATAACAAACAAATATGGAAATACTATCAATACGGCTCACAGAGCCATCAAGAATTCATTCCCAAAGCAAACATTTACTTCTTTAAAATCTGTTATTCACTAGGCAAACTTCATAAATAGGCTGTCTATACAAGACTATTAGACCAGATTTTAAAACGTTTTACTTTCACATAGCTATTTTAAAAAAAAAAAGTGGAATAGACATTCTAGTGCTATTTAAGATCACTTTTTACAGGAAATCCAATCTCATACCAACATTTAGTGTTCAAGTAGAAATGTATATGATTATTGTTGTTTCTAAACCAGTGCCATTGAAGACAATTACTGGTGTATTTTGTGTGTGAAAAACTTTAGTAGGCTGTTTGGGAAATAGAATTAAATTCTTGTGAGCAGTCTAGCTTATACTATTGTCTATTTATTGCTGTTTACATGAGAGTTTGCACCCAAAAAGCCACCTTTCTGAGCACTCTGAGTTTCCCATTTCTGACTTCATACTAGCTTGCTCTTCTTGTCCCTCAGTTACTTGTCATAAAAATTTCTAAGGCTGGTATGTTGGTGGAATGTTTCTCTCTGAAGTTTATGTCTAGTTCAACAGGTTTTAATGTTGTATTTTAAAATAAATGCTCATATGTAATTTGAACTGGCTTAACAATTTCTATAATCTTAGCCTTTTTATTTACTCATGATACTTGTATTAAAAAGTATAAGTGGATGACCTTGCCATAAGATCTTTCAACCCAGTGATAAAATTGGGTAGAAAAGACAGATTAATATAAGACTTTAGCTGTTTACATGTTGAGTGGCAAAGTCAATACATAAACCATAGAGGTCCCAAGACCCCAAGCAACAAACTCAGTTCTGGCGCAATCCCCAGTGGACATGAACTCAAGAAGCAAAGTGAAGTCTGGAAATTGGCCCCATAATCTATGGCACTTCCTAGATAGATAGATAGATAGATAGATAGATAGATAGATAGATAGATAGATAGATAGATAGATAGATAGATAGATAGATAGATAAAACCAGGTGTTGGGGATGGAGAGGGGATGTTCAATTAATATCACATAACTAATGGCTGATTATAAAATACAAACTGATCAGTACACTTCGTTCTAGATCTGTTAAATTCTTGAAGTTTTGTTCTGGTTTACAATTCCACAGATGTTATTGGGACCTACCACAGTCAGGCACACTCCCAAGAACCAGGAAAACAAGGCCCTGACATACAGGTTTATTGATTGATCTTTTGTTTCATAGGAGAAAAATAAGCGGATCCTAGTGTTGGGTCTGGATGGAGCAGGAAAGACCAGTGTTCTCCATTCTCTAGCTTTAAACAGAGTCCAGCATAGTGAGGCTCCCACCCAAGGTTTCAATGCAATATGCATCAATACTGAAGACGGCCAAATGGAGTTCCTGGAGAGTAAGCCCTCTTTCTTGTAGATTACTTCATTTTGTTTTAGATAGATAGATAGATAGATAGATAGATAGATAGATAGATAGATAGATAGATAGATAGATAGATAGATAGATAGATAAAACCAGGTGTTGGGGATGGAGAGGGGATGTTCAATTAATATCACATAACTAATGGCTGATTATAAAATACAAACTGATCAGTACACTTCGTTCTAGATCTGTTAAATTCTTGAAGTTTTGTTCTGGTTTACAATTCCACAGATGTTATTGGGACCTACCACAGTCAGGCACACTCCCAAGAACCAGGAAAACAAGGCCCTGACATACAGGTTTATTGATTGATCTTTTGTTTCATAGGAGAAAAATAAGCGGATCCTAGTGTTGGGTCTGGATGGAGCAGGAAAGACCAGTGTTCTCCATTCTCTAGCTTTAAACAGAGTCCAGCATAGTGAGGCTCCCACCCAAGGTTTCAATGCAATATGCATCAATACTGAAGACGGCCAAATGGAGTTCCTGGAGAGTAAGCCCTCTTTCTTGTAGATTACTTCATTTTGTTCTACCTTAAGCCAGACATGTTACTGATAACATGAAAACTGGGTCAGATTTTCCTAGGCTTTTATAATGTGATAGTTTAATACTAGGGTAAACTGGGAGGAAAACACTTTCTGCTTTTTATTTTTCCCTTTTTGCAGTGGTGGTGATAAAGGTGAGTTGAGAAGAAGGCTTTAGCACTCTCTCCTGTAACAGCCTCTCTCCTCCCTTACTACCCCAAGTAAACACACCATCTAAGTAAATATGTCTGCTTCTTTATCTGCAAGTACAACTATAGACAAGCTTCAAACCTCCTCTTGAAACTAGATGGCAGTCCAGCAGCCCCTATTCTATAGTAACTCTGGAATCACCATCTCTCTAAATATTGTTATTCCCCAAAATTGTCAGATTGTCTTTCTTTTTACACTCTCTCTTTGGATGATTTCACCCATCCTCTTGATGTTAAATATATCCACATGTCACCTCTCATCTCCACCTGAAAGTCTAAAGACCTTTCAAATCTAACATGGTCCAAATAAAATGCTTGATATATCTCCATATCTGTCCCTTCTCTCTTATCCACTGGTCAGTAAAAGGCTCCTCACCAAACAGGTTGCCCAGGCCAGAAAACTGGGAGTCACCCTTGATTCCTTCTTCTGTACCCTATCTTTAGTCTACAAGTAAAACATGAATTTTCTACTTCTAAAACAAATCTTGAATTCATAGGTCACATTTTCATATTATTCTCATGACCAAAATGTCTCTTCTGGGAAGAATCAGCAGAATACAGTAATCCAAAGGCATTTTTTTTTCCTAAGGCAAGTATTCCTGAATGCTCACAGAATTATATTAACTCTTGGTGCAATTTGAAGAGAAGAGACTAGTTCTGGGATTTTTGTGCAAGTGATAATAGCCAATGAGTTCAGTCCATTTAAAACTTTTGTTAGAGAAACATTGTGTTTTGACTCACCACCCTGAATTGTTTTAGTAGCCTACTCCCATTTTCTGAGCTGTAACTGGTAGACATGCAGTAGCTGCCATGGCTGCTCCATTTAACAGGTCAGGAGGCATCCATTCTAGTATTTAGTATCTTTATGCATGTCCTTTGTGTTCTAGAATGAATGAACCACTTATGGAGGGTAAAAGTTCCCACCAACCATTTCCTTAGTAACAGCTCTGTTCATTCTCAGAATTGGGTACACTCTAACATAGTGGTATTTTATCAGAACACCTGTCCAGTATGAAATTATCTAAATGTCCCTTTCCTGACCCCTCTGTGAACACTTGTGTGATTTCTTTTTGTCTTTCTCTGCTATTCCCTGTAGTTGGTGGCGGTGAACCTTTCTGTTCCTATTGGGAAATGTACCTGTCTAGGGGATTGCTGCTGATCTTTGTGGTGGATTCAGCAGATCACAACAGATTACCTGAAGCCAAGAAATATCTTCATCAATTAATTGAAACAAACCCAATCCTTTGGTTGTGTTTGCAAACAAGCAGGTAAAAAAATTTGTACAAATATAAATTGTACTCAATAGCTTTATTAATATAAGAAATAGAAATATCCATTTTTAATAGCTAGATATTCAACAGTATGCTGTATATTCAGTTCAATTTAAATTTAATAGGTCTACTGGATTATAAATTCCTTGAGAGTAAAGACTATTCATCTTTGTGTCCATTGTAATACCTAATATACTGTCTTGTACATGGTAGAAATTTAACAAATATGTGTTGAATTTAATACAGTAAATATCTAATGATTACTGAATTGATTCCAACAAATTATTTGAGCATCTATCATGTATAAAGAATAGTTTGCTTTAGATCACTTAACCTGACGTGAATTTATTTCACACACATGCATTACAAATATTAAACATCCATGGAGAAATTGGAACCCTTGTGAACTGTTGGTGGGAATGTAAAATGGTGCAGCCACTATAGAAAAACAGTATAGCAGTTCCATAAAAAAAATTAAAAATAGAATTCCCATATTATCCAGCAATTCAGCTTCTGGGTATATACCCAAAGGAATTGAAAGCAGGAACTCAAACAGGTATTTACACACCTGTGTTCATAGCATAATTATTCACAATAGCTAAAAAAAAGGTAGAAGCACCCCAGTGTCCATCTACAGATGAATACGGATAAACAAAATGTGGCATATACGTTACAATCAGATATTAAGCCTAAAGAAATAAGGAAATGCTCATATATGCTACAATATGGATGAACTTTAAGGACATTATGCTAAGTGAAATAAGCAGTCACAAAAGGACAAATACTGTACGATTCCACTTTAGGAGTCAAATTAATGGAGATAGAAAATAGAATGATGATTGCCAGGGGCCCAGGGAAGGAAAAACGGGGAGTTACTTTTTTAAAGAGAACAGAGGTTCAGTTTTTCAAGATGTAGAGTTCTGGAGATGGGTGGTTGCACAATATGAATGCACTTATGCACACTAAACTGTATGCTTAAAAATGGTTAAGATGGTAGATTTTAATGTGTATTTTATCACAATAAAGAAGAGTAAAAAACAAACAAACAAACATTAAACATCTAAAGCATTGCAGTACTAAAGCCCTTTCAATTGCTAGGGTTGCCAATCATAAGAGAGCTCAATTCTTGCTTTTTCCCACTACTTATATGGGTGAATGTTTATGAAAGTAAACTGAATAATAATTAGTGATGACCTAAAGTAGAAGCTTATGTTAAAGTCCAGCCTAGAAAGAGTCCAGCAAATTATTTTTAAAAGAAAGGCCTGAACTTTTTTTTTTCAAGTAGAGCATCTTAAGTACCACAGACTACAAAGATTTAGATGATCCTGGTACTTGTAATGAGCTGCATAGCATTCCATTGCATGAATATACCACATTTTACCATTTTCTTGCTGGGCTTTTGATTATTTCCAATTTTTTATTATTAAACAGTGCTACAGTGAACCTTCACATATATGTCTCTCCTTGCAGATGTGTATCAACATTTCTGTAGTGCATATACCTAAAGAGGAATTGCTGGCTTTTCGATTTGTTCATGTTCGGTATTACTAGATCTCACCAAGTTACTTTCCAAAGATATTACATGAATTTATTCTTCCACCCTCAAAATATGACAGTTTTTGAAGCTCCACATCTTAATACGTGGTATTGTCAAACTTTTTCATTTTTGCCTAATTTTATGGTGCTGAAATTTTGTCTTATTCCAGCTTGCATTTCCTTAGTTACTAATGAGCTTGAACATCTTTTCAGATGTTCTTTTGCTATTATTTGCAAAGTAGTTTCATTCTTTGAAACTAATTTCCACACTTGTGAATTGTCTTTTGATATCCTTTCCCAAATTCTTATTAAGGTATTTATCTTATTTGAGTTTTAGGAGTCTTTCATATCTTTTGGAAAAATAATCCTTTGTTATGTGCATTACAAATATCTTCTCCAGCAGCCTGTTGACTTACTTTATTTTGCTTATGGTTTCCTTTTATATACATAATTTTCCATTTTTAAGAGTCAAATTTATCATAGTTTCCTTTGTGGTTTGTATCTCTTCATCAAATTGAAGAAACAGTCATTTGAGATGAAATTTATAACTTTTACTGGGGCTTAATAATGAAAGGTTTGGATATTCTAGTTTAAGTTTTGGATATTGTAGTTTAAGGTCTAGTTTAAGGTATATTTGTTGCTATTTCTTGGCCAAAGTAATCTATGCTTTTAGCTGACTCACTGGTTCAAGTTATTATATAAGGGTTTTTAAAAAGTTGTCATACTATCTTTACTCTTTGAGTGATGACCTCTATTAAAGCATTATTATGTAAGTGTGGAATAGCCTGGTTTTTATCTCTGATATGCTTTTATCAGGACAAAGTGCCCCCTTACATCCAACACCCTCCCCCTCCTATTCATCATCTCTCCAGTTCATCAGTGAATTTATTAACTTGAGATATCATCCACATGTTACTCGATCCATTAACATTTACATAAACCAATGCAGGCTCTAGGACTAAATGAATTTAGGTTTCAGACAGGTAATCTATTGGGATGACCAATGACCAAAAAGGTAATCAATTCCAGCCAGATAACCACGTACAGCACTGAGGGAAAAGTTTCACAGGCTCCCAGTGATAGAATTGATAGATTCATATTGGTACAGAAAATAAAATGATACAATAGTGGATTATTTCCAGAGATTTAAAAATGATCCCCTAAAGCTTAGGGAGAGCACTATGAAACAACAAAATGCAATTCACAAATGCAGTTTTAGAAGTGAAAGTGCTAAAACTTCACAAAGGACTGAAAAATTATAGCTGAGTCTGTGTTAAGAAAAGAGAATATCAGAAGTCATTTACATAAATTATTATTAATGTGTGAGAGGCAAAGAAGTATTGCCGTTTTGACTTCAAGAAGGCTTTGACCTTGCTGTGCAGCATAAACACAGAGTTTCTGTCTCATTTTAATCTGTCCTCTCTCTACCTCCTTGTGGGCACCTATCCTTTAAGCCTTCCCCATCTCTCCATCTTTTCCTCATTCTCTCCATGTGTCTCTCCCCACTAGGCTTCCTTCTCCCATCACTCCATTTTCTAAAACCACTCCCTCTCTACTCCCTGTCTCCCTCTACCCCTCAAAGTTTGATCCACAATTTTTTGTTCAATAGAAATAATGATCACAAAAGAAAGCTCACAGTGGCAAATGCTACAATCGATAAAATATGATATGGACAAAAAACAATTAATGAATCAAATCACTATTGTTAAAGATAAATTTAAAATGATCAAGCCTATGAAATATAATTCCAGGAAAACAAAAAGAAAAATAGAAAAAATTAGAAGCAGACTTCACTGTTTACAAAATTGATTAAGATATTATATTAACTTCATTCCAAAATACACTTTTTTGATAACTCATAAATGCTGGTATAATTCTGATGAAAATCTTTATATTCAAACAAGCAATGGGATCATAATAATGGGGTCACAATATCCTCTATATTAAAATGGAGGTTGGGGTCATTGAGAGCAATAAATTAGAGGAACAAATATATCTATCCAAAGGACTATAAAATAACCAACGTTTTTTCTACGCATTTTCCATTCCGGTGAAAGGATCTTGAAGCAGCCTATCATATTACAGATATCCATGAAGCTTTGGCATTATCTGAGGTGGGAAATGACAGGAAGATGTTCTTGTTTGGGACTCAGGTGACTGAGAATGGCTCAGAGATACCTTCTGTCATGCAAGATGCCGAAGATTTGATTGCACAGCTGGCTGCAGATATGCAGCGACCAAGCCCAGGCCCACTGTACAACTCATGATCTAAGTGTCACAAGGCAGGGTTGAGTGGCAGGCTTGAAGCTAAAGGTTTCCACTTCCAAATAAAAAATAAGTCATTTCCTATTTTCTCAATGCATGGCACATAGACAAAGATAATGTTAATTAAGAGTATCTCTTTAGGTTTTGACCTTTAAAAATATTGGTAAGACAATGTACTTGGATTTTTAATCAACAAAATTAAAGTGAACATTAGCAAGCATTCATCCCATTTGTAGTTTTACAGTTACATAGGATTTCTATTAAAATATTTTAATAAACTTTTCTCTTTTCTAAATATCCAGATGACTTTCCTTTAAGGGGATCTGTTTAGCACTGTAGGGAAAGAAATATCAGGGTAGGGCATTGAAAAAAGTAAGCACTACTAGACCCATATAGAAATATAAATTAACAGTATTCAGAAGGATTTAGGAAAGGCTTCTCTTTTAGGAACCTGTTAGGTGAGGAACATTGTGGTAATTTGCCTTTTAAATCCTTGACATTTTTCTTTTATATATACATAAGCTTTCTTCACTAGAAATTTTTGTAAGAGCGGTAGTTCTGTTTACCTACAGACACAACATAAATACAACTTCTAAACCTTAGTATCTTGTCTTGATTTAAAAAAAAAAAGGACATTCAGTTTCCAGTCTAAAATATAAGAACCTTTGAAGCTGTCACTCCATCCTAACAAGTAAAAAGCCAAACACACTGAAAAATCAACAACTCTTCTAGGATCCATAAGAGAGGGGAGGACACAGGGCGAACTGCTGTCCCAGGACTGTAGAGACCAACAAGAGAATATAGTTGACCCTTGAACAACATGGGTTTGAAGTGTGTGGGTCCACTTATACATGGATAGTTTTCAATAAATATATTGGAAAAAATTTTGGAGGTTTACAACAATTTAAAAAATGTTATTTTTCTGTAGCTTACTTTGCTATAAAAATATCCTATATAATTATATATAAAATATGTGTTAGTTGATTGATTATGTTATTGGTAAGGCTTCTTTCTGGTCAACAATAGGCTATTAGTAGTTACATTTTTGGGAAGTCAAAAATTATGCATGAGTTTTTGATTGCATGGGTGGGTCAGTGCCCCCACCCCCACATTGCTCAAGGGTCAGCTGTATAGAGAATAATGATTTCCTGGAGCAGAGACTGATAAGCAGAAACCACTATGAGGAACCAGTGCCATGGTGGGAAAAGCAGGAATGTAATTGAGAAGACAAAGAAGGAAAAATGCCAAAAAACAACACATAGGAAATATCATTTTTAAACTTCAAAATATCAAGGGTAAAGAAAACACCCTGCAAGAAGCCAGAGGAGGGGAAAAAAACCTTACCCATAGAGAAACAAAGAAAGAATTATATACTCCTCAGATACCATGCAAGTAAGAAGAGAGTGGAGCAAAACACTGAGAGAAAAAAAACACCAACCTAGAATTCTGTGCTCTATAAAATTATCCTTCAAAAGTGAAGGAAAAAATATTTCTTAAAAATTTTTAATTTTATTGAATGATAGCTGATATACACAATAGTTAAACAGTTACCCACATTATGAAATCTTCACCCCAACTAGTGCAGTTCCTATATGTCAGCATAGAAAGACATTATAGAATGATTGACTATATTCTCCATGCTGCATTCCCATCCCAAAGGCCAACATACATGATTGAGACTTTTATGCATTTTTATCCCCCTCATCCTCTCCACCCATTTACCCCAGCCCCGTGGTAACCACCAGTCACTTCTCAGTGTCTATGAGTCTACTGCTGTTCTGTTCATTTTGTTTTGCTTTGTTTTTAGATTCTACATGTAAGTGAAATCATATGGATTTTGTCTTTCTTGGCTGGATTATTTCACTTAACATAATACCCTCTAGTTCCATCCATGTTGTCCCATATGGTAAGATTTCTTTCTTTTAATATTCCATTGTGTGTATGTACCACATCTTCTTTATTCATCTGTTGATGGACATGTAGGTTGCTTCAATATCTTTGCTATTGTAAATAATGTGATAATAAAAAAAGGGGTGCATATATCTTTTTAAATCAGGGATTTTGTTTTCTTAGGTACATTCCTAGAAGTGGAATTACTGGGTCATATGATATTTCTATTTTTAGTTTTTTGAGGAACTTCCATACTGCTTTCCATAGTGGCTACAACAATTTACATTCTCATCAACAGTGTAGGATGGTTCCCTTTTCTCCACATCTTCACCAACACTTTTATTTTGTGTCTTTTGGATAGTGGCCATTCTAACTTGTAAGGTAATGTATCATTTTGGCTTTGATTTGCATTTCCTTGATGATTAGCATCTTTTCATGTGCCCATTGTCCATCTGTGTTTCTTTTTGGGAAAAAATGTCTGTTCAGGTCCTCTGTCCATTTTTTAATTGGGTTATTTGTGTTTTTGGTGTTGAGGTGAATGAGATCTTTATATATTTTGGTTGTTAACCTCTTATCAGATTAGTCATTTACAGATATAGTCTCTCATACTGTATCTGCCTTTTTTTCTGTTGATGATGTCCTTTGCTGTGCAGAAGTTTTTAGTTTGATGTAGTCCCATTTGTTCATTTTTTAATTTTGTTTCCTTTGCCTGGAGAGTTATGTCCAGAAAAAAAACTTCTCATGCTTAAATTCAAGAGATTTTTGCTATGCTTTCTTCTAAAGAGTTTTATGGTTTCATGCATTATATTTAGGTCTTTAATCCATTTTGAGTTTACTTTTGTGTGTGAGGCAGGACATTAATCCAGTTTCATTCCCTTGCATGTAGCTCTCCAGTTTACCAACACCAGTTATAGTTATTGAAGAGACTTTATTTCCCCATTGTGTATTCATGGCTCCTTTATCATATATTAATTTACTATATATGTGTGGGTTTAGATCTGGGCTCTCTAATTCTGTTCCATTGATCTATGGATCTGCTCTTGTGCCAGTAACAATTTTTTATTACTATAGCTTAGTAGTATGGATTGAAGTCAGGAAGTGTAATGCCCCCAGCTTTATTCTTCCTCAAGATTGCTTTGGTTATTCGGTTATTTGGCTATTGGACTATATCTGTAAATTCCTTTGGCAGGATGACCATTTTGACAATATTAATTCTTTCTATCCATGAGTATGGGATAGATTTACACTTACTTGTGTCTTCTTTAATTTCACTCATAGTTTTCAGAGTATGGATCTTTCACTTCCTTGAGTAGGTTTATTCCTAGATATTTTATTCTTTTCGATGCAATTGTAAATGGAATTGTTTTCTTGATTTCTCTTTCTGCCAGTTGATTCATAGTGTATAGAAATGCAATAGATTTCTGTATATTGATTTTGTATCCTGCAGCTTTGCTGAATCCAGCTGTTAGTTCTAATAGTTTTTTGATGGAGTCTTTAGGGTTTCCTGTAGACAGTATCATGTCATATGCAATTAGTGACAGTTTTATTTCTTCCTTACCAATCTGGGTACCTTTTATGTCTTTATCTTACCTGATTGCCATGGCTAGGACTTCCAGTACTATGCTAAATAAAAGTAGTGAGAGTGAACATCCTTGTCTTGTTCCTTATCTTAGAGGAAAGGCTTTCAGCTTTTTGCCATTGAGTATGGTGTTATCTGTGGGTTTGTCATGTATGGCCTTTAATGTTGATGCATATTCCTTCTATGTCCTTCTTGTTGAGATTTTTATCATGAATATATATTGAATTTGTCAAATCCTTTTCAGCATCTTTGAGATGCTCATATGGTTTTTATCCTTCTTTTTGTTAATGTGGTTTACATCATTGATTTATAAATATTGTACCATCCTTGCATCCCTGGAATAAATCCCATTTGGTAGCAATGAGTGATCCTTTTGATGTATTTTTTATTTCAGTTTGCTAATATTTTTTTGAGGATTTTTGAGGATCTATGTTCATCAAGGATATTGTTCTATAATTTTCTTTTTCTGTAATGTCTTTGTCTGGTTTTGGTGTTAGAGTGATGCTGACCTCATAAAATGAGTTTGGAAGTATTCTCTCCTATTTTATGAAACATTTTCAGAAAGCTCCTCTTTAAATGTTTGGTAGAATTCAGCTGTGAAGCCATATGGACATGGAATATTTTTGTGGGTTTTTTTTTAATTACCAGTTCGATTTTATTACTGGCAATTGGTCTATTCAGATTTTCTGCTTCTTCCTGGGTCAGTCTTGAGAAGTTTTACATTTCTAGGAATTTTTCCTTTTCTTCTAGGTTTTTTAGTTTACTCACTTATAATCTTTCATAGAATTCTTCAATAATTTTTGTATTTCTGTGGTGTCAGTTGTAATTTCTCCTTTTTCACTTCTGATTTTGTGTTCTTTCACTTTTTTTCTTAATAAGTCTGGCTAGGGTTTGTCTATTTTTTTTTTTTCTCAGAGAACCAGTTCTTGGTTTCATTGATTTTTTTCAAATGTTATATTCTTCTTGATTTTATTTATTTCTGCTCTGATCTTTATTGTAGCCCTCCTTCTACTAACTTTGGGTTTCAGTTGTTCTTTCTCTAGTTCCTTTAGTTGTGAGTTTAAGCTGTTCATTTGGGATTGTTCTTGTTTCTTGAGGCAGCCTATATTGTTATGCACTTCCCTCTTAAAGCACTTTTGTGGTGTCCCACATATTTTGAACTGTTGTATTTTTGTTTTCTTCTACATATATTGCTTGATTTCTTTCTTGATTTATTCATTGATCAGTCAGTTTTTAGAAACATGTTTATACTACATGTGTTTGTGGGGGTTTTTGTTTTCATGTAATTATTTCTAGTTTCATACCACTGTGATCTGAAAAGATGCTTGATACAATTTCAAACTTTTTTCATATATCTGTGAAGTCCATCTTGTCTAATGAGTTGTTCACCTCTGTTTCTTATTAATTTTCCATCTAGATGGTCTCTCCATTGATGTAAGTGGGGTATTAAAGTCTCTTGATATAATTATATTGCTGTCTATTTCCCCCTTTAGGTCTGTTAATTTGTTTTATATATATATGCATATGCCTGGCAGCAATGGGGACTGCTGTTAGACTGGGGGGCGGGTGGGCAGGGTGGGTTTGCAGCAGAGTACCACCATGGGGCTGAACCAACAGTGATGAATATGGAATGTTTAGGACTGGCTCCTGTGAGCACCCAACAAGTTGGGCTGTGGGAGGGATGGGGAAGTGTCGTCCACCTGCGCTTTCTCCTCCAGAGAGAGCTCTGTCCAACCCTTGCCCCTCTGGGACACTTCCTGCTGCTGGTAAATCTTTCAAACTGGTTCTTCTGTGTTGGGTCTCAGCAGGATCAACACAGCATGCCTGTCATCCACTAGCGACAGGAGTCTTAGCCTCCCAGAGTGCTCCAACTCTCCCTGTGTCCAGCCCCATTAATCACAAAAGCCTAGTGCAATGTGGATTTGTTTTTCAGAACAGATCTCCAGGGCCAGGTGTGCAGGATTCCCGAGCACTTATCCCCTGCCTGCTCCGTTCCTCTCCCTCACTTGTGGGCTGGGATGTGGGAAGGGCTTGAGTCCCACTCAGTTGTCACTCTGCCACTTTGCTCTTTTCTGTTTGGTCTTCTTTTCTTCACCAGGTGTAGGTGGTCTGTTCTACAGCCTTCAGATCATTCTCAGTGTTAGTTGTTTTGCCATAGTTGCTTCCTTGGTGTGTATGCAGGAGGAGGTTTCTGCCTTGCCTTCCTGCCCCATCATCTTTTCCCAAAATTCAAGGAAAGTGTCCTTCTCAGATGAACAAAAATCACAGGAATTCTTTGGTAGTAGACTTACCTTGCAAGAAATGTTAAAAGAAGTTCAGAAATTCAGACCTACATAAAGAAGAGTATTAGAAAGAAATGAAGGTAATATTAAAACTTTTATTTTTCTTACTCTTAGTTTGGCAGATGTCAGTTTCTTCAAAATAATAATGGCAACACTGTATTCAACTATTTGTGCTTATGTTTACATATGCTTATGTATAAATAAATGAAACAGTTACTCCAATGATAAAAGGGATGAAAGGGAAGAATTGGGATTATTTTGTTAAAGGGATGAAAGGGAAGAATTGGGATTATTTTATTATTATAAGGTACTTGCACTACCTTTGAAGCAGTACAGTTATTTGAAAATGGACTTGGATTGGTTGGCCTATGGAGGTTTGATTTCACAATGATTCTGGATTTCAGGCCTGTTCCAATGATTGCTATGTATTGGTTCCATGGCAAATCCCTTAACCATCTTGTGTCTTATTCAGTATTCATTTTGGAAAAGGAGTAAAATGCAGACTACTGATTCTATGTGATATCCCTTCCTTATGTTTTCTAGGGTGGTTGGGGGCACATCTAAGTTCCTAGATGCTTATTTCAAAGGTGATGTTAAAAGCTTTCAGGATGGAAAATAATCTCTCTCTTCTTCCTTGGTCACGCTTGTTTTTCCTCACATTCTGATTTTAGCTTCTGAATTTTGGCAATAAATGTTATGGCTAGAGTTTTTCCTTCAGTGAACAGCTATTGAGTGCTTAATGCTGGGGATGATTAAAGCAGGGAATTGAGATGCTCTCTGGCTATTGAAGGAGATACATGTCATGGGGGTTTCTAATAGAAATGGCACTCAGCCAAGACAGGTTACAATGCTGTAAAAGAGGCCGCCTGGCTGGCAGTCTTTCCAATAGTCCTTATGAGTAGCATTTATTACCTTGGAAAACTTACCACAATCTGACATCAGGTGTCGTTAGCACACTAAGTGTGGATCTGTCTTTTCACTAACTCATTTAGTCAACATCTATTGAACACCAATGATGTGCCAGAACTCTTTCCATTAAAAATGATGGAGACTCAAATCTGTGTGTGCCAAAAAAGGGGCCTTTTTTGCCTCACCATATTGAGAAATCTGGGCATGGGTTAATTCAGGGGTTCAAAGGTGAGAAGGCTGTCTCTTCATCTCTTGGCCCTGCTAACGTCTGCTTGGCTTCCTTCTCAGATTTCCCCTGCAAGGGACTGCTAGCTATCAATACCAAGCCTACGACATTCACATATCTCATGATCCCAGAGTAAAATGGACCCTCTCTTTTAAAGCAGCCATCCAGCACTTCTCATAGAGGGGCACTGACAGGCTCTGCTGGGGTCACATATTTATCCCTGAACCAATCGGCCATATTGCCCAAACCTAATGGGGGCAGCAGGATTAGCCTCCTCAAGAGGCATGGAATGTGTCCTCCATAGAAAGGAGTCGTCCTATTTTTGGAAGAAAAGGGAAAGGATGCTAGGTAGGCAAACAACCTAAATAATAACTATCCACATTCATTCACTCTGCTCGGTGCTGGGCAAACACCAGCCACCAGAACAGAATGTTCCTATTGTTAAGAAGCTTACATTCTAACTAGGGAGGCCTATGCAATAATTATAAATTGTGTTGAAGCAAGAATCTGAGATAGAAAATAATGGCAGGAACATTTTTTGTTACTGTGGGCTACAAAGACCTCTTTGAGTGGGTAATATTTAAGCTGAGTCCTAAAGGATAGAAAAGAGCTAGTGTGTGAAGAGGGGGAGAAATGGGCTTTAGGAAGCATGGACAGGTATAGGAAGAGGCTGAAATAGGAAAGAGCTTCACATTTTAGAGAAGAATAGGAAAACTGGAATGTAGACAGTTAGGGAGAAATAGCATATACTGTAGTTGGAGAGAGAAATAAGGACCAGATACCACGGAAAAGCTTGGCATTTATTCTAAACAGTTTGGAGTGTCATAACTGGAGGTAGGCCAAGTCACACCACCAGTTGGGAGGGCATTGCAAAGTGCAGAGATAATGGTGTCCGGGACTGTCATGGTGACAGGAGATGAAAAGGAAATGATGGATTAAAGACCTATGTGAAGAATGAATAGGAGTTACTGATATATTGGAATTGTGGAGTGGGGTGAGGGAAAGAGGAACAAGATTGATTCCTAAATTTCTCCCAAGAAAGACATAAGTCAGAATCATGAGGTTGGTGTATAAAATCAAAATGCAAATATATTACTATGATGTGGACCAGAATTCATTCTATATGATCCTAACCTCTCTTGGTAAACAAACTCCCTGGGAAGCTGGATCATATCAGAAAGTTGCCTGGTGAGCATGGATTTGTTATTGCATAGTGCTATTAGGCCACACACCATCTCAAGATAACTGGCTGTTCATCCTGAAGAACTGGCTGTACCATTTGCAGTCTGTTATCTTTGGTCTGTCTCCTTACTATAGTTTTTGAACCAGCATAGCCACTAGGATATACAGATATACAGAATGGATTTCTTTCTGTATATCCATTGTAGGCAGAAGCTCCTCTTCCCATTGACATTCTTTGGGTATTTGAAGGCATTCCATTTAATGGTGGACTAGACTAGTTGTACTTATTTATGGTCATCCTGCCTCTGAACTGAATTTACGTAACTTTTCCCTGATGTTTCATTGAGTTAAAACTCCCCGAGAATAGCTTTATTTCTCCTTTTCCCAAGTTTTAGGAGATACTTCTTGAATTTCCATACAGTACTGCACAGGGCTGTATCAGAAATGTGTCTGAAGGAGATTTCCTGTTTTATATATGTCACTCTTTTCTCTTTCCATTCCAGATGACATCCACGATCCAGTTTTTCTCTTTTAAGTTTTCATATCTATGAGACAAAGTATACACAAGGTGTTCTACAATGTACAAAAAGTGTACTTGGGTTTACCATGTACTTGGACAGATGACTTATTCTTAACGCCTCTATTCCTTAACACTTTATTAAAAAGTAAACATACAGCTGAAACTCTACTACTTCTTTTCTCTATAATACCATAATGGCCATGAAAATTAGCTGAAAGCATTCCTCAGGGATTGAGAAAGGTCCAGGCCACTTAACCTTTTTAAAATTTCTTGGTACAATGAGAAAAAAAGAGAGGGGGTTGCAAAAGACAGAGTTATACAAATTGGTGTATTCTATTTAAACAATATCAGATTTAACCAATTAATGCTATGAATACACACAATACACACACAAATAATTGAACTGAAAGTTGTGCTGTTTACAACTACTAGATTTATAAAAATATAGTGCACTTCAGTAGACAGTGTGCCCTGTAATGAGACACAAGTTGTAGATCAATATATCTCTCCTTTAATCCTGTCAGTGTTTCTTTGTGATTGTAGAATTTCATGTGGAGATTGAGTAAAAAATCTAAGTTTAAAACTTTTCTTGAATGTTAAGCTTGGACCAAGTGATTTCCTGATGTCACCTCCTCCCACACCCAGTCCTATCCTACTCTGTGCATTTACTAGAAACTGATGCAAATCAGTTTTAGTGTGGAGGACCTTAGAATACTGTCAGTTGCGGCATCCCCTCCCAGCATGATTAGGGGACAAAGGTCTATGGCAGCCTGTGTCAGAGAACCTCTGAAACCTAACGGAGACTTGGTCAGCTGAGCGGTGCTGTAACTAGAGCGGAAGCTGACAGGTTGGTCCCCGGGATCTCGGCAGGCAGAGAACTCAGAGCTGCAGCGGGAGCCCAGGAACTGCTGCTCGGGAGACCGGCGCGCTCCGCGGACCCACCTGCGGCCTCTCCCCGCGGTGGGGGCCCGAGCTGCGCGGCGCGTCCCCTTGGTAACCGGAGAACGTGGGTGGGCGGGGCTTGGGGGCTCCGGGCGGGGGAGCGCTGGGCGGGCGCGGGTGGCCCCCTCTGCCTGTAGTCGCGCAGAGGCAAACGGCGCCCAGACGGTCAGCGCCGCGCGGTGGGAGATACTCCGCCGATGGAGAACCAAGAGTTTCCGGGCCCTTACGCGCTGTCCGACTGGCGTGACACGGCAGATATAACTGCTCACTACGAAGCCCGCCGGAAGCCCTTGGTACTCAGACTCTTCGACGTCCTCAAGCCTGACGAGTGTGAGGAACCCGAGGAGCCGGGGGAGCCGGAGGAGCCAGGCCTGCAGGACGGCGACGAGGAGTCTGAGTCCTGTGAGACACCGGAGCTCTGCAGAGTTTACGAACCCCACGAACCGTATAATCCCGAAGAGTCCGACGAGCCCTCTGTGCCCCAGGGGCCCGACTTGCTCCAGGAACCCAACGAGCCCCATGCGCCTCCAGAGTCCCACACGCTCCGCCAACCCCGTAAGGCCCCGGGGCCGCATGGTCCCCGCAAGCCCCACCACAAGCCCCACGAAGCCGAGTTGCTTCGCAGAGCTGCTGTGATGGTCGCCCCATCTCTGGTGACCAGATTCCCGCAATGAATTCTGATGTCCTCCCAGAGCGCTAGGTGGTGGGGCTCCAGAGGCAATGAGCAATTCCATCTAGAAGTGGGGGCATAGTGTGAAGGTCTGCATGCTCATTTGTTTTAAAGGAAGATAACTGTTATTTTCCTTTCACTTTGCAGTCGTCTATCTTTGGACCTCACACACATACACACAATAGGAAATTGAGACTGGTAATGAGAGAAAATGAATCTCTTAACTCTGTCCTTTTGATCTGATAACCTTCTAGCTCTTCTTAATTCTCTTCTACAGTTAGTCATTGCATTTCTCTGGGCTGCCACTTTGAACATTACTAAAGGGAGTGATCCTTCAAGGGAGGATATTTTTGTCAGTGGCGCATGGTGGCACTCAATAAATAATAGCTTGTACATTATTAAAACTGTAGTAATGGAACACTGAGCAAGAATACAAGGAGTCCATTTACTGAAAGTGTTCACTATATGCTCAGTCCTCACCAGTTCACAGGCTGTAACAGGGCTGATGGGAATTGGGTATAAACATCCTTTGCTCTGACTACAACTCACCTATGACCTCTCATTAATGACCTCACCCAAAACAATCCTTTGTCCGCATTGGGCTTCCAGTCCCTTGGCTGACCACTTTAAATCTCATGCTCTCATTAGTCTCCTTTTTCAGTCTCCATTCTATGGTCTATCATTTCAGTTACATCTTCTACCATCCCATTGGCTTTTTGGCTATCTGCAATACTTTTGGCAAAACCCAAACCCTGGTTAAACCCAGCCACCCACCCTCTGCCTACACCTGGGCAGCTTACTTTTGCTGTACAAAGTCACACAATCATATTAACTTCTTTTATTTATATTTCATGATCATAGATCTCAATTGGTCACTTGGCACTGCCTAGAAAGCCAACTTTATTCACCCAGTAAGTTCTCCCAATCTCTGAGAACAAGACTAAATGCCTTCTTTATTCTCCTCCAGCCTTCACACCTTTGACACCCAAACAGCTGAGGACTTTACCTCACACTTTTTTGAGGCAATTTATTGACTCCACTCTACCAAACTTCTCTAGTTGTTGCCTTTCTCCCACTGCCAACCTGTCATCATGCCTGGAGATTTCAGTATCCATATGGATGATCCACTAGGCTTCTTACTTTGAGTAATGGGGTCCTTTACCTCATGTTGGGTACCCACTACCCTAGCCTTTGATAATATCAATTGCTGTACCTTTCCAAAATCTCGATTTCAAACACTCTAATCTCTAACGGTGTCCTATCTTTCCAGCTCACTCACTCCTTGCACCCTCCTCTATCAATTCTTCAGCTTCTAAGGGATCTCCACCCAATCAATGCTATTAATCTTTAATTATGTATCACTGCCCTATGTCCTCTGTCTCTCCTTATTTTATGTCCACAGTCCACTCATAGAATCACTCTCTTGCAAATGTCCTTAACTCTCTTGCTTCTCCCTCTATCATTCTTACCTAGTAAAACACAGTATTTGTATGCCCTTGAAAAACAGATGATGACGAGAGAAAAACAACCATGCTGACTGATCTTTAAATTCATGACTTTGAACTTCAAGTGGGCTCTCAGGGCTATTTGGCAATCATATGACATTTCCCCAATCAATTCATTTTCCGATATGGAATCTACCAAACTATCAGCAGCTGTAAGCATACATATATATATATACCCTATCCTTTCTTCTGTTAATAATGGATGAACTGTCATTGTTCTTATTAAAGGCCATTCTCTCAACCTGAGTGTTGCATACCATCCCATATAACTTTCAAGCTTTCCTCCTAAAATTATTCCCCCTTTCTCCTGCATCATTTTATTCCACTCTCCACTGGGTCATTCACATGAGCACATGAACATGCAGCAATAGGTCCATATCTTAAAAAAAACCACAAACTTCCTTTAACCCCATGTGCCCTAAGTACCACTCCTGTTTCTCTCCTCTTTAGAGAAAAATTCCTCAAAATAGTTGTCTATAAGTCATCTCCATATCCTATCTACCTATTTTTTTTTTGAGAACCCACTTGAGCTTTCATTTTCTCTACTTAGCTGAAGTTGTTCTTGTTGAGGTCACAATGACCTCTGCCTTGCCAGTGTCTTGCCAATGGGTTTCAGCCCCTGTCAAGATCACTGTGGATTCAGTGTGACCAAAGAAATGACAGTAGAACATTTCTTTGGGGTGAAAGGGTTTATTACCCGGCTTGTTCTCCTGGCAGTAGGTCAAGCAGTAGGGTGTCTGCCTCCACCCAGAGCACTGGGCCGAGCTCTCTCTATATATTGCAATAATAGCTTATTGCCTACGGGTGTGGAAGCATAGCCTAGCAATAGGCCAGTTACATCATCAAGTGATTTAAGTTCAGTGAGGATCCTGGCCATAGGAACCCCAACTTCCCCACAGCCAGATTCAACAGTTAATTCTTTATCTTTGTCTTACTCACTTGACCCATTCACTCACTCTTTCTTGTAAGTCTTTACTTGACTTCTGGGATACCACTGCCTTCATTGTCATCCTACTGTACTGATTGTTCTTGACTCATTCCCTTTGCTAGATCCTCCTTTTCTTCCCAGCCTCAGGATTAAAGTAATGATGGCTCAGTTCTCTCAGATTCTTTAGAACACTCTTTGTTTCCTGGGTGATATTATCAGTTCCATGGCTTCAATCGTATACTGGTAACTTCTCAAATTATCTCTAGCTTCAAATTCTCCCTTGAGTTCCAGGGTTTTATAACCAATTGTCTATTTAACATCCTTACTTGAATATCTATCAGGCAGGTAAATTTTAGTATTAGTATGTCCATGCTGAACTCTTATTTCCACATTCAGACTTGCTCTTTGGCCATTGATCCCCATTTCAGCGAATGGCATTCATTCATCCAGGTGCTCAGGTCAAAAACCTTGGAGTCATTCTTGACACCAGTTTTTCTTTACACCCTGCCTCCAAACCATTAGCAGACTCTAATTTTGAGATATATCATGGCTGTGACCATTTCTTACATCTAAACTTCCATCATCTTTTTAAGCCGCTATCATCTCTTGTTTGGTCCTCTGCAGTAGCTTCTGCCTTTTCTCTTGTTTCTACTCTTGCCTGCTCCCTCTCCCCCACAGTTTATTGTTCATATAGTGGTCACAGGGATCCCTTAGAACACAAATTATATGCAATTCTCCTGCTCACAACCTCTCCAGAAGGGGTTCTTGTCCCATGTAGTTTGTAATCTGAATCCTTAGCAGGCCTACCAGGCCCCACATGGTCTGGCTGCTGCCTGCCTTCCCAACTTCATGTCCTGCCACTCTACCCACTGTCTGTGCTTTTTAGCCACATGGGCTTCCTTCCTCCCACCTCACAATCATTTCTCTTGCTTTTTGCTCTGCCAGCACACTCTATCCTGAAGAATTTGTCACCTCCTTATAAAGTTATTCTAGATCACTCTGTCAAAAAGAACACACTTTGGCCAGCTCATTTTCTTTAAATTATTTATCTGACTATTGTACACATCTGCTTGTTTACTATGTATATTAAGCTCTCAGGAAGCAGAACCTTTGTATTCTCCACTGTTTCATCCTCAGTGTCTCAGACAGTGCCTGGAACAGGTCAAGACTCAGCAATTATTGTTCAATCAACGATTTTTTCATTCAGCCTCTGTACCACCACATTCAGTGGTCCCTTCTCTCTCCTTAGGGTGTTAAGATTAAATAAATTAATACCTGTACACCATTTAGATTGTGGTACATGAAAAGTGCTCAGTAGATATTAGCCCTTAGTAGTAGTAGTATAAGTGTTGTTATCTCATTTGACCTCTTGACAGCATTTAATACAATTGACAACTCCCTTCTTGAAACATATACCTCCTTCTCTTGGCCTCTAGGATGCCACAGTCTCCCAGTTTATCATCTACTTGACTGCTTGCTTTTTTTTGGGCTTATTTGCTGAACTCTCCTTGTTTTCCAGAACTCTAAAGGGCTTTATTCTGACCCGTTTTCTCTTCACTTACACTATTCCCCTAGGTGGTAATATCTAATCTTATGGCTTTATATAGCATCTCTATGCTGCTGCCTCCTAAATTTATATATTCTAGTCCTACTCTCTCTCGAGTCCCATACTCATGTATTCAGCTGCCCACTGGACATCTCTATTTAGATATCATAGGCATCTTTAATGTAAGGTACTTTGAAATAGAAGCCTTGATTTTCCTTCCAATCTTGTTCCTTCCTGTCTTGCTTGATGTTTCCAGAAAATAGAATCTAGTATCTCAAACCCAAAAACAAAGAAAAAATAACCTATATGCATACCTCATTTTTAAAAATTGAAGTATAGTTGATATACAATCTTATATTAGTTTCAAGTATACAAGACAGTGATTCAACAGTTAACCCACATTATTAAATCCTCACCCCCACTAGTGCAGTTACTATTTGTCAACATAGAAAGATGTTACAGAATCATTGGCTATATTCTCCATGCTGTGCTACTATCCCTGTGACCAACTTATATTATGATTGAGAATTTTTGTGCCCCTTCCCCTGACCCTCCATACCCACCTATCCCAAACTCTCCCCCAGGTAACCACCAGTCACTTCTCAGTGTCTACAAGTCTATTGCTATTTTGTTCATTCTGTTTTGCTTTGTATTTATATTCCACAAATAAGTGAAATCATATGGTATTTGTCTTTCTCCACCTGGATTATTTCCATAAGCATAGTACTCTCTAGATCCATCAATTGTTGCAAATGAGGATTTCTTTTTTTTAATGGCTGAATAATATTCTGTTGTGTGTATGTACCACAGCTTCTTTACCCATTCATCTATTGATGGACATTTAGGTTGCTTCCATATCTTGGCTATTGTAAATTATGTAGCAATAAACATAGGAGTGCATATATCTTTTTGAATCAGGGATTTTGTTTTCTATGGGTAAATTCCTAGAAGTGAAATTACTAGGTCATAATGGTATTTCTATTTTTAGTTTTTGAGGAACATCT